TGAAAGACACAAGTGTTACCGATTCGGCAACTGTTCGTCGTATGATAAAATTAGCAATTTAAGCTAAGTCAAATTTAAAAGTTATTTTTTCGACTTTAAAAAAGCAAAAAAATTTAAATAAGTTTAATTTCTTATGTCTTATGAACTTTATTCTATGTCAATTCAATTATATAATATTCATGAAAGTCAGTGAATTGCCCTTATAAAATATTTTAAAATAAAATAAAATACAAAACCCAGAATTTTAACACAAAAATAGCATAATTTTCACCAAGAAGAAAATGTATATTTCGAATTTTTTTTTTTTTCATTGTAAAGTTATAATATAAGCTTTAATTTAAGATTAAATAAAACTGTAAATATTTCCGTTTTTAAACGTCAAAAATTAAGTTGAAAAATGTAGTTTTTGTAAAAAAGTTGCTATTTTAAATCTCTCCCAGTGGGCAGGTTAAGTGTTAGATTTTCAAAAAAATTATATCAAATGAAAGGGAAATATCTAAGGTTTTAGTATAAAAAAACTTATGTTGATTTGTTGATTTTTTAAAAAGTTATGGAAGTTTTAAGAAAAAAAGTAAAAAAAATGACAAAATATACCGATTTTTAAATTTGTAATTTTTTTGGACATTTGCGGGGAAGGAGGGAAAATTTTTCAATTTTTAAGGGTAATGTCTTCAACTAGATACGATTTGTGATCTTTTGATATATTGTTGAAAGAAATCGGTCCAGTGAGAGCTGAGAATTTTAAATTTGTAATTTTTTTGGAGGTTTCCCCCATTTACGGGGAACGGGGGAATTTTTTTCAATTTTTAAGGGTAATGTCTTCGATTAGATACGATTTGTGATCTTTTGATGTATTGTTGAAAGAAATCGGTCCAGTGAGAGCTGAGAAAAAGTGGCAACAGACATAAAAAAAAACACATCATGGTAAATTTAATACCTTCTCAGCTTCGCATCAATGCTAAAAGTATAATAAGAAGAAATTTGACGTCTTGTACGCGGAAAAGATGAGCCGTCGTGACTTAAGCCTTCGAGAAGAAGCTGAAATATTGTACAAGGACATGACAAAATTTTGCAATTTAGAAAATAATAAATGGAATAAAAAATTATGTGTCACAGGTAAAATTTTGTATGGGAAAGCCAGTAAATAAAGTACGTGTATCAAAATTTTGTGATGGGTCGTTACTTGAGTGTAAAAATAAGATAATAGATAAATTTCCTTACGTTGAAAGAACTATTGATAAAAATACTCGATCCTCGTATTTCAAATCTCAACTGAAAAACTGTAAATCAGATACAACAGTTTGTGATTTGACAGATGTTTATTTGGAAAATCATATAAACAATCTCAAGTTACAATACAATTGTTTGAATACCATCTTAAATTCATTGAAGCACACTACGAACGATATGTTTCTAATTGGATACCCACTGCACACTCAAATAGCCATCGGATGTTTTTTTGCAATGACTGGTATGTTTGAGTCGTATGCAATTTTGAAACCTAATCGTAATTGCGGGCACGCTTTTGCATTTTTTGGTATCCAGAGAAACAATTGGTGGCTTGATATTTTATACAAAGTCTTAGACAATATTTTACCTACCTTTGATGATTACGCAGATTCTGACAAAGCCTTAATCTCACTGCTTCCAATACAACATCTCATAGAACAAAAATCTTATCATGAAATTGTTGAACTTAATAACTTGTGTCTTTAATATGAAGTCGAACCAATTCTGTTGGACTTTCTTCGACCATAGATGTTTTCTTCATACTTAAGACTCATGATCTGATATTATAGTTTTAATATCAATACCAATTGTGACTTCATTTGTATTTTGACATTTGTCTTTATTATATCATATTACCGTATAACTCATATGCTTGCCGCAGTTACTCTACACATAGTAATTTACTATTACAAGTTATACTGTCGGATGTCTTCTACTTGTTACATGAAAATGACTAATATATTTTCTATTTGTTATGTATTGAAAGAATCAATAATTTTATTACTGAAATTTTCTTGGGTTATTATTTTTTTTAGACATTATTTCATTTATAATTAACTCATTTTTTTTTTGTGTGATTTTTTAAATTTTTATTGCAATTTGTTTGCATTTAAAATTTTGTTTATACTAAGATTTCAATTTTTGTTTTATTCTTTAATATTTTTATTTGTTAATGTTTTCTTTTCCAAATTTAATTTTTTTTGTTTATAAAATAAATTAATTATCATTTATAAAATTTACAAGTCTCTTATAAAATAATCTCCTAGTATATGAATTTATATTATTTTAACAAAGTTCATATTTAAATAAAAATTATTTTTTTGATTATTGATTATTATTGGTACAAACTAAAAATTATTCGTTTTAGCTTCGATGCGAAGCTGAGAAGGTATTGGTTTTACTATGATGTGTTTTTTTTTATTTTTTGTGTCTGTTACCACTTTTTCTCAGCTCTCACCGAACGGATTTCTTTCAACGATACATCAAAAGATCACAAATCGTATCTAATCGAAGACATTACCCTTAAAAATTGAAAAAAATTCCCCGTTCCCCGTAAATGGGGGAAACCTCCAAAAAAATTACAAATTTAAAAATCGCTAATTTTCGAAATTTTTTCAATTTTTTTTACTAAAATGTGCCGTTACTTTTTCAAAAATGAACATATCAATATATATATATTTTTTTTTATAGATGCTTGATGTCTTTACCTATCATTTGATATATTTTTTTTGTAAATTTGACTGTTTATCTGCCCACAGGGGGGGATTTAAAAAGACAACTTTTTCACAAAAAATTAACTTTTTCAACTTAACTTTTGAAAATGTTCCGGAAAGTCTGACACTTTTATATATATCTTAAATTAAAGCTAATGTAATATACTTTAATTTGAAAAAAAAATTTTGACCTCTGGTCTTGTCTTTACGGCGAAAATCGCTACCGAATGCTATTTTCGTGTGAAAATTCTCGATTTTATTTTTTACATTTTTAACTTTATAATGCTATAACTTATTGAAAAGTGTATGGATCCACACAATTTTTTTCTGAGAAATAATATTTTTTAATAAACCCTTTTTCGTTTGACATACTTTATCTTAATCGAGATATTAATAAGGAACCAGCAGATTATGTAGCTTTTGGGATAAAACACCAATTTTTTTAAAATTTAACACTATCTAAAGATTTGCATCGAAGCGTTTTTTTTGATAGTGATTTTAATCACTGTCAGATATCATTATACTTAATCCAACTATACCACGACACCACTGTACCACGACCCCCCTGTGCTCGGTTTTTTAATAGTTCAGTTGAGATAAATATTTGTATTTTTTTATCATGCTTAATATTTTTACATTTTATATTTTTTTAATACAATATACCTAATTATTTTACTCTAATAAGTAAATAATAAATATGTATATTAACAATAATATATAATCTATTTTTGTCATATTTTCCTTATAAAGTAACTATTATAAAAAAATCCATTATATATAGTAGTATATTATGTCCCAAAAAATACTTAAAAAAATTAAGAAGTTAAGTTAAATAAAAATTAATAACAAAACTGACTAAAAAATGGTTTGATATAAATATTTTCCAAGCTTCTATGAACATAAATATTAATCTACCTTTTACATTAACTTTACTTTTATCAGTTTATATCAGCATTTTTTTACTTATGTACCTATTTTAGCTTCGATGCGAAGCTGAGAAGGTATCGGTTTTACAATGTGTTTTTTTTTTGTCTGTTACCACTTTTTATCAGCTCTCATAGAACCGATTTCTTTCAATGATACGTCAAAAGATCACAAATCGTATATATTCGAAGACATTACCCTCAAAAATTGAAAAAATTTCCCTCGTTCGCCGTAAATGGAGGAAATCTCCAAATAAATTACAAATTTAAAAGTCGCTAATTTTTGACATTTTTTCAATTTTTTATACTTAAAACTGCCATAACTTTTTTAAAAATAACTAAATCAATATAATTTTTTTTTATAGATGCATGATGTTTTTATCTATCATTTGGTATATTTTTTTTATAAATCTGACTTTTTACTTGGCTACAGGGGGGATTCAAAATGACAACTTTTTCACAAAAAATTAACTTTTTCAACTTGACTTTTGAAAATGTTCCGGAAAATCTGACATTTTTATATATATATCTTAAATTAAAGCTAATGTAATATACTTTATCATGGAAAAAAAAAAATGTTGTACTTTATTTTGTCTTCACGGTGAAAATAATTACTGAATGCTATTTTTGTGTAAAAATTTGCGATTTTATATTTTACATTTTTAACTTTATAATGCTATAACTTATTGAAAAGTGTATGGATCAATACATTTTTTTTATGAGAAATAATATTTATATACATCTTCATTCAACATACTTTTTTTTTAAATAACACCATTTCCCTTTATATATTTATATATTATAAATATTTATTTATTCATATATTACACTTATAAATCATAAAACTTGTAATCAGGATATAAAAAGGAAATAGGAGATCATGTAGCTTTTGGAATCCATCAATTTTTAAAATTAAACACTATCTACAGATTTGCATCGAAGCGTTTTTTATGATAGTAATTTTAATCAGTGTCAGATATCATTATACTTGACCCAACTATGCAACATCCTCACTGTGCTGGGTCTTTTGTTATTATATCACTACTCACTGTTAATATATTTATCTCTGAATATTCTTGATCTCCTAAATATAAATTATAAATAATAGATTTATTAGATTCGATGCAAAGCTGAGTATTAATTTTACTATGATGTGTTATTTTTTTACTATAAAGCTATTTAAATTTTAGTTCTTTTTTTTGTTTTAACAAAAACTTTAAATTTTATTATTTTTATTATACTTTAGATAATTTTTTAAATTTATGAAACTATAAATATACACAATTAGTTGTAAGAAAAAATCTTTTTTACTAATTAACTTTTATTGTAGTATCCTTTTTAAACAGTTTATGATTTACTCATAATATTATAAGTATTCATTATATAATTAATATTAATACAAGTTTATTTTGGTAAATAGTTAACAATTTAATGGCACCAAAAAAATAAATATTTCAAAAAAAAAGAAAACATCAAATCCAATACATATATACATATAGTTATAACTTAAAAAAGTAAAAAAAGTATGATAGTTTGTAAAAAAAATAAATCTCAAAAAATAACATCACAAATAATAGGAAAATAGTAAAAATAAATAATTTCACCAATTGTACTTTTTAAAAAGATGCTTTTGAACTTGATGGCTTTATCTGATTATTTTTAAAGTAATTATATTTTATTTTTAACTTTTCTCTAATTAAAACAGCTTTCACTAAACGTCTCCAATTACCATATACCCGATCTTCATAACGTTTTTGCTCTCTTTTACGACTTTCTTCTAATTCTTGATTCCATGCATCTATAAGGGTATCTTTATATTCCTCACAAACTACAAATCCATCATTCACTGGATGTGAACCACCAGAATGAAAATCAAAACCAACAACCGCAGGTGCGCAATCAATGTTAAGTTTTTTAGCAATCCTCAACAATCCTGGAACTGTAATAAATGAAATTTTAATTCAACATTTTATGTAGATTAATAATAAGATACTTTAATATCATAAAGTGGCCATATAACAGCCACTTATGATTGTTTTTTTTTTCATAATTTGTTTAAAACCTACCTACACACAAAAATAAACAGATCCAATAATTTAATTTTATAGAATCAATTTAGAATTATTAGAATATAGCAAACAATTTTTTAGGTAGGAAGCATTTCATAAATTTTCTGATAACACAAGACTTTTTTTTAATCATATAAGAATAATGAATTACTAATTACTATATAAATACTAAAATTATTAAATTAAATTAATTTAATCATAAAAGTTAGAATATTTACTTACGCTTGAGATGAACAGTACCCTTTGGTAACATACTGGGTTTAAATAAGTCTACATTTCCATAACAGTTCCTTGGAACTTTACCATCACAAGCTGTTGGTGGATCATAAGGTTCAGTTTGCCAATAACCAAATAATTCTAAAGGTGGAGGATCAGTTCTAACGCCATTCTTTTAAAATATGGATAAAAATTATTTATTTATTACGATCATAAAAAAAAAATATAAAATAGTTAATTACTTTATCAAATCTTGGGCGTGCTTTAACTTGTTTGTAAAATTGTTCATTAACTTTAACAACCCGAGCTTCTTTTAGCCAATTTTCTCGTCCATTTAGCTCATGAACATTTTCTCTTGAATAAACTGGTTCATTTCGAATATATCCAAGAATAGGTGGTTTTGGTGGATATATAGCTTGAAATTTAAGTAAATGTCTTTCAAGTGCATACAGTGGGTGATCTTTGTACCTATATAATTTAAGTAAAAAATTATATTAAATAAAAATTATTAATCACGTATTAATCAAAAATTAAAAATATGTGTAAATAATGGCTGTAATTTTGTTAGCTCTAATGATGATAACATATACAGAATGATTGACTAACTATGTCTCACGTAATATCTTAAAAAATACAAATGTTATAAACATTTTTTTTTTTGTTTTAATCATTATGGATCTTTGATGAGGTGTTTCATAAGAAAATTAAAATTTCTACCACCATCCCTTATGTTTAAAACTTGTATCAACTTCATATAATCAAATGGCAACCCTATTTTTTGTTTTTACACCATTAGATTTAGTTTAATAAAAAAAAATATTTAATTTTAGTTAATATTAAGTGCTCGACGGCTCTCTAAAGTTTAGGGTTTATTAAGAAAAAAATATGACAGACTCGAACATTACTGGTCGTAAATCGATAAGCGCTATTCTATTATTTATTATAAACACAGTAAACCGGTAGCTATTATCGCTACATAAAATAATAATGTGACCTTGTTGGAAAAACTACTGAATTTTTTCATCAAATATTGTAAACTTTAAAGTAGCACATCTTATTTAAAAATTATTATTTTTTATTTTGCTAAATTTTTTTTTTTATGATGGACAAAAATATATAAATATAATATAGGTTGCCAATTGAAAATCTGAAGTTGATACAAGTTTTAAGTATAAGGGATGATGATAGAAATTTAATTTTTCTTGTAAAACAGCTAATCAAAGATCCATAATGATTAAAAAAAAACATTTATTTATAACATTTCTATTTTTAAAGATATAACGTGAGACATAGTTAACAAATCACCACGTATATATAATTTATAACAATAGTCAAAATAAAAAAATTAAAAATGTATTTATTAGTAAAAATTAATACTCAGAAACTGTCTTGGGAAGTGGTATGTCTTCAAGTCTTTTATCTAACTCTTCATCTTCTTCACGTTCTCTAAAATTAGGCAAAGGTTTATACAATCTTAAAGTTGATTCCCACCACTTTTGGTCAACTCGTATTTTTCTAGTTAAAGTGTGAAAGAAAGGATCATATCTTTTTGTTACTTCCTTGATACTATTATCATTATACCAAGCTAAAACATATCGCATAGGATGTGATGTCCCATTCTATAACAAATAATATGAAAAAAAAAAACTAAATATTAGTTTAGCTCAGCTATTTCAATAGAATTAATAAAAAAAATAAGAAAATAATAATTTTGTTAGTTTTGCTATTAAATCTTTTTAAATGGCTGACATTATATAATATCATGTACTAAATTAACTACAATGATTTGCGAGTAAAATTAATAAGCCAAATTAATAGTTCCCAAGATTGATTAATCTAATTTTTAACTTTGATGCAAAGCTGAGAAATTTATATACAATTATGAATAAAATAAAATCATTGCACATTAAACCACATTGAATAATATACAGAGTATTCAATAAATAAGGAAACAGCTTAATTGTTACAAACAATGAGAATAGAAACCCGTTTCCTTATTTACTGAATACCCTATATGTAAAAAACTATATTCTAACTTTAATATTATATTAAGCAATTTTTAAAAACAAATATTGAATTAAGTGATTAACTCACATAGATTTCTTTAATGCAGTGTAAACGTTTATTTATAACATCAACACTAAACCACTTTTCTTCCATTTCAAGAAATACTTCCACCCAAAAATCATTTTTTTTGTTTTTTAAAGTATCATTGGAAATAATATCTTCTTCGTCGGTAGATAGGACACGGCGATCAATTTTATCAATTTCTTTTAATTTTTTAATATTGGAGGTTTTTCTTACTTTTGTCTCAATTTTTTTAGTCTGAGATGTTGTAACTTTTTGTTTTATATGTTTAAGCTTCTTTATTGTATCTCTTTTTACAAATATTTTATCATCTTCATTTGAAGAATCAGAAATTTGGTCACAAGTTTTTTTTCTTTTTATCTTGCACTTGTTATTGTCTTTTGAAACAGATTTTTCATGTTTATTTTTAAAATATTCAGATTTGGAAGGAGTTTTTTGTTGAGTTTCAACTATTTTTTCAGATTTTGCCTTATCTTTACTGTTTGTTGACCCTAGTAGTTCTAAGTTTGGTTTAATAGAAATTGCATTTAAATTAATAACTAATCTTACATTTAACCCTAATGATCTTAACATGGATATAAACATAGCAATTAAATCAAAGCGTGTTTTAGCTAAACAATTAGAAAATTGATCAACTAATGTTGTTACTGTTATTTTTTGTAAAGGATCTGTTTTAGATGCTAATTTTATTTTTTTTGAAAACCAGTTAATATAATTTTCTAAATAAACTAAGTCACATTGCTTTGGTGGATAAGCTTTTTCTGAAGGAATTAGAGACAATGCAGATGACATCACTTCTGGTGAGTTGAGGATCTCATTTAAGCGATTTCCATAAAATATCCATAAAAGCAAATTCACTTTATGAACTAGTACTTGAGTTTCTTTACATATTACATTCATTCGTCTTTTCAATAATACTTCCATATCCTGTAGTTTCTTACACTTGACATTATTAGGAAGTTTAATTATTACTTCCACTGCATCTGGAATTTTGTAATTTTCTTCTTGTTTATTATCATTTTCTATATCTTTAATATCATCCAGTTCTGGATTCATTTTTAATTTTTCTCCTTTACATAACATTGTGGCAATATCTAAAATATCGCAGTTATTTTTTTCTTTATCATTATTTAAATTAATCTTTAATGTAGAAGTCTCCAACACTTTTTTTTTATCGTTTTGGGAATTTAATACAGCACTAAAATCAAAATTTGTTTCACAAACTGTATCATCTTCACTTTCACTACTTGATTTGTAAGATAATGGAACTGATTTTATATTGTTATTAACAATAATATTTGAATCATTGTCATCTGATTCTGATTCAGTTTCTGATAACTTTAAGATAGAGCTAGGCATTAATTCATAATCAGATTCCATTAATTCATCATCAGAATTATGCAGTGAGATATCTCTAGGATTGTCTTTTAATTTTTGTTTTTTTTTAGTAGGTAGGATTGCTTCAAGAGAATTGTCAATTCCTTCAGATGATTTTATGTTGCGTTTCGATCTTCGTAACATTATAAATAGTATTGTATTGAAATATTTATGTAACTAAAAAAAAATACAAATTTTTTTTAGTAATATTTTACTTAAAAATCAAACATTAAAAAGAATAATTTTTAGATAGTAGAATAAAATTAAAAGTTTCTATAAGAGAAGGAATTTTTACAAAAATTAAACTTAAAAAATTAATTTTTAACATCAAAAAACACTAGATGACATCAATCAGAATTAAATATTTTTAGTTTTTCAGTATATGATAGCAACAATTTTACAAAAATTAAATGTATATAATTATTATTTATTTAATATTTAAAGATCTCTCATAAATGTTATTGCGTGTACTAGAGAGAACAGAAAAACCTACATATGTACAACAGAATTAAACATTGGTATCTACATACCATCACACGTCATTTTATTGACTAAAAAATAAATATAAAATTAAGTTTAAGAAGTTCAACTTAATAAAAAACTTTAAACATACTGTTTTGAAATTTAAAATAATTTTGATTTTTTTCTTTTATTTTTAGATATTAAAAAGACAAAAAAACCAACAACTTTTTGTTTTCCAGTAATTTTTTCCTCAAGAAAACAAAAACTATTTTATTTTAAAAACAATTTTTTTTTCATTAAAAATTTTAAATAAGAATCATAATTATATTATATTTTAATTCCAGAGCAATTAAATAGGTTTAGACCCCCTATATCAGTTCTTAACCTTAACCTTTTTTAGATAAAAAAATTATCTAAAAAAGGTTCACTAACATTTTTTTTAGTATATGTCTCTTATTGAAAATTCCTGGCTCGCTATTGATTCACTCTATAATCAACTTTTTATGATAAAATACAGGAAAAAAATTTTCATTAAGAATTTAAAATAATAAAGGATATACACATCAATTATTAATCTGAAATATAAATACACTGCATTAGAACTAAATAATGTAGTAGAAAAAAAAACAGAAATAATGATAAAAAATCATCTTACTGAGAAAAAATGAATTGATCATCTATTCAACTATTTGAATTATGAAATGATAAAGCTTTTATAATACATTAATATAATATATTAATTAATATATATTTATAAATCCAAAATTCCCAAACATTCAATCACATTGCCTAAGATTTTTGTATTAATAAAATTTTAATAGTTACGAAATATTTAATAGCGCCAATTATACTTATTACATAAAATATAGAAATTTGGTTGAGTATAGATATTACTAACTTATCTGAAATAACAGATAAGTAACAGTACTGATAATATTTTTTTGAAGCATGATAATAGTAATAATAATAATAACATTGTGCAGTAATTATTAAATTTTACTTACCTTAACTTAATTGTAACATTACGAAGTTCTTTAATTACATGTTTAATATTAACTGTTTTAGTTTTTATTCGTTTTAATTAAATTGATATGAAATAAAATTATTATAAGTTTAATACGTTAAATAGTTAATAAAATTAAAGTAATGGCATTTAACAATAAAACGTATGTTTACTAATTTTTTTTTGAAATTATAATTTGAATGTTTTCTGCCTTCATAGATATTGAAGAATTCCAAAAATTCATTATAGTGTCATTAACTATATTCAACACACACAAATATGTATATATATACAGAGTGATTCGTTTTCCATAAATCCCTCGATTATATGCAAAATAAATATAACATTACATAAATAATTTTTTTTTAGTTACATATAACTTTTGATTAATAATCTAATAATGTTTAATGATGTCAACTTTATTATTTTTAATAGTAACATACATATTTAAATAATTTATAAAATAGACAATTATCTAATTAAAAAAATGACTGGTTAATAACAACTTTTGTACTAGTAATTTGGAAGTTATTCTCATTTTTATACCAAGGCAATATGAAGAAAACAGCAGGGACATACCTAATGATTCAAACAGCAGTACACATTCCTTATCTCCAGTAATTATTTAATTTGTTAACAGCTTCTAAAATTTTGATCCAAAAGTGTTTATCTACTAGTCATTAACTAATTTAGATTATTTTCAATTTTATAAGTTAATTAAATATCTATGGTGCCATTAAAAAGAATAAAGTTGACATTCCTTTAAGTTATAAGGGATTATTGTAAAAATTAATTAATAATTGATAAATCAAGAAATATATATATAAATAAAAAAAATCAAGAATTATTTATCCAATAATGTATTTATTTTGCGAATAATCGAGTGGTATATAATAAAGTAATCACTCTGTATAGGGTGACTTTTTTATCATACCCACTCAATTATTTATATAATGAAAACAATTTTCAAATTTTTTTATCAATAATGACTTTATTGACAGATGGCCTATCTGTTTTGCTGGTTGGTGTATTTATAAATGTTAATTCACAATATCATGTGTTATTACTTACCATACTATAAGCATACCTGTTAACAAAGTTTTAATTCACAATAAAACTGCATATTTGTGAATAGCAGAATTGTAAATGTACAATTAATATAATTTCTCATATATTGTACATATATTTTAACTCAAAACTTTAAAGTGTAATATCTAATAAAAAGATAAATTTATATTAAAAATTTTAACACCATTTACTAAAAGAAATCCTCAAACATTTTATTAAATTCAAAATATGTGTTCTCAATTGAAAAAATATTGTTTATACCTTACTAGGCATAAGGGATGAACATAAAAAGTATTACTTATCTAATAATTCATAGTTCATGAAACTATATAATATACTATATTATATAATATTTGCATTACTTTTTAAAGATGGCCTTGTATTTTTCATCTCTTATTGAGATGAGAAAGTTTTTTTTTTTATCAATATTAAATGTTTTAAAAAATGTATATATTATATTTTCTTTTTTACTGGTAATAAAAAATTTAATTTTTTATTAAATTAACATTTAATGTTAATTTAAGCAATAATCACTTTTTATTAATTATTAAATAATAAAACTAATACTTGTTAGATATTATGTTAGTCACAAAAATACAACTTTTTTTTAATTATCTTTTAAGTTAAAATAGAATTAATTAATATATTAATTATAGTTATGGTCTGACTCTACCTGTACCCAAAAAAAAATTAAATGAACCTATTAAAATGAAAAACGTTTTTGGTAATGATAGTGATTCTGATGAAAATAATAGTGGAAAGAAACCAATCCAAGTATAGTTAATATTAAGTAATTGTCATTAAACTGAAGTATTAATTAATTTCATTATTTATATTAACTTAAAGACTCAAAACAGAACCAAAGCCCAAGAAAGAACATCTAACTTGATTATCGATAGAGCTTTAGAAGAAGATGCTACTGTTTTTCAATACGATGAAGTTTATGATGAAATGGAATTGAAAAAAGGACACCTTGATGGTAAAAAAAAGAAAGAAGTAGATAGAAAGGTAAAATAGAAATACAGGGTGATTGCTTAACTATACCTTATGAAACATCTTTTAAAATATTAAGGCTAATTTTCATTGATAAAAATTTCAAAATTATTGGGTTTTTTTTTCAATAATGGTTCTTTGTTAAGCTGTTTTATACAAAAAATGAATTGTCTACTATCATTCCTTATAACTTAAACTCATTTTAATTTTCAAATAGCATCTACAATTGTTTTTTCACATATATCATATTTATTCAATTGATAAAAAATGTTGTATAAAAAATATTTTCATATTATTTTAATTTTCAACGAGTTATTGTTGCTTAAAGTTTAGAGGCTTTTAGAAAAAAAGTACTTATTTTAAAAAGACGATAATGTTATTTCAATAAACACTATTGGTTCATAGAAATACTATAAACTGTACATCTGTTATATTATTTACTAGTTGCACTTATCAATGAATAATAATAAAATTGTGAAATTTAAAGCATAAAAAAATTCAAATAAATTGTTATAAAAAAAGGTCATACAAATGACTCTTCAACTTTTCAGCTATAAAATATATTTTTTAATTTTCAAATAGATCTTCTAGACCTAAAATGATAAAATAATGGTCATAAATATGTAATTTGAGTCTTTTCAATGCCCCCAAATGTGCATGTTTATAAATACACCAATTTTATATCAATCTGAGGTAATTAAAAACAGGATAAATAACTTACTAAATAAGAATTAATGCAATATTTATTAACAAATCATAATTTGATAATACTTTTATTTAATTTTAAACAAATAATTTATAAATCCATTTAAAAAAAATTTAAATGAAAACCATTCAATCAAAAAGTTACCAGGTCATTTTTTTTATCACCATATTTTAAATTTCATAACTTTTAAATTAAGCTCAAAAATTATTAAACCAATATAATTTATATAATGTAATAAAACTTTAACATATTTGTTTATTTGGTTAAAAATATCGATCTAGTTTACCCCACTTCACCATAGCTAATCAATGAAAATTTTCTTATTTATAATTATGTGTTTTTTTTTTTTTTATTATTTAAGGTATTAAAAAATCAAAAAAAAGATAAATTGTCACTATTCCATGAAATATATAAAACTAAATTGTTAAAATCTTAAAGTGTAGTTTAATTGTTGATATTAGATGACACCTGAAATTTTTTAATTTTTATTTCGTTTCTTTTTCTCAGCCAAAGTATATTCAAAATCTTTTAGTTCAAGCTGAAAAGCGAAAAATCGAATATGAACGAAGAAATGAAAGGATGATTCAAAAAGAAAGAGAAGCAGAAGGTGATGCATTTAAAGATAAAGAAGCTTTTGTTACTTCGTCATACAAAAAAAAACTTGAAGAACTAAAAGAAATGGATGAAGAAGATAAAAAATTATCATTAATAGAAGATATTAATGATGTAACTAAACAAAAAGATATGGGTAGTTTTTACAGACATTTATATAAATCAGAATTGTGTAAAGAAGAATCTGATATTGAAATAAAGACTAAAAAACCTGATAAAAATCGTCAATACAGAAAAAGAGCATCATCTGAAGGTTCAGAAATCATTAATACTGATGATGATAAAGACTCAATCATGTCTGATTCAACATCACCACCCAACTCACCAAAGCGTGAAAAACTTGAAGATAAAATTGGTAATTTAAGTGGATCAGAGGAAGGTGAAATTATTGATAAATCATCTAGTCATAGTTCTGATAAGGAATTAAAGGAAGAATTAAAATCAAATACTCAATTGGAAAATTATGCTAACAAAGATAAGCAAGATAGGAAAGAAAAGATTAAAAAACCAGTTATTCCAAAAATAAATATTTGGGAAAAAAGAACTGTCGGGGAGGTATTTTTAGCAGCTCAACAAAGATATTTTGAAAGAAAAATGGCTAGAGTTAATTGATCATTTTGAAATAAAAAATGTTTTATATTGTACATAAATTTGTGGATAAAGTCAAGGTATAAAATTTGTTTATAATTAATAGCAGTTAACTCCTCTTTTATAGTATTTTCTTTTGAAATAATTTTAAAATGTACTGCTAACTATTAAAGTTTTCATGCTATTTTTTTTTTTTATGCAACATTAACAACTACAATTATTCCATTTATTTAGTTACTCCTTTTTTTGTATTAGTGATATTACATTTGTCAGCATAAATTTTATGTATAAATAACAAATGATCGGATAATATGAATATTTTATTTATAATAAATATATTTAGAATAAACAAAAAATTGATAACCAAATAATAAATAATATAAAAAGTAATAAATTTGACAATCATATATTTTTAATTTATATTATCAATATTTATTAATATGTTAAATTGCTCAATGATACTAAATGTAAACTGCTGAAAGTGGCAACTACATATAAATCATTAATTGTTATTACCTAGTAGCCACATCCAGTAGTAAATTAAGTTGTTGAACAATTTATCATAGTAATAAAAATTAAATAACCAATAATTTAAAATAGACTAAGTTAAATTAATTGGTCAATTTAGTTATTTATCTAGAAAATACTTTAATATACATAAAGATGAGAGGGTAACTTACAAATATTAAATTAAATTTTCCCAAATTTATTAAGTTGTATGTTCACTATAATTAATTAAATTTTGTACAATAAATTAGAAAATAGTATTTGGAATTAATAACTCAACTCTATAAATAATATTATAAAAATAAATAATTGTATATAGTAAATTTACCAAAAAAAAAATTAGATCTCAGTTGAATTATTATAATTAATAACACATTCTTTGCTGCACAAAGGGCGATTTTCATCTTTTACAGTAAATTTTTTACCTAAAAGAGGAGTAAAACATTGATAACATTTGAAACATGCTGGTGACTCATGCCAACTTAAATCTTTCCAGCCAATTCTATTTTCACCAGCAAAAATGTTTTTATGACATGTTTCACACTTCTAAAAAGATATATATAGTATAAAAATATAATTATTTATTAAAAATTAATTAATGTTTTTAATTAAGCATATACTTTTCCATATTTCACTTGATAACAGTCTAAACAAACTGGTTGATTATCAATCTGAACATATTCTAAGCCAGCTAAAGGTTTGTCACATTCAAAACAACAAAAATGCCGAACATGAAATGTATGATTTTCAGCTATTGTATATTCTTTCAAAAATATCAACTAAAAAAAACAAAAATTGTAAAATATTTAATAAATCAATAGAAAATTTAAATATAGTAAATATATTTTATTTACTTCATCACAAGCCAGACAACGTGGAATATTGAGACTTTCTGCATAATGTCTACCACAATACACATTTCCTTTAAAGAAAAAATAAACAAGATCAACTAATAGTTCCTGAAAAATAAAAATTTTAATTTATTTAAGTTTAAAAAATGATTATATTTTATAATAATAACAATAAAAATCTATTTAACTTTGCAAGTAGTACACACGAAACATGAAGGATGCCAGAGCACTTCTTCACCAGTTCGCTCTGCTAATACAGCAATTTCTCCAGGAAGAATCATACCACTACATTGTTTACAAAATAATTTCTTTCCTTCTGGTACAATGAATACATCGTTTTGAGCAGAAGGTACAACTTCTTTTTTATTTTTTAGAAATTTAGGATTATTTTCTTCATATAGTGAGGGTGTGAAATTATCATTTTGATTGACTGAGAATACATTATCATTTTTTTGGGATAAATTTTGCGAGTTGGAAATATTTGGTTTAGTGGGCAAAGTTATTTTATTATCATTTTGATTATTATTTACATTATCTAAAGAATTTTTAGGAAAACTTTGACATAGCCTATCAACCTCTGAAAAACTTTTATTTTTAACAAACTTAAGAGGAGTTTTTAAATTAGTCGGATCAGGATAAAGTAGTTCTGAAGGAGGAGGTGGAAAATCATTATCTTCACAATATTTAATGGTTTTAAAAGGATTCGTAGTTAAATTCAGATTCTTTAAACATGATAACGGATTCGATTTATCTGTCAATTTTTTAACAAAACCTAGACCAACTGCATTTTCTTTCAATTCTTTTAAATATGAAGACATTGCATTTTCTTCTTCTTTTGTTAAATTGTGACAAACATTTGCATTAAAATCATGTAAAGGAACCTGTTTTTCAAGCTGTTGGCGTCTATATAATGCTCCCTCACTACCACTTATTGGTAATTTATCAGATGGTAATTGCTGCATATATTCAGAAGCAAGATCTCTATTAACATTTGGAGGTATCCAATCAAATTTTAAAGTATTTTGGTTTTGATCAGCTTGAACTTGAATTATTTGACCATTTGATTTAATAATCATATTCAAAGCTAAAAATATACAATTAAACATTTTACTTTTTCAAAAAGTAAAGGAATAAGAGAAAAAAATTGTATTTTTATAGGTTAATTCTTGTCTTATTAATATAAAACATATTAAAATATATCTGCTATTAATTTAATAAGTAACAAAAAATATTTTCCAACAATAAAACTAATTGTAACTAATTGACAGCTATGTGACAAGAAACTCAAATTTCTTAAAAATTTAAATTTAGATTTATTATTTATATTTTATAATAATAATTTATTATAATAAATTGAAAAAAAAGTGTAATAGTTTTATTGTTGGCTAAATAACTTATCTATTGTATTTATTTTGTAAAATTTTTCATAAAATTATTTTTTGTAAAAAAAAATTTCTCAGATTTAAACACTTAAATTTTACAAATTAAAGAAAAGAGAATGAAACTACTATAAAAAAATATGTATAACTAGTATCATAGTATTTTTGATATCAAAATATACTAAATAAACATACTAGCTTTGACTGGTTGATAATTTGACTTGGAATCATTAAACAATATTTCAAACTGCTCAAATTGATCATCTTCAGTTATATTGTGTTCTTCTTTTTTACACTTACAATTTTTACATACTTTTCGCCAGAAATGTAGATCTAAACCAGGACATTTATCCAAACAATTCAAACAAGATGAACCAGATCCAATTTCATGAGCTAATTTATGGTGCTATAACATAAATTAACTAGTAAAATTTCAATACAATAACTACTTTAATTTAAAAAGTACATTAAAAATACTTTATTATAGCAGCAAGAGTAATTTGACTCTTTTAAAAGTAAATTATTAAACTAGATTAATTTATCTAGTTAAATTTATGGTTAATTAACTAACCAATAATATTTCATGTAAATAGAATACATTTATCATCTAAATGTTAATTAAGACAAAAAATAAAAAGTTTTACTATTAATGTCCATTAAAAATATTTCAAACAATTTAGTTTTTAAATAATCTAATATTTTCATACACAAATACTTACAAAAATATATAGATATTTAATTATTAATTCTTGAACAAAAAATCAATTAAATTTTTTAAATATTGATAGTAATTCATATTATCACTTGACATTTATTTCGGAAGCATCCAATTTTTAGATTTACACTTTTTCCATTAAAAATAACTATTGGAAATAATATTTAATTATATTATTTTTTTTATTTTATTACCTTTTTATGTTTGTTTTCTAACTTGGAAACCCATTCAGGTGTTTTGAAATGCTCTTCTGCTTCTAATGCCATTGCTAATTTAAAAAAATAATTGTAATAAAATGCTGAGTTCTGATCTATTTAAAATTAATTTATATATATATTGCATGTACATTTACAACAAAAATCCACATTACTTTGAGATATAAATTATATAAGTATTAGACAAAAAATTAAAATAATCATGATAGGTATGTATATATGACGTCAACGTATAAGAATTTTAAAAGAACCATTCGTATAAGCATGATCCTCCTTTTATTGGTTACTCATCATTTGATAGTAGAGATGGAAATTATTTCTTGATAAGGCTATGTACAATGTTCATACAAACTACATGAAGAAATTGAATTCTGAGAACTGAAGTAGAAAATTTCTACTAGAAACTTATGAACCTAAAAGAAAAAATCTAATACATAGTTTACTCGATTACTATTATAAAAAATAATATACATATTGTTATTAATTCTCAAATGAATCAAAAATTGAAATGCATATTTATTATTGTGTTTACCGTACTAAAAATCATTATATACAGATACAATTTTGCACATAATTTGTGTTATTGCTACTAATAATTTTTTTTAAGTTAAACATATATTTTATTTATTTAGATATACGAAAATACCTTAGAAATATAGAGTATGAAATACGTTATTTATTCAACGCATATTTTTTGAAGAAACAAAATTGATCAAATTATTAAACTTAATTACCACTAGTTTATGTGTTTTATTCAAACTGTACGATTTATTTTGTACTTTAAAACTAAATTAATCCAAGTCCAAAAATTATGATTTTCAGATTATTAAATTTTTGTATGAGAAATAAATGTTTACATCAATTTTAATCAAAAAAATTTAATATAATGACCCTTTCTATATTTTATCAGTTTTAAGAGTTTAAGTCTCCACTATGTACCAAAAAATAGCAAAATTAACTTAATTTACCTAAAAAAATACACTAGTGATATATCAACCAACTAGTTTTTTTAATGTAGATTAACAATATCAGCATGATATTATTTTATTTTACCTATGTACATCTCTATCAATAAGAATTACTAAGATTACCATAACTATAAAACTCAAATAACAAATTTCCTAATAGAATTGACAGAAAACTAAAAATGTTTGGATAAAAAGTTAATATTCTGTTGAAAAAAATTGGGAGGTTAAATTGAATTTTCCACCGCTTAAATTATTTTTTTTTTATAAAAAATACATATAATTTTCTTAAAATTTTGTAGAGTTAAGCCCTCCTGATTTCTGTCTATGAATCCAAGTTTTCCTTACTTTATTTAAAATAATAAATAATAAGATAGATCTTTAAAGATTCAACTAAAAATAAATATTAACATCATTTTTATAAAATAATTTTTATTAAAATTGTAAATTAAGTTGTTACTATTTTATAAAACAAAACCAACTTTTTGAAAGTAAATATTAAAAATTAATGTCTGTAAATAATTTTTAGTGTTGTACATTTTCATTGACAATTTTAATATTGATTAATTCTTGAGATCAACAAATTCAGTATTAGAAGCTACTTCATCAATATCCATAGGTAATATTTCATCCTTAATTTCATCTTTGGCTTCAACAGTTTGCAAATGCGCAATTCTTTTGACAACCGTGTAAGTATATTTGTTAAAATCGCATCTAAAAGATAGTAACTCTTTAATTTAAACATTAAGAGATATGAAATGGGCATAAAATTTAAAATAGTTGTAGTAAGATTTACATTTCAAATGCATAAATTATATTTAAAATATTTCATTTTATCTAAAAATTATTATTATAAAGTTTAAAAATACTTAACAAAAATTAAACTATATAGACTCATAATCTTACACTTTAGATAGATCTGTATATCTTTTGGTTAAATTTTTTTGCAACATTAAAACAGTAGTTTGATGAGGTTGGTGAGAATTTAACAATGATTTTATCCAATGAACATAAAATTCAAGATGCTTGGTGGTTCCACTTAAAATAGCTATATGCTTTAAAATTTTTTCTGCATAAAGTCTTGGTAGTGAAATAACTGTTAAATCGACTTCAAAAAATAAAAAACACCAAAAATGTAGTAGAACATTATTGTAAGGTAAAGTCTTATTAACACTCACTGTCTTTAAAGGGCGTAGACTCAATCACATCAGTTATTAGTTCAGGTTCATTGAGTCGTAAAGCCATCATCAAAGCTAATTAATAAAATAAAATGAACGTTATTATCATTAAATATTTTTTAGGATAAATAGAGAGAAAAATAAAGTTATACATTAATTAAAAATCTACACACTCACCTGTTGCATACTCCTTTTCAGATAATGTTTTCTTTGTTGTTAATGGTGTTATACCAATTTCTAGTTGAAAAGGGTCAAATATAAATTCACTATCTAATGAATATATCAGCACACCCTCTGTAGTAGCTGCAGCCCAGGATAAACCTAGTAACATAAATTTAGTTTTATATTTAATATGTTAAAAAATATATAAAAATGTTAAAGATGTTTAAATACCAGTCGGCGAAAATTTTACATCTAACACATTAATTTCTGGTTTAAATGTTCTTGCTGCCAAGTCACCTTTATGAACACCTGGTAATTTTAATTTAACATTTCCACCTTCACGTGTTTCTCGTTCTTCAATTAGATCTTTGTTTCCAAATTCTGTCATTTTTCGCCGATTTATAACATCCTAATATATATTTCTTTAATTAAAATTTTATTTTATAATAAATAGTGTTGAAATTTTAGCAAAGTTTTAAGACTTTAATTTAAATTATTTATGGAAGCATCTTATATTATTCAAAAAACTTTAATAATAAATGGTTACACCAAGTGACGATTAAATAAAAGAGAATAAGAGATTAGCTCCTCTGATTAACAGACCCTATTTGACATTTTTATATTTTATATTTTGAAAACTTAAAAAAACAGCCATTTTCGTACATAAAAATAGTCCAAAATAATATCCTGATATAGTTAATACAAATAAATAATGCTTGGATTACAGAGATTACAGCGCCTACAAAATTTTTTCATATAAGTTTTTTATCTCTTCCGATGGCCAAATCATTTGACTGCCGCTAGTTCTACCTCTAAAAATGTGATTACAATACAAAATGTTTTACAAACATTTGAATTAATCACAAAAATCCTAAAACTTATATACAACACATAGTATCATTTTAGCCCAATTTTTTTCCAGTCTTATTGTGAAAAGTAAATGACAGTAAAAGAACTGCAAAATAATTAAAGGAGAAGATATAACATAACCTTTTTTGAAATTTGTGAATATTCATAATAGTTTTTAAGAAAATTTAATGTTTATTTGACTTATAAAACTTACTGTAACAGCATCAAATGACTGATTTTGAGTAATAACAAACTTTTTCAATAAAATTGCTTCAGAAACATTATATATACAAACATTTTTTGATTGCCCACCTGCTATGACAAATTGTCCGTCAGCTGAATAACAAACAGAATTAAAAGCTCTAAAAATAAAAATAATTAAACTTAGTCACAAGTGTAAAACATGATCAAATTAAAAAACCAAAATTAGCTACTAGACTATTTAATACAATAATAAATTCCATGACTAGCTCAACCAAATGTCAACTAAGTATTTTTAATATTAAATTAATAGAAACAATAAGTGCAATATTGAACATTATTCAATATTTTTTTTTTTTTTTAATTAAAAGTTATAAAATAACTAGAGTAATATTAAAAACATTAAGTTTACTTTGCTTGAAGACTTTTTTTTGCCGTTATGAGATCAGTATCACATCTACCACTTCCTAAATCATTTCTTCCTTCAATACTTCCTACTTGTGTTGAAGTACGGACATCAAAAAATAATAATTGGCCATCTAAAGTTGCTACAACCACTTCTTTTCCATCAGGACGAAAAGCAACACATAAGCCTAAATATAATTATTAACCTGAATAACTATAAAAAATTAAGTTTTTTTTTTAATAAGAAATTACCATCTGCAAAAAGTTGAATAGTTTCATGATCAGATGCATTTTCTACAGCATTCCAAATACGTAATGTTTTATCCCAGCTCACAGATACTAAAGTAGTACATGAAATATTTGGACTAAAAGCTAAACTTACTATTGGACCCTCATGACCAGTCAACACCTATAATAATATTACATTATATACCCTTTTATGTTATTTTAGAGCTAAATTTTTAACTTCACTCACTTCTAAAAGTCTACCAATTTTCATAGACCAAAGATAAGCTTCAAATACATCTTGACCACCAGCAGCCACAAATTCTCCATTAGAATCAATTGCTAAACTAGCAAATTGAACAGGTCGTGGAGATACAAATGTTCTAAAGTTCCGGTATCTAGTCATAAGCATAATTTATAAGTATTTATATAATTTCATATAAAATTATATAAATATCCGTGGCTTGTATTTGAAATAGCTTATATCATCAAACAAAATTATTAAAAATGCATTAAAGTTTTCAAATATTGATATTTTATGACTGGTGAATGTTTTATGAAAACATTTTAAATTCATTCTTGTTAAGTTAAAATATTACTATTAAACTAAAGAAAACTTAAATTATTTTTCAAACAATTTTTAAATGAACATCACTAACATTATTTCTACAAAAAATTATTTAGGAAAAATTTACATTATTTTGTTAAAAATTGTGATTTTCCTTTAGTAATTCATATATATTCAATAATAATAGGTTACCTGGTTAGATCAAAAGCTCTTACAGTACCATCTAAAGAAGCTGATATAATAAATTTCTTGTTGGGTGCAAATACAATATTTGTTATAGAGCTTGTGTGTTCAGAAAACGTCACTATACAAAATCCAGATTGAGTATTCCATAATTTTACCTTAATTAAAAATAATTATAATAAATAATAATTAGTACAGTAGGAATTCAGAAAATTGGAGTTGAGGCATTAGTTAAATTAGTATTGATTGACATCTGTGTCAAAGTGATTAAAATTACTTGGACACATTTAAATGTATGTTTGATGCAAAAATATGTACTTATCTTTTCATATCTATTATAAATATTTTAGGCCAAAAAAGGGTCAGTTATTTGAACTCAAAAATACCAAATACTTAAAATAGGCATAGCATAGATTTATTATTTATTGTACTTGTCAAATACAATTTTTTCATTTTAGAAACCAATTATAAATTTTTATTTTTAACTTTATAAAAAGGCTGATTACTCATAAAGGACAATTGGTTGAAAAGTCATTCTTTTTTAATTATATAGTAAATAAAAAAACCTTAAATTTAATTTAGTTTTCAATTTCGTTGTTATGCGAAATATATAAAAATCTTAGTCATTTATACCAAAAATTATATGATTCTTGGCTTTAATGCCCAATAACTACTAGAAATTTCAGATAGTTTTCATAATTTGATGAAAGTTTACACTAACAAAATAACTTAATTTATGATAGGAAATGCTGATATTATAATAAAAAAATACAAATTACTTTTCCATCTTCACCCCCTGTAGCAATATACATAGAATCAGAAGAGTATGCCAAACAAGATATTTCAGAACCATGTGCTTGCTGTTTCATAACATAAGTTTCGCTCTGCCATTCCCAAACTAACAATTGACCATGACCTTCACAACCTAAGGCAACCCAATCACCAGATTCATTTAACACAATAGTACTTATACTAGTATCAGAAATACTGAAAATAAAAATAAAACATTTTAAATCATTAAAACAGAATGTTATAATATATGATCAATTTACTTCAATGAGTGAATTAAAGACATCCCCACAGTTTCGAAAATTAAAAATGACCCATTTGAAAATCCACTTATTAAAATTTTAATTTTCTTATGGTAATCTGCAGCAGTCATTTTTAAGTTACTATGATCTTCTTTTAGATGATCATTTAAAAAATGACGAGATAACTTCTTATAACTTATTAATTCAACATTGTTTCCAAATTTTGTTTTCTTTTTAATTTTCTCTAAGACAGTAAGATAAATAATTGGTATTTAAATAAACTAAATCGTCAATAATCTGAGAAATTAATTTTTATTTAATAAAACTATTATTTTTATTTTAAAATAAAACAATATAATTTAATACCTTCTTTGTCATTTACAAAACGCTCTTGATCTTCTCCTTTAGACATATCTATATCATCTTCTTCATTTTCATCTTCATTAAGTTTTAATTTTTTACTATCAGATTTCACTTCACTAGATAACTGATCTAATTGAAATGAACTTTGCCATAAAGTCAAGTGACCATTCCTACATTAAAAAATTTATTTTTGTTAGTGAATGACCAAATTTTAATTTACAATACAAACCTGCTAAGAGTCATTAAGTCAAGAGAATTTTGTTCAAAAAATAAGCTAATAATAGCATCTGTATGTCCAGTTAGTGAATAGGGACGAAAATTAGAATAATTTTCTATGGTATATAATCTGACAGTAGCATCTTTACTACCCACAGCAAATATGCTATTAAAAATAAACAATATAGAAAAATTACATTGTATAAAAATGTTATATTTTTTTACTTGGAATCATCAGTCCATGCAGTATAAGTAGTATCACCTAGAATATCACTGAAAACTCGTTCTAAAGCAAATTGATTGAATTGACCAAGGAAATGACCCGGTGTTTGCAGAATAAAAACTAGAATAAAATATTTTTATGAATGTATTTATATCAAGAAAGATTTAAATATCACTGTAAAAAATACCTTTATTTAATTTACAAGCTGCTATATGTTTTCCATTAGGACTAAATTTCAAGTGAAGTATTCGGTCATTAAATCTATACTTATGAATAACTCTATTACTAATAAGACTAATTAAATCAGCTTCTCCAACTGAAAATTAAGATAAATAATAATTCAAATTAATATTGTTTAAGTTATTACTTACTCTCATTAACAGCAAACAAAAGTGTTCCATCTGGAGATATAGCAATTTGCTCATAATTATGAGAACTTTCAACAGGTAAAGTAGATGACAAATTACTAAAAAGTTATTTTATATAGAAATTATAAAATACAATACTGTTATTTCAAGAAAAATATAAATAATAAGTTATTTTACTTTTTTAAATCATATTTTGAAATACGATTCCCAACAGGGCTAATAACTGAATTGCCATCTGGTGTGAATGATAAATTCCCTTTTCGATAAACAGTTCCAAGAACATTAGAAAACTATAAAAAACATTTACCTTGTAATCATTAATATTACTATTTATTTTTATTATAACTGTTAGAGGTAGGAATTTTATTTTTTGACATAATTTTGTAGAGTACTCGCAGAAAAATAGGGATTCAAAATATCAACAAATAATGAGATTAAATAGTAAAAAAATTGTTTGCATATTTGAGAATATCTCATGGTAAAAAAATATATTACATAAAAAATATACAAGAGAATATACTGTTTAAAATTGCAATGTTTTATAATTTTCTAAAAAAAAAAATGTAATTTAAACAAAATAATTTTAAAAGTTTAATAAGTATCTGAAGTTTTTATATTTTATTCAAATGTAGTTTTTTACTTTGAAAAATAAAAGTAGTATTTAATTTAGTATTTTCATTTAATTTTTTTATGCTCATAAAAGTATAATTTTTATTAAAAAAATAAATATTATTTTATATGAATATTTTTAACTTTTTGAAATAATATTAGGGTCACATTTATAATTTGTATACCTTATAATTGAACCTCATGATAATTACAGTAACAATTAATATATATTTAAATTTTAATATATGAAGTGTAACATAATATTAAGCAATTCAATATTTGAAATTCTTGAATAAGTCAAAAAAAAAATTGGAGTATACAAAACCATTAGATATTAAAAAAAACACGTGATTGTAAATAACTTTATCAATGATAAAACTGATAAGATAATTACACTGAATAAAATTGAAAATTAATCACAGATATAGATAATATTATCTATATCTGTGAAATTAATACAAAATCTTATCATAAATGTTAAATTTTACATTGATGAATTATTTTTTCCCACTGAATATTTTTAAAATTATGTGAATTTTTTTTAGCAACATCTTATATATTGAAAAATTGACGTATGAAACGATTACATATTTCTGATAATATTTGAGTGGAAATATGCACCCTTCCCTTACGTTTTTATTTAAATTTTCTGTACGTGCTAAAAAATTATTTTAAAACGTACTATTTATTTTTTAGTATTTCTATTATTGTATATCCATGACATTTAAAGAAAATTAATGGGCTTCTTTTTATATTTTCCCTACCCTAAAAATTTTAATTGCTATACATGTAAATTTCTAAAATATTATTCTTGCATCAATAAACCTATTATTTTAAAAGTATCATGATGGTGACTTGTTTTGTTGGTTGCTTAGTGAACACTTAACAATATTTTTTAATATAAAAATATATTCTATCCCTGTAAATGTACAAGAGCCATTCAACATAACATATTCAAAATTATTAATACATGTGATCCGTTGGATATGGAAAAACTATATATATGTTAATGATATGGAAATAGAAAAAAACAATTAATTAGTTAAAATACTCAATATATAAATCTGTATTTATATAAAAAAAAATAGATTTGTATCATAAAATAAAAATTGTTTGTATAAAATATAAATATATCATATTTTTAATCCTAAAAACTAATTATAAGCTACAAATTATTTTTCAATTTATAAAATCAAATAATTCATTACAGTAATAATTATAAAATAAAATGCATTTATATAAGAACATACATTATTGATTAAAATACACACTCTAACACTGTATCTAAGAGGTAATCTGTAATTTATTATAAAATAAGAAACATACTAAGAACAATTATAATTAAATGTTATTAACATATTTAATAGATTTTAATTATAAGAGTACAATGAATGAAAAATATTTTATAATAGTAATTAATTTAAAGAAAAACAAAACAATTAATTATTGATAAATTAAAAAATTATTATTTTAGGAATTTGAATGTCAGTATAAATTTAAATGTACAATAAAACAATACAAAATTATAATAATAAACTGATATGTATAAACTAACTAATTTTTTTTAAATGATGGCAGTAGTTAGATTTTACTTTTTAATTACAATAGAGTAATAATTAATATCAGTATTTTTATGATAGAGATAGCTTATTCTTCTTTGAATCATAATTATGAATAAAAAATTTAGGTAACTAATGAAATGAGATTTTAAGCTTTAGAAAAAAAAATTATTTAGTACATTATATATTCAGTTCAAAATTAAAACATATAGTCAAGTCATACTTTAGTAATTTAAATGTTACTTTATATTGACTTTAATGTTTATCTTATGGTGTTTGTTGCTGAATTTGAGCTTGCATTTTAGCAATGACATCTTGCATACGTTTTAGCTCTGCTTCTTTTTCTTGCAAAATTCTATCTTTTTCACTGCCTGCATTCCTTTCATGTTCAGGAAGGGATCTAAAAAAAATTATTAATTTTTAATATATCAAAAAAATAATTGTTATTTTACTTACGTTGTTCTTTTTGGTACTGGAATTCCTTTAGCTAAACGCTCTGAACGATAATTTTCATAATGAACTTCTTGAGTAACCTCTTGCAAATCTTGCATATGAGTACTATATTTTTCAAAAATGAAATAATAATTTTGCATTATAAAATAAAGTTCTACATTTATGATTTTTTAATTATAAAATGTATTGGTTTACACACTAATATAGTTTATTTTTGTATAAATATATTTATATAATAATGTATTATAATTATAAAAAAGAAAATATACTTAAACAATTACAATACTTACATGAGCATAGTGCGTAATTTAATAAAATCACAATGTTCTGGATTTTCAACTTCAACAACACCCCAAGGATAAAATCTTCCACGAACTTTTTTACCACGAACTTCCAAAAGTTGATTGGCTCCACATACTGCAAACGGTACAGCTTCCTTCAATTGTTTTACCTATAAAGCAATATAAAACAACAATGTTACAAAATTCAAATCACAAAAATTTTCAAATAAAAATAATAATACTTGTTCTTTGTAATCTTCATCTTCATCACTGTCACAATCAGGTAAAGGATAAATTTTTATTCCATTTTCATCTATTTCTTGCAATATCTGTTAATTTAAATTATATAATTATTTTGATAATGAAAACAAAAATCAAACCATTCAATGAAAATTGAAGGGTTTAGTGCAATAATAGATTATTTCCAATTTTTCGAAATTCACAATTTTATATTTTCTGATAGAGAGAATAATTATTCAATGCAATCATCATATTTAACAGTTTGGTGTAATTACTGAGTTTTTGTTTACTAGTAAAGCTAATATTGTAAAATAGAATACATAATATACAGAGTTTAGTACTAAAATTATTTAATATTTTGAATTTCCTAACCATTTCAAAAAATTAAGATAGCAGGTATTACTTTATACTATTTAAATACAATATACTAAAATAATATCACCTTTGATTTGAGTTTTTGTATTTCTTTTTTAGTAAGGACATCTGATTTAGCTATAACTGGAACAATATTAACTTTATTGTGTAGTTTTTTCATTAATTCAATATCTAATGGCTTTAATCTAAAACAAAATAATATTCCATTTATTTTTTTATAATCAAAAATTTATTTCAATATAATCATCAAATTATAACATTAATGATAATTTTTTTACTCAAATAATCTACCGATTACTTTTATGGACTAATTTTAAAATTGAAGTGAAGTAGAGACAGTATTATTTATGTTATACTCTAAGGGCCAATAGAAATTTAGGGAAGAAAAGAAATTGAGCACAAAACGATTTGTTTAAAAGAACCTTGTAAATTAAGTTAATAAGAGAAACAAAAAAGACAAAGGTTCTGCACTTGAGTTATTTTTTAAGGTTGTTTTTATTAACCCTTAAAACTCTATGCATCTAATTTTACAAATCACATTTTTTAAAAAGACATGATTATTTTATTGTACAGTGTTTTAGAAATATAATTTTAAAAAGGTTGATGTAGATATTTTTAAATAATTCAGATGATTGTAAATATATTTTTAAAAACAAATTCCAATTTATATTTATGAAATACACTAACAAAGATAACTTCTTCTTTTTCTTTTTCCTCTCCTTAATCCCAACTACTTGGGGTCGGCCACCCTTATCCTAAACTTCCACTTGACACAATCTCCCACATCATCTACGCTCACTCCAGCTGTCCTCATATCGCATTCAATAGCATCACTCTATCTCTCTATTGGTCTTTCTCTACCTCTTCTTCCTTCAACATTCATTTCTATAAATTCTTCTCTAGTCACTCCAGTCATCCATCTAAGCATTCTCATCTCTGCTACACTCATTCTTTGCTCTACTTTCTTATCAACTGCCCAACACTCTGAACCATACATCATAGCTTGCCTTACTACAGTCTTATAGAATTTACCTTTCAACCTCATTGGAATTGTTTTATCGCATAAGACACTTCTCTCCACTTCAACCACCCACACTTAATCCTGTATCTTGCATCCTCATCAATACCACTGCTCTTTTGCACAATAGACTCTAAATATTTAAAACTTTTGACTTCTCCAATCACGTCTTCGCCTATTGTCATTGATCTCTTCATTTCACCTACCTCGTGTTCTCCTTTTTCAAACTCGTACCTCTATATACTCTATCTTATTTCTACTTATTCTTAAACCCTTTTCTTCAAGAACTGATCTCCACAACTCTAGCCTTTGATTAATTTCCTTTACAAACAAAGATATCAATGTATATAATTAATAAAATTATTCATTTAAAAGTAATATTTACTGAATATTTAAGATAAAAAACTTGGTACTTTACTATAACAAAATTAAATAATTTAATTACTTTTATTTTCAAGTAATTAATAAGTAACTTAATTATATTTATGAAGGAAATGTAAGATAATGTGTTACTAAAAATAATGATACTTCCAATAGAAAAAAAGAAATTTATATTTAAAAATAATAATTCATGTGTATAATACTCATTATAGTCTTTAAACAATTCTAATTCGTTATTTTAATTATATTTAATATTTTATACCCAGCAGGGAGGAAATGACTATTAATAAAGATAACAACATCTACTTATCACGTCCAATGTATATTTTAAAATGCTAATAACTTCAGAAATACTGGTCCAAAAACTGTATTGACCAATCGTTTTCTTAATTAAATTAATTATGTATATTGCAATTTGGAAAAATAAAGTTACACAGTTATAAGGTATAAAGTATTAACATAAGAAAATACTTCATAATTGATAAATTAAAACAAATAATTACCCAAAAGATACCAAAAACATAAGTTTATTAATATTTTTTCTTATTTTTCAATTAATCAAGAGTTTTAAGATAAATGAATCTGTATAAATATAATAAATGTAAAATACTGACAAAATTTTTGAACAAAATTGATATTGGCCTTTATTTAACCACACTATATATAAAAAGTAATTTGAGGAGTTACTCATTACTTTTTTTGGTAAAGAAATTACATTGTATTTAATAATAAACAAACTAGAAATTATATTAATTTTTGTAAATAGAACAATATATTATAATTTTATTAGTTATCAAATTATTTTACCCAAAATTGACGATTATAACAATATAAATAAAAATAATCTATTGAAAACTTATGGCTCATTAACACCTGAAGGTACTAACATTTTATTAGTCAAAAATAAAACAAAACATCATTCAGGGTAAATAATTTTAAAGTTCACATAATATTCTTTAATTGAAATCTAGCCTTGTTTGTATAATTTTACATACCCATGACCAAATGGTGATACAAAGTAAAAGCAACAATGAACTCTATTGTCAATTATATGTCGTCTGTTAAGTCCACTTTCATCTTTTAAAAATCTTTCATATTGTTCATCAATATAATGAATTATAGCACTAAAACTATATAAAAATATTAACATTATAACATCTATATGAGATACAAATTTTATATTATACTACTAACTTTTCAAAAATAAATTAATAAAAATCAAATTTGAAATATTGAACTAACTTATCTGAGTTATCTATAGCATCGCCAAAGCCTGGTGTATCAACTACTGTTAAACGTAGTTTCACCCCACGTTCTTCAATCTCCACGGTTGAAGCATCTAATTTCACAGTTTGTTTAGTTTTAGCTAGACAAATATATACATTATATCACATAATTTTATTTCACAAAAATTACATTCATTATTACCAACAGCATCTGGAATATTACGTTCAGGATATAAGTCTGTTAAAAATAAACTATTGACTAATGTTGATTTACCAAGTCCAGATTCTCCTACAACCATAAGAGTAAATTCAAACCCTTTTTTAACAGACTTTCGATGAACTTGATTAGGTAAATTGGCAAACCCAACAAATCCTGGTGTTTCTACACTATTAAACTAAAAATAAAATAAAAAATAATTTAATATAAATAACAAAAAAAGTTTAAACATTGTTATATACTTTAAAAACTCTTACCGATTTAATTGAGTCACTCGACATTATGAATAATTATAAATGAAGTTGTGCTTTTAAAATTACTCTATGATAACATCAATTAATTAAGTTGTTATTTAATTAAATATATCTGATAGTTGTTTTATTTAACAGTGAAGTAATAAATTGTTGAAATTGAGACGGCTCTCGATGAAAGAGCATTATCACATACACCGCCTAATGTGACTAAATAAACACGTGTGTTGGCAACACTGAGATAGATAACACCGGTAGAATTTGTGAAATAAATTAAATTTATAAAAATACACAAATTAAAGAGTCTAATCATAAAAAAATTCGATAATTAAAAAAAAAAATCAATTTCGGTTAGATTATGACTTTAATCATCAAAATCATAGACACTCTCTAGAGGGACTTTAAAGATTTTTCAAAAAGTCAAAATGTTTATTACTCTGATGGGAATGCTATGCGATCAATTTTCATTCTATAGAATGAAGATTTCTATAGTTACAACTAAAAAAATAAAATTCTTAAAAAAACCATTCTTATAAATTGTTTAAACAAAAGAAAACGATTACATTTTTTGGCTACTTAAAAATTAGTCTCTTATTTTAATCGAAATTTTTAATCAACTCATTACGTTCAAATAATAGTTTAAGCGCATCATTAAAATATATTGTGAAGGCTATAATGTAATATATTTATTTTTATAGAAAAATTATCAAAAATTAAATACTTATAGAAATGATAAAAATGTAATAAAATAATTACTCCATATTATTTTAGATTATTAATTTTATAATTCGACATATTAAGAGAAAATCGAACATAGATAAGATTACAAATCTGACAATCAAAATAAATCTCAAAATTGCTTTCCTCTGCTTACAATATTTTAAGGAACAAATAGTTAACTAACTATTCGATAAAATATCATAATTAATAATATAGAAAAAATGTAATGAATCTTAAATAAGGGGGGAATATTAAAAATAATTTTGTAATAAAGTTTTTTAATAAATAATAGATTTATCAAAAATAACAATTTCAATATAAAATTATTTTATTAAGTATATTTAACAAAATACAACTTTTATAATAAAATATATTTAATTACAAAAACATCTTTTTTATGTTTTAAGGCGTCTGGGTACCGACCTTTTTTCAGGGGTCGAATATAGGCAATATTTCGGTTTTATATGTTATGCAGTGTCGTTGTGTGAGAAATAAATGATTATAAGTGCGAGTGTCCATTATTGGGAGTATTTTCGTCGTGTTATAGTCGATAACAAAACCGATTGTGTACCTGCCTTACTTTTTGATGCAATACGATTATATTGATAACGACACACGTTTATTTTATGTAGTATAAAAACTATAGTTTAGCACCAGCCTCACTTTAAATACTAATAGACGCGTCATGATTTCACAAATATTAATTGATTATAAAAATAATTAAACTATTTATTTTCGACGATTAAAAAAAACTAAATATTTACAGAAAACAAGTTAAATCATATGAGATCCACATCGATTATTTTGAAGTTATAAAACTATAAAAAAACTAATTTTAATTATAAGAATTCAATTTACAAAATTACATTATTTACACACTAAAATATTTAAGTTTTATAAGCCTGTTCTTATGGGAAGTCCTTTATCATTCACTTATCCATTTTCAATAGCAAACTTAGTTTCTTCTTTCCCCGCTAACTCTATCGAATCCCATGCAGTTTTTTCAGTTAGCTTAGCAATATAATCATGATATTCTTGATACGTCTTATTACTCATACAAGGCATATTTAGTACAGCAGAAAACTGTTCTAAATTTGTAAACCCCTGACCAGTATTCAAAGTAGCAGTAACAACTGCAGTATTTATACTAAGAGAATCATTTAATTTAGGATCCTCTGAATAAATAATTTTTTTTTTTTTGCAAAAATTACATTCAAACCCTTTGAACTTCAGTTTTAAATACAAAATTTGAAAAATTACAGGCAAATAACTCGTGTTTAATTGATTTCAAACTATTAAAAAAATATTCAATATTTATTATTCTACGACTGTTTCAATTATACCTAAAATAGTTAAATATGTGTATTAATTTCATTGTAAAATAATACTATAAAAAATAAACTAACTCTTTTTGAATAATTGGTTGATTAACTTTTGAAGAAATTTTTTTACAAGTATCAAGAGTTTGTGCACTGGGTGACAATGGTAAGAAATCATAAAAACTATCATCTTCAATTTTTCTAAAGAAAAAAAAATGTTTGTTTCTAATAAATTATATTTTAACCTTGCCCTTCTTTAAAAAATTTTCTTCGTGAAAAAATTACTCACTCATTTATTAAATTCTCCTCGTTACTTGTTTGAGGTACGTCAAGTAAAATGTTAGTTTGAGAATTGGAAACATTCTACCAAAATAATATATATTGTATTTATTTTTTAATTTTCATGTGTAGCTGAAGTGGTATCTTGATTTTACAATAATGTGTTTTTTATTTACAATTTTTTTCTACTAATAAGAACTATTAATTTTCAGTCTGATGGTGTACCTAAATAATTTTTTTTTTTTTGAAATGTCACTTATGCTTCATGAATTCTAAGCACTTCGTATTATATTAAATATAGGTTATATCTCATTATCACTCAATTCTGACCACCTTTTTTTAAAAAAATGATTTACTTTTTTTTATTGTATGTAGTTTAAAATTCATTTTATAATTAATACAAGAGATTTATATATTCGATGATCTAACACTTTGTGTATGTGTACATTACAAATGTGTTGAAATAAAAAGCTCATAACATCAGTTACTTAGTGTTAGATTTAGTTTGATAACATAGTGTGCGACTGAGAAAAACACGTTATTGTGTCAGATTTAAAGAGAAATGATTAAATTATAATGCTGAATACATCAACAAGATAAATCTTTTGATCTTTTAGCGTATCGTTGAACAATAAATGTCCAGTAAGTACAGATATGAATAGACACAAGCAAAAAACACATCATAATAAAACTAATACCTTCTCTGTTTTTTATCGAAACTAAGAAAGTGTATGAAAATTATTTTTATATATTCGTACCTCACCAGATATTTTTTTATGACTCCCCATTTTTTTAGCGACACTTATTTAGGAATAGAACAACAAAATTTGTTTCTTACTATGTAATGATAGCTTTGCAAATAAGATAAAAGCAAATAATCTAATATCATATATACAGGTATAATATCAAGTATGCATTGTAACTATTTTTAGGCAGTCGGTATTGCCCTATGCAACCTATGGTCAATAAAATAGCTGCTGCGGATAACGCACATACGCGCACGAGAATGTCACATATAACAGCTACTGTTTGAAAACCAAAAGTTTGAACATACAAAACAACTCGTTTTTGTTCCATCAGTACGACAAAACTACTGATGCGATAAGAATTCTGAAAACAAATTTGAATTCAATATCAATTAAGTATCGGTTAGGCCACTTTTTTGAAATTGTGATTCCTTCAACGTAAAAATTTATTTTGAAAATTTTAAAATTATTCGAAAATGAAAACTGTATTAAAGGGTTAAAAACATCAAAATTTCAAAAATATGGCCTGACCGATACCTAAGTGACATGATGCTGAATTGAGATATGTTTTCAGAATTCTTATCGCATCAGTAGTTTCGTCGTACTGATGGAACAAAAACGGGTTGTTTTTGACTAAAAAGCGGTCGGTACCCAGACGCCTTAAAGTATAATTTTATTTAAATAAAAAATATTAGGTTTAATTCAATTTTAAGTAATTAATTAAATAAGATATCTAAAAGTTCAAGAAAGAAGTGCCCGATCGAAACTTTTGTTGGTTGGCATCTGTTCAGTAAAATACCATTGGCACATTTGGGTCAGGCCACATCAAATCAATCCGGTTCGCTCGTTACAAGTTACGTCGTGGCTTATCGTACTCTCGTACAGTGTTTCTAAAGCGTACTTGCTAATTTCTGGGTGCATTCTGTATAGTACAGTTAAACGAACTGGTTGTACACAAACAGCAGTTAATCTCTCGAACGATTAGTGAACGATTTAGACCTCCGTTAATAGTATCCGGGCACAAAACAACTGGTCTCAACTAACAGTAGTCACCTATAAACACAACTTTTTTGGCTCCATTGGTGATCGGAATAACGCACTCTGACTCTAAGCCCTGAGCGCATTAGTCTACGACTACCGAAGAAAAATTTACTTTCTCTAAACAGCTGTCGCCGGCGCCTCTATTCCTTTATCAATAACCCTTGTAGAGTATTGGATTCTAAATGACCTACAAGTTCTTTTATTTTCTCACTAACAGATGTGCTTGAAAGATCAATTTCAACATGTCTAAAAAAACATGCGGTTTGAATGAGTTTTTACATGGTGTAGTGCTGCTAATCTAAACTTTTGAATACAATATGCTCTTCAAATAAAAGAACTCGTTCAACATTTTTATAATGTTATTTAATTTTAGTGTAATAAACTAAAAGTAATACAATTTTTTGTTTATTTTCGTTCATGGTGACGTATATTCTAATTAATTTATGGAAATATTTTCAAATATTTTACTTAAACAGATTTTTATAATTTACACAAATTTTATACTAGAAAATTAACGAATCAACAATGCTAGATTGAAATGAAAACAAAGTTTTTTTTTAATAATGTTTTCTAATAAGGCTTATTTTATTTTGTTTAATTGTCTTAAATTGTTATGTTTTGTATTTAAATCGTATACGATTTAAATGTAATGTAATGTTACTCGAATGCAATGTATATAAATATTACATTTAAGAATAAACTTAATTTAAAAAATCAATCCACTTTATTTAAGTCTTAAATTGTTTTTATTGTTATTTTCTTTATAAAAGGGCCTCCGGGTCATACATTAATTTATCATTAATGCATTGTAGATCAATTTATTTAAAACGCCCATTTCAGGTGATATCTTAATTTTTATTTTGTCATATATTATGTTACAATTTATAACAATAATTATATGTTTATTTTCAGGTGATTCTTAAGTTTATCTTTACAGTAATCTTAAGATAATTTTGTCTTTATACCGTTTAATTCAAATTTTTACTAGTTTTAAAAATAATTTTTTTCTTCAGGTACACATGACAAAAATCACTCTGCTGTAGTGAATAATTAAAGTTTCTAGTAATGATATATCATCATTGACACTTGACATAGTTCTAATTCTAGTGTCCAACTTAACAGCAAACATATCTTTCATAAAATAAAATAAAATCATAATATGTATTACGTAATTAATCACAATTTTTTCTATGATAACTAATACTTATTTTCTAAATAGAATATACCTCTCGTCTTAGAGAACATAATCATTTTTTAAATTATATATATAATAATAATGTAGATGAACTAAATTTGTATAAAAGATATAAAAGAATTTAATAAATTCAAGTTTCTTCTCTTAAAACATATTTTTAAATTCCCTAACTACTTACTAAAGTAAAAAGTTAAAAGAAATAGTATATTATATCCTTTTATAAAACATATATAGTAACTATTAAATTCAATGACATGAAATAGGAAAGGATAGGGGGATAGATCTCCCATTGACATAACTTTTTTTAACAATTTTTATTATATATTTTGGAAACTTAATATATGATAATTCAAATTAAAAGTTATTGTTCAGTATTAATATGGAAACAAGATTAATCCTTAAAATTTTAAATATTACATTTTAAGCCTTAGTTATTATTTATACGTAGGTAAATTCAACAAGGTACCATTCTAAAAGAAATTAAATATTTAAAATATGTTTAATAAGATTAAAGTCATTTATGCTCATCAATAGTCCTTAAAAACATCTTAATAAAGTAATAGAGTAAAAAAAAACTCTGGTGTATAGGGAGACAGCTCCCATAATGATACTTATCATAAGATTTTTCAATCTCATGGTAAAAATATACTTGAACACCATTTATTACATCACATGTCAAATTTAAAATAAAATTCAGTATTTAATATTCACAAATATGAAAAAATCTCTATATTATAAAAGTAGAATAATTACATTATCTAATACTAAAAAAGTTTTTTTTTTTTACAAAATTTCATCCTATAAAATCGTAAATATTTTAACTAAGTTGCAGTTCTTCGCGTATTGCATCAGCTAATAAAGATATACCCTAAAAATAATGAAAACAACATATCAAATTTCGAGTAACGATAAAACTAAAATTTATTTAATAAAAAAGTAAAATCGTTACCGCGGGGTGGCGGTTGAACTTGGAACAGTTAAATATTTTACAGATTTCATTACTTAATTTTTATAAAGAAATATTTTGTGCATTTTATCGATACTTGTGTTACGGATTGCTACGACTAAAATGATAATATTTATTTAACTGCCCCAAGTTGACCCATTTATGTCATATAATTAAGCCATAACAACAAAAATATTTATAATTACTTTATAAAATATAAATTTTATTTTTCAGCTGAATAAATTTTAGCTACTTATTTTAATTTAAAAAACAAAATATTTCAAATAACTGGTATTGAACATAAATGGTCATTTCATTACTATTACACATAATCTTTTTCTATTTTCAAAATAAAATTCTACTAAAAACTAATAATGATAAAATAATTATTTTTTTAGTCACATACCAGATCGACTTCTGAGGGAGATGCAATTGAGAATGATATTCGAATGAAAGGTGATGGTTTTTTTGTATCAATAGCTAAAGCATAGCCAGGTGCGAAAATCACATTTTTTTCTAAGCATCTTGAAGTAACTAACCGTCTTGTATCACTTAAGCCAATAACTTTTAGCCATAAAAACATTCCGCCACATGGATCTTGCCATTCAGCTAAATCTATTAAAATTAAAACGATTTAATAATGCATAATTGCTTAAACATTTTAAATATTGAAGTATTACAAATCTATCTTACCGCTAAGATATTTTTTTACTGTCTGTAGCATATAATCTCTTTTATGTTTATAAAATTCTTTGACACGCATGAAGTGTGAAATTAAACCTTCATTATCCCATCGCGATAAGAGTTTATAAACTAAAACTTGTGAAAGAGATGATGTGTGCATCGACGATGTACTCATATGATATTCCATTTGTCGCAGTAAATTTGACGGACCGGTAACAAAACCAATACGTAAACCGGAGCTCATTATTTTTGAGAGTGAATCAAACCTAAGTACTCGACCCTCAGTGTCTAAAGACATAAAACTTATTGGATTTTTCTACAAAACATTAAATAATTTTTTTTTTATTTAGATAGATATTAAAAGATATAACTGTATAATACACTCATAAGAAAAAGAAGATACATTCTTACATTTTCGAAATTCAAATAGTAGTATGGATCATCTTCAAGTATTAAGAAATTGTACTCACAAGCTAATCTATATATCTCTCGTTTTCTATAAGTAGATATTGTATTTCCACAAGGATTCGATGCAGTTGGGTTGAGGTAGATTAACTGTTTGGTTTAAATTGAATAAATGAATATGAATGTAAATTAAGATTAATTTAATGTTAATTTACTTTGGGAATTTTGAGATTTCCGTTTTTTCGTAAAAGTAAAGCATTCTCTAGATCTTTTACTTTGACACCTCGCGAATCTTGTTTAATTCCTAAGATTTCTGCATCGTATAATTTGAACTGTAAATCAAAAGTACAATGTAACTTCCATTAGATTATATTTACATAACTAAAAACTGATTCACTGATATAATAATGTTTTTAAATTAGTGCATGTATTATGATACTTTTATTTTTTTTTAATATCTATATTATTTATAAAAAATTTAAATCTTACCAAATCAATTGCTCCAGTATATGTAGGATCTGGCATTATAACACAATCCCCTTGCCTCATACACATGTCTACAGCTTTAGCTAAACCTTCCTGAGCACCGCTAGTAATCATAATACTTTTAATTTTCCAATTTTGTACTCCATGATACTGTTCTTGAATCTCTTTTAATTTGTTAATTAATGGAGTATATCTAAAAAAGTGAAAAATCAGAATAAAATGTATCATAAAGAAAATAATAGAATATATTATACATCTACGATGTATAACATCATACCCTATAGACGGTAAATATTGCAACGCAGCGGCCAATTCGTTTTGATTGAGCTTAATGTTCTCTCCGCTGGCTAATTCGACTTCAAAACCTTTAAAAGGGAATGTTTGTACATTGGGGACACCAACGCCTAATTTTATGCTTCCCGGTGGTAATTTTTCGGCTAATTTAGCTACAATGTATAATATCAATAAAATAATACAATGTGTGATAAATTAAATCAATTTTACTATTAAAAAATTAAAGAACAAAATGATTGTTAAAAAAATAAAAGGATTGAGAGGCCCTCTAATTTAGTAAGAGCTAATCCCAACCACGCTACAACATTATGTATTAAAATAGTTGTGACTTAATAAGTACTAATCCTAAAGTTGTTATCGACCGATTAAAACTTTTTGTAAGAAAAAGGCAAATAGTAAAAAACATGTTTTATGTAGTTTAAAATTATTTTTTTAATAATTAAAAATTATTTTTAAAAAAAGTAGCACAAAATATTCAGTAGATCAAAAGTGATCAGATTTGTCAAAACATCTGGACCAATCTGTACACGCATAAAATTTTTATATATTTGTTCAACACTAACCACAATTTTAATATCCATTAATTCTAATCATTTTGTAATTTTGTAATAGTAAAAGTATAATATTTACTTTGCTCTGACTCTAAAATATAACTTACATAATTCTCGCAGTTCCGATGGTTTGCGTTTTTTTGTAGTTTCGTTTAAAAAATAAGAGTAATCAATTTTTAATGGTGATAATACTTTAGAAGGAGATATTGAATGTTCTCCAGAAATTTTTGTACCGGTTAAACTACCGTCAAGAATTGGATAGATTTGTGATTGAGCCATGCTTCTAAATTACATAATACAAATTTAATTTAAAACTTTAGGAATTATATTTAACATCACATTTTTCTAATCAAAATTAAAAGTTTAGTCATCAACCAAGAGAGTGAAACATTATTACTTTTACGATACGAAAAATTATGATATTATTAAAGTTTAAATGATTCAATTTATTATGATTTTATTTAACTAGAAGTAGATCATATGACTGATTTTTTCTTCATCTTCCAAACTTTTTTCTAATAGTTCCTGAAATGCTGCTAATTCAACTAACACTATCAATACATTAATTTAATAATGATTAACATAAAAACATTTAAGATTAAATTTTGCGAAATCAATTATACAACATTGTTATGTATTAACTTTTTTTATATAATATTAAAACATTGATGTCTAGTTGAAAATTAGCTGTAATTGTTTTTGGTGTTTTTTATATAACACATGTTCAAAATTTATGCAGGGGGAAGTTAAAAACATGATTCATACAAAACACTTCCTCAATTTTATTAAAAAATATAAATTTTAATTACTACTTTATCCGTAATTTTAAACTACATATAAACATTAAAAATTAATATCAAACGAAATTAAATATCTTAATTATAAGCCGATAGCTGTTTTTAAATATGAAAGAAATATACGTAAAAGTATCACGAATATTTACACTCAAAAATGGTTATATTAATTAGAAGGCAGTATAGATTATTATAGACTATCTATATGATAATAGTTATCTTTTATTTTTATTGTTGATAAATTATAATTCATTTCATAGTATACATTTTAAATATTATAAATATGTAACATTTAAAAATCTTGTTTATCAGTTTATTTTAAAATAAACAAGTTTATGAAATAGAGATGCATTTGTATTATTATGTTTAGAATAGGTATAAACGATTCATAGTTAACAAAATACTTAGTAATTAATGTTTATTATAAATTGACGATATTATATTATAATACTTAATAATATTAAATTATCGTAGTTGAATACTAAAACCTAAGATCGTAATAATCAATCATGGAATATTAAAACTACTTAAAAAAATTATTTGGCTCTGGCGGTTAAAATACGAACCACCTCTACGTACGCCACTAATGGCATCAATATAGTATATTTCTAATATAAATATTTAAAAAATAAAATACTATCTAAACTTTTTGGCCAATTTACTTTGCAAAAATTTATTAATTTTTTAAGAATAATGTAATATGTTTTTGATATTTGATAATTATTGTAATTTAAATATTCATAATTTGATGGTTATTTTAATCAAAATTAATTATTTTTCTTTGTAAAAAACTATTTTGATTTATTTATTACATTTAATTATAATAAAATTAATTTTTAAATGAAGCTAATATATTAAATATAGTTACATATTTAAATATATTTTTAAAAGGATAATTTGATAAAATTAAATATGTTTACTTACCTTTGAATAATTTATAAGTAGTCAAATAATGATGTCAGCATGAATTATTTAAATATTTTATACTAACAAAGTTTTAATGTACAACTTAATATGTTTGTTTAAATTTCAGTAGTACTTTTATTTAATGTAAAAATAAGTTCTCATTTATCGTGTTCATAAATTTTAACGTAACCTCAATATAAACAAAAAATAAAGTACATTAATTGCGATTTTTTCATTAAACTTTGAAAACTGTTTCAACATAATAGTTAAAAAATTGGATTGCAATACAGTAAAACAGATAAATAATCATTTACAGTAGCCACCCAATTTTGAACTGGTATATAAACGATCGGTGTTTTTCTTTATATTTACTTATGTAGGTACATGCCAATAAAATAACTATATGGTATCCAATAATTTTGATAAGAAAAAGATAATAAATAATTTATTAACTTATAACCTTTTAAATTAATAATACAATACCAAAGTGACTCACGATATGTTCTATTGCTTTATGATCATTTTCTACGTGAAATATAAAATTTGTTCAATTGATAAAACTTTGAAATAATCGTTAGAAATTTTTCCTAGACCAACAGTTTAAAATACAACACGTGAGGCATAAGCTGATATTAATGGTTAAATATGTATTCTATTTTTATTTTCTATATTCTTATTTACTAAAAAAAATTATTTTCATTCAAATTTTTCAAAATTTTATTGTAATTCTATAAAAATTCATGTGTATTAGATCGTCAGTTATTGGATAATCAATACAGATTATTTATAAATATCAATTGCATTTTAATATCCATCTTGACCTTATCTAAGACAATCACACGTGGACTGTCGTTAGCAACCATGAACTTTGAAATGATAATTTTTAATCATCATTTTACATTTTCTTAGCAAGTATTTTGATTTTTTCTTTAGTGTAAGTATTTACTGTATTTTAATTTATAATTGCCTTTATTAATCAATATTTTAGTTTGCACTATCAGATTACGTCAAATAAGTGCAACACACTAAGAAGACTATGATAGACAAAATTAATTCAAAGGGACAATAAAAAAAAAATTGACATATATAGAAAAAATTATAAATAAACAATAAAAAATATATATTTCATTTTACACAATAGTAATAATTCAATAATTTAATTATTATGGATTGCTCAAAGCTCGGTTGTGCTCATAGGTGCAATTGAAACACTAAAAATGTTGGTATAATATATATTTTACTAAAAAACTGAAATTTTTGTCAAAATATAATTATGATATACGAATTGTGATTTGTCCTCTTGCCCTTTAGATGAGCGTAACAGTACGCTGACAACTTCTAAGCTTATTGAAATTTTATATATATATATATATATTGTTTTAAAAATTAACTTTAAAAACAACATAAAAGTCTTAAGCATATTAAAAAAAAAAAAAAACAACAACATTATATGCAATAAAAGTTCATATTAATTGAATAAAAACTTTATTGTTATTGACCCTATAAATATTTTTTCAGCACAATTAAGCAAATTTTGTTGCATCAATTTTTTAAATTATAACTTATGCTGTCATTAAAAATATATTTGACGACAATCAATTATAAATTTTGTTAGTTATGAATAATTTTTTAAAACAACAAAAAATATTACACATATATATATATATTAATTATTGTTTCTAATAAATACTTTTATTATAACTTTAATAACTTAAAACAAATTACATTTTTTAAAAATAATTATTATTTTATCAAATAATTTTGATTACATTAACATCTATGTTAAACAATACTTGCTATGCTAATAATATTTGTTTAAATAATAAATAGTTTTATAAAATGAATAATTAAATATTATTACCTTTATTAACTAAATTTATTATAAATTAAATATACATTAAATTTATACCAAACCAGTAATTTTTTTTATTGAATTAATTTTTTTTTAGATTAGAATTTAAATTTTATTTAGATTTAACTTTAATATTTTGTTTTGCGAATTTTTCTTTTTAATCTTTCTTTATTTATTCTACTGAATATATTAACTAATAATAATTTTTTAAATACAAATGGTTCTCATAGATCTGTTTTATAATAAGTTATTACGGAGTAAGTTAAATGACTTACTTCTAGTTTTATTCTTAAATATATGAACTGAATTATCTTATCATATACCAGTTAAATTTTCTATAAAATATAACATATTATACATATATTAAATATATATTAGCATATTATTTCTAGACGACATTACTGTAATTCGCAATATATTGTTTTGATAAAAAAAAATACTATAGGCGAAATTTTATGTGTATTTCAATTATTTTTAATTATTGTTCAGTTTTTTCAAGATAGTAAAATTTAATTAATTGATCAAATTCAATGATAACTCGTATTGCGTCATTCATCGAACCGTATATCATGTTATAATCATGTCTTATTATTGCATCAGATATTAATAAATATAAAAATATTAAAACTTTAAAATAAGTAAGAGCTGTGTTCATTAAAAAATAAGCAAAATTTTTTAAGTGTTCTAAAAACATATAACACTAGTTATAATTTTACATTTTAACAAAAACACTATATAGTTATGCAGGACAAAATTATTCTGTAAATGGTTAAAGTTTGGTTTTTTTTTTTGTACAAATTACAGTCAAATTAATATTCGTATTTTCAGAACTTTTAGATTTATTTTTAAGATACGCCTGAGAAAAAATTCCAATGTTTTATTATAAAAAAATATTTTTAGGTTAAAGTTTATGGCATATTAATTTAATTTAATTTCGTTATTCAATGTGCAAATTTTAATTTATATATCATTTTAAAAGGGTTATTAGTAGGAAAATCAATCTAAAAATGTCTAGATTCCAATAAGAATATTCAAAAATATATTGGATGAAGCATGTAGATATTTTTCTATAAAACTCTTAAATATTACGAACTAGTCAAAAAATGTATAATAAATAAAAGGGAAATTTCTAAAGTTTCTATATAAAAAACCCAGCACAAGGGGGTCGCGGCACAGTAGTGACGTTGCATAGTTGGATCTAGTATTATGATATCTGACAGTGATTAAAATCACTATAAAAAAAAAAACGCTTCGATGCAAATCTTTAGATAGTGTTTAATTTTAAAAAATTGGTGTATTATTCTAAAAGCTATATGATCTGCTAGTTCCTTATTAATATCTTGATTAAGATAAAGTATGTCGAATAAAAAAAGGATTATTAAAAATATTATTTCTCATAAAAAAATTGTGTTGATCCATAGACTTTTCATTAAGTTATAGCATTATAAAGTTAAAAATGTAAAAAATAAAATCTAGAATTTTCACACAAAAATAGCATTTGGTAGCCATTTTCATCATGAAGACAAGTCCAGAGGTCAAATTTTTTTTTCCATAATAAAGTACATTACATTAGCTTTAATTTAAGATATATATAAAAGTGTCAGACCTTCCGGAACATTTTCAAAAGTTAAGTTGAAAAAGTTGTCATTTTAAATCCCCCCCTGTGGGCAGGTTAAGTGTCAGATTTACAAAAAAAATAATACCAAATGATAGGTAAAGACATTGCGCATCTATGAACATAAATTATATTGATATGTTCATTTTTGAAAAAGATACGGCAGTTTTTAGTAAAAAAAATTGAAAAATCTTCGAAAATTAGCGAATTTTAAATTTGTAATTTTTTTGGAGGTTTCCCATATTTACGGGGAACGAGGGAAATTTTTTCAATTTTTGAGGGTAATTTCTTCGACTAGATACGATTTGTGATCTTTTGACGTATCGTCAAAAGAAATCCGTTCGGTGAGAGCTGATAAAAAGTGGTATCAGACACAAAAATAAACACATCATAGTAAAATTAATACCTTCTCAGCTTCGCATCGAAGCTAAAAAAAACTGATTTAATCAAATATCAAAGAAGGATTAAAATATTTCATTCAAGATTTCTTGTATAAAATATGCACTAACTTTTTTTTTGCGTATATGATGCTCTTACGATTATATTTAACATTATGTAATATGATCAGTGCCAGATAAACCGCCGGTGCAAGCGGTGCATTGCACCGGGGCACCGACTCTTAAAAATATTTGGGGGCCCCGATATTATGGATATCGAGTACTATATAAAAAATTGGTACTTGGTAAAATGTATATTTTGTTTTTTCAAATGGTGTATTGGATTTCACTTTAAAGTTAATTTAATTTATTCCCATCAATGGTGAATGGTAATTGTAAATGTTTGATCGATACTCGATTGTTTAGTATTTATTTTTTTAGTATATAAATTTTAAGTATAGAAAAGAAACGAATTATAACTCTAAATATTGAAAAGATAATTGACAATTTTTCTAATGCAAAATCAAGGAAATTTCTTAAAAAAGAACATCTAAACATTTTACTTTTCACTATTATATTGAAGGCTGGCTTTATTCTGTAGCTAATAATATACTAATAATTTTATTATACTTTGTACTCCATTATTTTGTAACTATAGAGTTATCATAGTTGTATACTTGTAACTTTTTTTATAACATTTTAGCATTGAAGCGAAGCTAAGAAAGTATTAATTTTATTATGATGTGTTTTTTATTTGTGTCTGTTACCACTTTTTTCAGCTCTCACCGAACCGATTTCTTTCAATGATACGTCAAAAGATCGCAAATCGTGTCTAAAAATTAAAAAAAATTTTTAGACCTAATGCTATTTTTGTGTGAAAATTGACGATTTTATAACTTACACTTTTAACTTTATTATGCTATAACTTTTTGAAAAATGTATGGAAAAATACAAATTTTTCATGAGAAGTAGCATTTATATAAATCTTTCATTCGACATATTTTTTTTGTAAATCGGACCATTTCCCTATATACGGGGTGGGGTTCAAATCAATAAAATGCATATAGAAAGTAGAACTTTTTCAACTTAACTTTTGAAAGTGTTACGGAAAGTCTGACATTTTATATATATCCTAAATTAAAGCTAATGTAATATAGTTTATTATGGAAAAAAAAAATTCGGACTTTATTTTGTCTTCACGGTGAATACAGACAACAAAGTTAATAAAAAAAATACAATTTTTGTAAAAAAATTCTTCTTTATATTTTAATTTTATAAAGCTTTAACTTTTTAAAAATGTATGGATCATTATATTTTTTTTTTATAGATACAAGATGATTTTACTTATCATTTGGTATATTTTTTTTATAAATCTAACCATTTACCTGCCTATAGGGGGGATTAAAAATTATGACTTTTTCACAAAATATTAACTTTTAAAAGTATTTCGGAAACTCTGATATTTTTATATATATCTTAAATTAAAGATAATGCAATATACTTTATTATAGAAAAAACAATTTTGGACTTTATTTTGTCTTCACGATGAAAATAATTACTAAGTGCAATTTTTGTGTGAAAAGTTGCGATTTTATATTTTACATTTTTAATTTTATAATGCTATAACTTATTGAAAAGTGTATGGATCAATACAATTTTTTTATGAGAAGTAATATTTATACACATTTTTCATTCGGCATACTTTTTTTTAAATCGGTCCATTTCTCTTTATATATTTATATATTATATAGAGCTTAGATGATGTGGGTGATCATGTCAAGTGGAAGTTTAGGATAAGGGTGACCGACTCCGAGTAGTTGGGATTAAGGCGAGGAAAAACAAGAAGACTAATTAGAAGCACATAAAAAAATTAATTACTTATTCATATATTACACTTATAAATCATAAGACTTGTAATAAGGATATAAATAAGGAAATAGGAGATCATGTTGCTTTTGAAATAATCCACCAATTTTTAAAATTCAGCACTATCTACAGATTAGCATCGAAGCGTTTTTTATGACAGTGGTTTTAATCACTGTTTTTTTTTTTTTAATAATAAAGAATTATTTTTTAATTTGTTTACAGTATGAAATTTATAAGTAATAATTAAATAGTATATTAACCTAAAATATATTTACGCAGTCTTTGAAAAAGTCTTACATAATGTAAAGAAAAATAAGGCTCTACTATATAGTATATAATTTAATTCCAAAATTATCATTTTAATTTAAACCTTGAAATTATTACTTTTTATTTTATTCAAACATTTTTACATCAACTATGAGGAAATTATTTTCACTACTACTTAAAAAAAATTGTTGTCCAATAAAAATACTTATTTTGTATTTATTAAGTGGTGGTAGACTGTTATACTCAAATAGTACACTAAACTATTTCATTTTATTATTAAATAATAACTTTTACAATTTTTATAGATATATTTAAAGAAATTTTGTGGTTAATTATCATCATATTATGAAAAAACATATAATTTTGAATATTTGTAACATTTATATATGTATGAAGATATGTGCAAAACGCATATTACAGTAAATTGTCTTTGTTGCAAATTATTTAAAGGACTGGATTAATAAAAATATGTATTATATAAAGAGATTAATAAAAACGAATATCGTTTGAAGAATGTAAGCTTATTTCTATTATTATCTATTACCTTTTTTCAAATACGCCTCTTCAAACAAATATACATCAATAATATATATACAATGCATCACAAGTGAACATATTGTAGATTTGTTATACACCTTTCTATATATACTATATACTTTTAGAATATTTATATGTTTGATATATTGTCTATAATACAAAATATGAAACATTTTTTATAGTAAATCATATAAATCAGCCAATATTATGCATTAAATTAAATTTTGCTCATATTTGTTTTATAGTTTTTAAATTAATGGTAAAAAACTCAACTTATCTAAAACTTAACACACTCAATTCTATATTTACTTTTAGAAATTATTTTTACATTCAACATAATAAACACTTAACAATAATAAAAATTCTGGAATCAATAGTTATCTTTAAATTACATCAAACATTTTGAGTACCAATAAAATAACAAATTATTACCTATTGTTTTCTGCTACTTTCTAACAATCATACATTCACAAGTGTCATAATGACCATAAATAATTATAATAATATTGCTATTTATTAAATATTTTTTTCTATAAACTATATTTTCTCATAAAACAAACTCAACATTTTATACGAAATCACAAACACTCGTCCCATTACTATTATGCACTAAAAATGAACCCTGTTCCCGTGATAAAATATCTCATTTTAATAAACGTAAATTATTATAATGCATTTTCATTCTATTATATATTACATTATCATTTACTTTTAAGTACAGTAAGGAGATAATTTATCACGAGATGAATGATGGAAATCACGTGATTAACTTAATATTAACACTTAAATATTAAAATAACAAAAAAATTTTGTAGTTAACAATTTTTCAAATTTTTTTTAAAGTGATATCCAGGATAAATTAAAATAAAATCATATTATAATACGTAATTAAACTCAGATATTAAATATTAGTTAAAACTGACAAAATAAATTATTGTCATAAGTAAAACAAAAAAATCAGAAAATGAATGACTATATTAAATAATTATTTATTTAAAACGAATACTTTTCAGTAGACATTCAATGATACAAAAAAATCTACAATTAAAAAAAAAGACGGTTCTAATACAATTATGTACAATATTTTTGATAAGAATTACTAACTGAAAAACTTTTATAAATTTATAGTCACAAATTCATGTGACTATAAATGAAAAGTTATTTTTATTACTATGTGATACTTATAATAGTAGTTTTGGATCATTGCATGATTTATTGCTATATTCTTAGTTTCTTCTTAGCTAATTTAAATGAAAAATATTAAGAATAATAAATGAGAGTACTAATGTCAATGAAAAAACTTTTTTTAGTGTAACCCTGATAACTTGAATATTGTAAATAATAACAACTAATGAAATACAAAAAACATTTTGCTGATTAAAATAATAATTAATATAAATGTTTCGTTGGATAAACTTTAAAAATAAGCGCAAATTAGAAAGAGTTTAGCCCCTCTATAATTTCAGAAAAATTACATAGATAATATAAAAAACATTTAAGAATGGAAAAATAAAAATAATGAGCCCATCCGAAAATTTTATCAGAATTGCGCCTATGGTTTATCAACAACCATTAACAATTTATTAGTTCCTAAAAAAGAATGAGCTGAAATTCTGTATCCTCCTTTAGAGAATACAAACATAATTTTATCAACAAGGACGATGCATAAACACGAAAAAAACTTGATTTTTCGTTCGTTAAAATGTTCAATGCTACTCGTTGACGTCATGGATTCTGTTCAATTGAATATCCTTAAAACGTGTTGCAGAACAACTTATAACCTAAAACAATGTTTCCTTGGACGCATCATATAATGCGCGCAAAGACCCTGATAGAGAGTTGGCATTGACAATCGTGTCAGCGACTGGGTTGACATCAGCTTGTACGACAATAACGTTTTTACCAAACGGAGTATTCGGTATTGTTGCTGAATGAGTTCTTTGAAAACCGTGAAACGATTTCGAACTTCTACAAATGTCGTCTAACAATACAAGATCTTTGTTTCCATGATTATGGTTAACGCGGTTACCCGAAGGAGATGAATATCTTCTTTTTTGTCGCACACGTACACGACGCTCACTACCATATACACCATTATCCGATGAAAATTCGTTCAAGCCAAACGTTCCGTTGGCTAATAGAGGAGACGTACAACTAAAATCATCAACAAACACAGACGAGTTAGCTGTAGACGTTTCGGTTTCACAGCAGCTGCTACAAGATGTCCGTATTGACGCTATGGGCGCAATTAATCTCGGAGAATCATGTCTTTGCCGTTTGCCGGATGCTGTCGGCAATAATTGCTGTGTATGACGTGGTACGTCAGAAAAACTGTCTTGGCTACCACATGGCGTCATGCACGGGGTTGGTTGTATCACCTATAAAAATTCAGATTATTTTTAGCACTAAAAATTAAATTTCAATTATATGTACAATCCAAATTTATTTTTAGTGTTGCAATGTAAAACTACTTCAAAAAATTATATTACAGAAATTACAGCATCAAAAATGTTTCTTTACTTGTATATCAATGGGATAATAATACTCCCACGGTGGGTCACCAGCAGACGACGAGTGATTTAAAGGTGATGGAGGATGTCCCACTATCAATGACGACCCTCTAGCTTCTAAATAACTCGTATCATTGCTACTAACACTATTTCCCCGGGATATTAATTTTCGGCCATCTGGTACCTCTAACCATTGTGCTACTCTAAAGCTGTTGTTTGTAAGAATTTCCATTCCGTCATTTTCATCCTGAAATATATATCAGTTATAGATTTTTTATAATTCATAGTTAAATCACCCTAGTTCAATGTCTATATCTACGAAAATCACAGTATTCCAATATTTTTTATCCGTATTGTTAATTACATTTGTATAAATCTAAAATTAGAATCCATTCAAAGCTTAGTAGCTGAATTTGGGCAGATTTCTGTTGTATTTTGTAGTAATGCATATTGTTAAGGATCTTTAGTATGTCGTTTTCGCTTTGTTTAAAATATAATTGTTTAAGTATAAAATAATACAAATATTTTTCCTATATTTCAATAATATGGTGATAGCTATTTTTCTTATAAATGAAACTTTACTATAAGTAAAGGTTGTAATGTAATTTGGGGTATGGGGAATCATGACTTTTTTTTATGACTGAATGAGCAAACATTTTCATGTGATCTTATTACTTTATTATTATTACTAAGTATAATACAACTTGCAAGGTAGTATCCACATTTTATTAGATTAAGTTATGTAATTATGACAAATTTTTAAAAAGTTTTCATGAAAATTTGGCAAAGTGTAGCAAAATAGTATTAAACAAACTTAATTTACTATATCGTACCCAAAAGTGAAAAAAAAACTGTAATACATATATATATTTTTTTTTATTAGGTGAGCTAATACCTTATATATATTAGGGTGAGCTTTTAAGGTACACTGAAGTCTTTTGTTGAAGCAGATGATACTTATTGCTCTGTTTTAGACTAGAAAACTATAGAAAATAAAATATAAATAATTGTTCTATTTTCACTGACTAAACATCGGTTCAATAGACATACAAAATACTGTGTCTATTTATTAAGTAACTATTAGTCCTAGCGTATTTGAAAATCTATAATATTATTAAGTTAATCTGAACACACAATCAGCCAGTAGAAAATTGTTATTAATTGCCTTGAAAACTTAGCAATATGTATTTTCCGATGAAATAACTTGAGGACAATTAAGGGTTAATATCGCCCTAAAACGAAAAATATTTCTAGGTTACTATAATTCTACAACAGAATTGTGTAAAATGGGACCCTTCAAATTGGTTTAAACATAATTTATAAGTGCACATAATTTACAGTCCTACTTATCAGTTAAAAGCTCATACTTTCACATTTATAACGTAAAAGTTTTTGATTTTACATAAGACGTTACATATACATATTACATTAACACGTTTATCACGTGCAAAAATTGTGTTATTGACGTGAAATGAAGTAGAACTGAAAATAGGCGTAGAGATTAGCACTTAACAACTCTTAATTGGGTCATCGCTAGATATTTCTATTATATATTTCTTTTAACGTTAAAATGCAAATATTGTATCAAATGATGTAAATAATGAAAATAACAACCAAATAGTAATATTCACATGGTATTTATACTATAGTAAAACACTACAGTGTTTTACCCTTTAGTACCTATACTAAAGTGTAAAATAATATAATTTCTTTTTGAATTATCTGCAATTAAAAAATAAATAAATACCGTAATTTTAATATTATAAATTTAATTAATATTTTTAGCATAACAACAATATCAAACATTCTTTTTTAATCGCGTTTTTCTCGAAACATTTTTTTGTTATTAACTAATATAATATTCACTTTTATTGTAATTCAAATTTATAAACTTTTTTGGTCATTTAAGAAAAATAGTTATTTACTTTTATTCTCATTAAAAATAAATAATAAGGTAATAAATTTATAAAATATTATGCTGAGACGAAATATCATACATTATTTTAATTAATACAACAGATAATTCCATAGAAACGGAATGTATTTTATTTCAACTATTATTTAATATTTTAATAAAACCAATAAACTCTTTATCTGGTAATACTATAAAATAATACTAATTGAAATCTTAATTATCAATAATACTAATGAATAATATAAAGATTTAAGATCTCTAAAATTGAACCAAATAAGACTTTGTTTAATAGTTTCAATTTTTACATATATTTTTGCTCATTTTAGTTCATCTGAAATCCGAAAGAAGAAATAAAATTTTGATTATGCTATTCAAAAAATTGAATTTTTATTAGCCTCCCTTCATTATTTTACAACTATCCCACGCGTTTATTTTTTGTCGATAAAAGCACTATAACCACAATTATTATTTTATTATAACGAGTCATTTTTTTTACCTCTTCGAATGAATATTCCAACACCGAAGTTGTAATTCGTTTGTTGTTTTTTGTATGATTTAAAACCATGTATGGATAGTATTGCATTTCTGTAAGATATGCCCTAGATTGACGACTCCAGTTATTACAATCGATTGAAGAATCATTTTCGGGAATACTATATCCTATTAAAAAATATCAACATAATTGCCAAGTTAAACATATGAATTAAATTTAAAATTTAAAAATTATACTTTGAGAACATCGACAAAGACCATGACCAGAACAATAGCTTGAACTTGAACTTCTTTTAGCTAGAGCGGCCATTTGTTCTTCTTGATCTACAGCTGCTTTAATGACAGCTTCAAGATGTTGATCGGATAGCGAGCGGGTTTTACATTTACTTTTATATAACACCAATAGAACCATCATTAAGAAAAAGCCTCCCAGAGTCGACGCAATTCTTACCTAAGATAAGAAGTTTAATTGAATATCATTAGAACGATTTTCTACAATATTTTTATAGTTACTCCAGTCATGACGTCATATGTGCTGTAAAATTCAGCTTTTATCATTTCTCTTTTAATGTTGATGTCTGATTCAGTAAAATTTTTATGATCACCAACGCTCTCTCCCATCGCTTGGGGGCTTCACCCCACACTGGCATACAATAGGTTTCATGTCATTCCTATTGAAATCTCTGGAAATTAATTAAAAATATATATATATATATGTATAATATTAATCAGGGATTCAATACCTTATTTTATAAAAAATAACATATTATACAATGATTCTTATCATTTTAAAAAGTATAATAGTTTTATATTTTAATAACTGGTTAGGTTTAAATGGATAAATTAGTTAATAACAATAATTGTAACGACATTGATAATAATATTACAATAATTTTCAAAAATGTTAGTATCCTTAGATTTATTGTAAAAATTATCATATTTTTTTTCATAAAGATGACATTGTGTATTATTATACAATAAAGTTGGTAATTTAACGATTTCTAAGAAAATAAATTTTTATATAATTTTTAATTGACAATTATAAGTCAGATATAATTGAGGGTATAAGTAAAAAAAAACATTTTTTTCGTGATTTCTTCTTCTTCTTTTGAGGCTTTTACAGGTCATTTGAGCCCATTGCCGCAACAACTGCTTGACTCCATTGGTCTCTGTCTCGTGATTTATTGAATATTAATCATTATTTCTGAAATATTTTTAAGTTAACATTTTTTCCATAAGCCCATAATTAATACTGTTTATTTATAATTAAACACACTGGCGTAGTAGATTTGCCTATATAATTCGCCTACTTAAAAATTGTACCTTATTTACCTTATTGTAATAAGGTGGTATTGATAATATGCTCTATAGTACCTAGTTAGCTCATATACAGGGTGTTCAGTAAGTCACGAAATGGGTTTCTATTGTTCTCATTGTTACAAACAATGAGAACAATAGATACCCGTTTCCTGACTTACTGAACACCCTGTATATAAAATGTGTAGTATATGATAAACAAAAAATAGGTTAGAATGACATTTTATATTTTTAGGTTTATTAAACGTATTTTTACAATTACTATCTAAAAATATTTATATTTTTAAATATTGTTTGTTTTTTATTTTAATAGAAATTATATTTTTACTAAACGATCCAAAATTATTTTCTTAACATTATTAACAATATACGATAAACGAATTTAATTTAGGTTATACTTATTATAAAACTTTGGTATGTTAAAAAATAAAAATGAATATTTTTAAAAATAATTACTGTTCAAAATTATTAATATCATTTATTTTTCAGAAAAAAATGTATTTTTCTCAAGTCATTTTTTCTTTTTTTTTTAATTTTTTAAAGTTTAATAAAATAATTTCAAATTATTCCATTTTAATTAAACATATTAATAGTTAAAAAAAAAAACTTAAAAACTTAAATTAGTTATACATGTATCCTATTTGATCATTTAATAAACAATACCTGACATTTTATTATTATTGTTGAATAATCAGAAAAATTGATTATTTATTCAAATCAAAATTTAAAAAACAAAAATCATTATTACGTATATATTTTATTTTATTATACAAATTAATCGCATTTAACTGCGTAAATCTAAAGAAGGAAGTGTATTTATGGAATTTTAACTTAATCTAATTAAGACTGTTGCATAGTACGATAAGTATCAGTCAGCACAATTAAATTAGATCATTTTAATTATCATTTTTATTACCAATTAAAACTTTTGGTCAATTCCTTCTACATTTTTTATCACTGAACTATACTACATATTTTCGCTAACTATAAATTAATTACTATATTATATTGATGGGTATAATTTCAATAAATTATTGGAGGAGCTTAGAATCTTTTTTTTTAGGTATAGGTGGTAATGATTGGAAAAATAACTGAAATAGAACATTATAACAACAAAAAAAACAGTGATTTTTTCACATAAAAATAAAATTTTTTGTTTAAATTCGGGAGTTGTTTAAATATAGAACATAAGTCATAGGAACAATTTTTTTTTAACTCGTAGTAAATTATATAACCTTTTATTTAATATATGTTTAAAAGATGCAAGATGTCAAAAATATTTTGAATAATGTAGTTGAAAAAGTTCTTTTTATACGTATGTCTCAAGTTTTAAATCTCCCCCCCCCCTTAGACGGGTAAGTCAGACATTCAAAAAAATATACTTTATACATAGGAAATAACTTATGCATAACTTTTTTTCTGTTTAGTTTTATATGATTGGCGTTAGGTAACCTTATTCTGATAAATTAGCAATACTTAAAATATAGTTTATATATTTGTTCAATACAATGAACAATTACAAATGAAAATCGCTTGTTCTGATAATTGGATAAAGAGTATATTGAACTTTTTGCACATTCCATAAAAAAGAATAAACCTTTTATGATTTTTCTTTAATTTGGTTTTGTAATTTAATAGTTATTTATAAAATTATTAGTATAGATAATTATAACAATTAAAATTAAAATAGACAAAGTCCAATGAACAGTTCTAAATTTAAGAATTTTTATTATTTACATATGATAATAAACTTTATTTTAATGGATTTATTATAAAATATATTTTTATAATCATCATACTAAAATTACTGAACAAAAATTTATTTTATTTTTTGTAAGTGGTGTGTGAGTAAACATAAGGAATCGACTGTCTTCTACAATATTAATTTAATCCCAAATACTTACCCTAGATATCAAATTCTAAGATAATGTGTGAAGAAAAAATAGGTATCTATACATACTTTTTAAATATAAAACATTATAATGTATTAATAGAATTATCATACTTATAAATTAAACATATCATCCACATACTAAAATATTTAAATGTGATATCACTAGATGTTTTAAAATATTTAATATTTTTTCAAAAAGGCTAATAATTGGAGAATATTATTTTCCTAAATGTAGTTCATTAGGAAGAAGCTGATATAGATTTTAGTTGTTAAAATAAGCTTACTAAAGAGCAACTGAAATGAACACAATAAACGAAGTAATAATTCCAAAATAACTTTTTTCATTTCGTCTTGGGATCAATTCTCATATATCATCAAAATTTGTTGCACTGTTTTTACAAACTGCTCTTTAATAATAATAACAGTAATAATAGATAATTGTCCAGCTATATTATGCATTAAAAGCAATTAAAAAAATAAAAATAAAACTTTTTTCATTGGCGTGATCGAAATCGAAAGTAACATTATAGAATGTATTGTTTAAAGAAAATAACTAAATGAAATCTTTTTAGGTGTCATATAAGTTTTTTAACAAATCATTAGATTTATTGAAACTATTCATGAATCTTGGATTAGAGATTTGTATCATGCACTTCAATTAAGTTTGTTGATACACTTTTATATTTAGATATATAACTGATGAAAAAGCAAATATTTGTTCAATGTCCCAAGCGTAGCTTAGATGTATAATCCAAGAAGTATTTGAAAATAAATCAATAGTCAATGTATTCGAACACATGTGAATAATTCCAGTTAAGAGCTTGATAAATATTTACCACATTACTAATATATGTTTATTTTTAGATTAAATAACTAGCTATAGCTATTTCTTGGCATCTTTCACTAGAATTTGGATTCCTTTTTAATACGCCAGTTCATTCAGAGTATAAAATCTCAAAGTATACCAAATACACTTGTTAATATAAATACTACATTATATAAAGATAACTTTAATATATAATATATATATATTATTTAATATATCATCCATAAAAAGGTGCAAATTAAAAATTTATTAAAATATATGAAACGTAACAATCTTCAAAATACATCTTAAATAGTTATTACAAATGCATATTCTAGATTTGACATACTGAATATATATTTTAATTTGTAAAAATAGATTGTTCTGGAAATATAAATTTAGATGATAAAAATTTTCTTTCCCAATGAAAATATTTCTAAGTCTATTTGTAACCTTAGCTTATTATTTTTAACTTAATGAATAATTACAAGCATAAAAAATCGTTTCTTAATAGAAGTTGGTTGTATTGACTAATCCAGATAGTGAATACTTAACATGCAAGTAAATATTTTATATTGTATATATAGATTTTCCCATAAAAAGACTAATAATATTGATAGACAAGAACTTTTTTGACAGTCCTTTGCGTGACAAAATATCATATTCCAATTGTTAACAAATAGTATAACTCTTTATTTATTAATATATGCAACCTATATGTTTAATTTGTGTTTTTGACTGAAAACTTTCCTTTCAAAAAGATTTTAAGCAAAAAAGTCAAAAAATTTATTATTTATAAAATAAATAAAAATTTATCATAAAATGTTGAAAACATTTTATTTATCATTTGAACGTTAAGCAATGATAGGAGCGATTTGCTGTGACAATAGTGTTACAATAGTACTCTGATGGATATAATAGCAATAAATTGGACCTTATTAAAAATGTATAATTAACACTAAGATAAGTTTTTTTTATCACTTAATCGATTAAAAAAATCGAAGTAAAATATTTTAAAAGTATAAATAAATAAATAGAATTTCTTATCAATTTACTAGATGTGAATATAATAGTAAATTTTCCACTCATTGATAATTATTCAATATTTTAAAATATTAGTAAAATTATATAAGTTATATATACATCCATAAATTATGCAAACATAGTAATATATTAACAATAATGATGAACATAAATATTTTAAAGATTTTATGAATGCGAATTATTATAAAATGTTTTATTATATATTAATTTATATTTTATAATACATTTTTATTTATAAAAATATTTATCAATTTACAGAATAATAATTTTTAGTATATTTAAATAATAATTCAATATGAAGGTACTACCTTCAATAACATTGATCTTTTTAAAATCCATTTCCACCATGAGTAAGTTGAAAATAAATAAAATTAATTATATTAAATAATAGATTTTGATCATAATCGCCATTTAAGAGTAAAGAAATATAGGAATCGCGTTCCTCGGATTATTTTAATTACGATAATAAAATCAATTATTTTCAAATTCAATTAAAGTACAATTATAAATTTTATATTATAATATCACTCACTAAAAAAGTGACGCCAACTTTCTATTTGTATTTATTATAATACATGTGATATTACAGCAATAAATTTTAGAACATTAAAATCATAGTTAAAATTAATGGTTTTAAAATGTTTTCTTTCGAGGGAGAGTCGAAAGAAAAATAGTAAAATTTTTATCTAGTTTTTGATTGTACTACTAATCGATATTATATTCAATCAATCTCAATATTTTATATAAACTTTTTCATATTTTCTATCGTGCTTAAAAGATTATCCAGTAATGTACTTAGATAAAATCTATTATACATATTTTGGCTAAAAATAATGACGATAAAGGAATATATATATATTTTAAAATGATACTTATTTACTATAGAATACGTTATCGTTATCGTAAAGGCTTACGAGAATTGTGATGACAGTAAAATGTGAATCGATTTTGTAACAACCATTAGACGCCAAACATAAACATAAAAAATTTAATAATTTGAGCTGTTTCATATAACCCGTCTTGAATATAATACATTGACCTATAGCAGGTAGAAGAAAATAAATTGTCAATCGTTTTGTCTAGGTGTAACTAAATTTAAATTTCAGAGAACAAACTTATAATATGTATTTAAATAACATTATCTATTGTATACCTGTAAGTACACAGGTGATTCTAGATGTCGTTATAAATGTTTAAGAGGTATTATTTCTACTTATGATATTATGCGATCGCATATCATAAGTGACATAAGATTATTAATCTACATAAAAATTATTGTGATATAATATTTGTTAAATAACTATACACTTATAAATATAATTGCTGAATTTTCAAACGATTCCACGATATTTTATTAATAAAATATATTTTACGTGTATTTTTCATACATTAAGATTTGATAAATATAAATCTTGTATAATGTTCTACAAACTTTATGGACTTTTAATTTTCAAGGTAAAATAAATAGAAAACGAGAAATAAGGATGACAATTTTACCTATAAAACTATGATACGGACTGTCACTAGTAAGAAAATATTAAATATTTTAATTTAGATTTCTGGATGTTTTAAATTTAAAATCATTTTTTAAAATAGATTATATAAAATTTTCATGAACAAGTAATTTGACAAAAAAAAAAAACAAATAAATTCGCCATAACGATGTACAGAATCAGGAGGCGTATATTAAGTAAAAATATCCATGATGATAATATAGATTGACAGTAGCGTTTTGTTAGACGAATCTCACTGTCAGATGAAATATTGATCCATAAACGGCATGTACTGCGTCTGGCCTACGTTTGCTTTTTCCCCTCTTTCTCTCTTTCACTCATTCAACCAGTGAGTTCGTGATGATTTATACTAAGCATACTTGATGTTAATTACTTGTTGTGCTAATAACATAGCACAACTTTATTAATGACTAATATATATTATTTTTATGTTTCTGTACATTAAATGCTCATTGTGATATAGGAAAAACATTATACAACTTAAATATTTTACCAAAAATACGTTAACCCTCATTATGGATCGGCCACTGGTTACAATGATAAAAATTCCAAAATATATCATAGAACCATAGAGCATCATAGAGTGCATATAGAGGGGAAAGTTAAAGATTACATTCTATTATTAAAGTAGCCATCTCAAACATTTTTCAGTAATCTTTTTACACAAACCAATTTAACAACAAATATAAATAATCACAGTTATAAAATGGTACTTCTCTTATTTTTTGAAAGCTTTTAAATATTTAAAATAAGTTATATAACTAATTGATTCTATTAAGAGAAGAGAAAGGAACCCCCAGATAAAAATTAATTCATTGTGAAGATACAATTTTTTTCCGTAGAGAAGGGTATTAATATATTTTTTATATATACTTTGGAACCCTTAAGATAGTGACGGTAGAAGCTTATGCGGGGCCCTGGGCAAAATAAATTACAACTAAAATTTATGAGAACCTTAAAAGCCTGCTACATTTTTCCGAAGGAGGGAAATTTTATAACATCGTATTACGAAAAATCAATTGTGGAAAGTTCAGTAATGTTACTATTTTAGAAGCACGATGCCCAATGCAACTGTCCCTACTGCTTCCCCTCGGATAGCCCATGCCTCAGTTTTAGGACCCCTCAAAAACTTTTGTAATAAGTCATTCATAATTTATATAGATATCAATCTGAAATAGATCTATTTAACAGTCTCACTTAGAGGTCCCTCAAGATCAAGTTATGCCACTGCAGTAGCATATCTTGATTTGTATAATCCAGTGCACTGGATTCTTTTACTACTTTATAATAGAATTTATAATAATAATTTTATGTGATAATCTGCACACCACTATTTATTGCTCCGAATTTTTTCAGTATGGATAGAATAACATGTATGTAAACAATTGATCAACAAGCATTATTTTGTTAGGATAAGGAAAACTCCAACGAGATTGTAGGGAATATATATCATCACAAGATATATCTATATTAGTTATTTTAACAGTTATAAAAAAGTTTGTATTATAATTAAGGAAGTAATTTAAAAATAATATTTGAATGATATAAAAAACATTACCTTTAAAACAATATTAATACATTTGATTTTGTAGTAAACAGAAGATAAACAATAAGTACAATTGTCTAAATAAAACGACGCTCTACATTTCTACGAATATCATTCTAAAAATAACATTAGTATATTTTAGTTGTTTTATAACCGTGCTATTTGATTATCAAAAAATGGTATGTCTTACTTTGAAATCGAATTACACTTCTTTTTTTATTATTATACTTTTTATTATCTACATTTTAGAATTACACAAATTTCGACCAATTATAATTTAAAAACTATGTTAAAGCTTTTTAATAGTTTCTATTTCGAATAAATCAATATTAAATATTCCAAATAAGATCATTTATGTAAAAACTTACATGTTATAGCAGGCGAGTAGACAAAAAAGTCCAAAATTCTTTATCGACTATGAAATTATTAAATTGTGATATAAAACAACCGGCAACCATTGCGGTTCAAAGATGTGTTTAGGGGGCCTTTTTTCGATGCAATCTCAAACTCTACATAAAAAAATTGTAAGTCAACATTAAATACCATAAAAAGTTAAAATTTATAATAAATTATAGATGTAGGACGTATTAAATATATAAAACTGTAGATTTTTCACCACACATCTAACGTGCGTCGCCCACAGTATAGAACGACATCTGTAACTGAGCACGAGAAACCCACTAAAACATGAATCCGTCGAGCTAGTAAACAAAAACGAAATGATCAATATTTTTGCCCCCTTTCTAACAGTGTCCGGCGCGGAAAAATCTTTGAATTTGTTTTTAAATTCAAAAATATCACAAATGTTTTACTATATGGATAATCATTTATTTATTAAAAGCATTTACTACCTGAAATTGTTAATATTTTAATTTTGATGATTATAACTAGTTATAACTATAATTATTAATATAAATAATATATTAATTAAAAAATTTAATAAATTTCAAAAAGTTAAGTAAATAATAAACTTATATGTAATCCTACATTTTAAAGATGTTCACACTTTTTCAAAATATCAATTAATTGATATTCATTTAAATTAGCATAAAATAAAAATAAATCTTTATTTTTAACATCGAAGTGTTAAAATCGAAAGATTAATGCCAAAAATAGGTAACTTTAAACATTGAAATTATAGAGAAATATTTTTTATTCCAAATTTAACATTTGATCCTTTCAATATGAAAAAAAACTACTTAGTGTTCTTCCTCGACAAAGACAAAAGGATTAAGGGCTACAATCTATAAGGAGTATTTTTTAGCTTCGATGTGAAGCTGAGAAAGTATTAATTTTACTATGATGTGTTTCTTTTTTCTGTGTGTCTGTTACCACTTTTTTTAGCTCTCATCGAACCGATTTCTTTCAACGATCACAAATTGTGAAAAAGATCACAAATCATATCTAGTCGAAGACATAACCCTCAAAAATTGAAAACATTTTCCTGGTTCCCCTTAAATGGGGGAAATCTCCAAAAAAATTACAAATTTAAAAATCGCTAATTTTCGAAGAGTTTTCAATTTTTTTTACTAAAAACTGCCGTAACTTTTTCAAAAATGAACATATCAATATAATTTATTTTCATAGATGCGCAATGTCTTTACCTATCATTAGGTATATTTTTTTTATAAATCTGACCCTTTACCTGCCCACAGGGGGATTAAAAATGACAACTTTTTCACAAAAAATTAACTTTTTCAACTTAACTTTTGAAAGTCTTCCGTAAACTCTGACATTTTTATATATATCTTAAATTAAAGATAATGCAATATACTTCATTATGGAAAAAAAAATTCGGTCTTTATTTTGTCTTCATGGTGAAACAAGTTACCAAATGCTATTTTTGTGTGAAAATTTTCGATTTTGTATTTTACATTTTTAACTTTATAATGCTATGACTTATTGAAAAGTGTATGGATCAGTATAATTTTTTTATGAGAAATATTATTTATATCCCTTTTTCATTTGACATACTTTATCTTAATCAGGATATAAATAAGGAAATAGCAGATCATGTAGCTTTTGTAATCCACCAATTTTTAAAATTCAGCACTATCTACAGATTAGCATCGAAGCGTTTTTTATGATTGTGATTTTAATCATTGTCAGATATCATTATACTTGACCCAACTATGCCACGACCCCCCTATGATGGGTTTTTTTTTATAATAACTGTCATTGTTTATACTACAACAGTACGTATCACAGTTTTGGAATTTTCAGGGTAATAAAAAACAAAATTACATATATATGTTTTAATACAAAAAGTGATTTTACTTTTATAACATACAATGAATCTAAAAAAAATATGTAATAAAAATATAGTCAGTAACACACAATGTATAATTATTGATACAAATTTTATTTTGTCAATTTTTGAGATACTCTCTGTTACTGTATAAGCGACGATATTCGTCTTTGACATCTGTATTCTACGTAGATGCGCGTTTTATAACCGTCGTTTACTTGATTACATTAATCTACATAAAGTAGTTTTCAGTCTTTAAATAAAATAATATTTTAGTAGTTTTTTATATTCTAAAATTATACTGAAAATATTAATCTTATATTTATTGCGAGCTCTATCCTTTCAGACAAACACTATAAACTTAACCTATAAATTTACTAATGTTATCTAATGGAGACAATTTTATTATCAGTATTAGATGAAGATAATATTCTGGGATAATATCTAATAAAATATATTTTGTTTTAGTCATCGTCAATTTTGAATTAAAATTATATTATTAAATTACATTGAAAACTTTAAATAATGAATCAAGCAGAATTAGGACATTTAGTATCAAAACTACGAGTTCGTATTAATCCTCGCCATAGAAATCTCAAACAACCAGAAGGCCCGTCTGGTCGGTTAAAGAAATTACGTAAAGTAGTCAATGGTTTATTTAAGTATGAACGTTTAGAATTAAATTATACGTTAGCTGATGAGGCCAGAGGATATGCTGAACGTGTACGTAATGTGTTATATGTAATCTGAACGTTTTCTATCATACATTAATTTAAACAATTTTTTTAGTTAATATCGGAAGCTATTAGACATGGAGATACTCATAAACCAACCATGGAAATGGCTGATTTTTGGATAGAAGAAAAACAGTTGGTTCATAAACTATTTAAAGTTCTTGTTCCTCGTTTTGTAGATTATAGCACGTCATATACACAATTGTATAGAGCGCCAAAGGCCTATCCTGACAATGTATACCCACGTTCTGTGTTAGAACTTAAAGGTAGTAATTTAAGTGTAAAATATTGTATGAAATGTAAAATTTTTATCTTATTTAATATTATAAAAAATTATTATTAATATACAATTTATGAATATAATACTTCCCAAATAATTAAAAAATAATAACTCAGTTGGCTCATATTTCTTAAAATTATACAAACTTTTTTTCTTAGGTAACCCATTTCCTTCAATTTTGCCTAAACGTTCTGAAGAAAGAAATTTTATACACAATGTACTACTTGATGAAGCCAAAAAAGCTTATAGAGCTGAAAAATATGAAGAAATCACCAAATCTTTAGAAAAAAATGAAAATAATGCCATAGATGAGGTGCAGTAGGTTGTTATATTTGCTATAAATAAAGACCCCTTGAATAGTCACTGTATTAAGTTTGATAATTAAAAATAAATACATCTTATTTTAGATCTAAAATAAATATTTAATTATTTTATATATCTTATTTTTTTTAATTTTTAACTATGTTGTTCTGTATATTTTATATACACCATAAATAGAAGTTGTATTAGCAAATAAATTGTTATATCATATCTAATACAAAAGTAAACAACTTATGGAATTCAAAGCTTTTTATAAACAAAACAAATAATACCTGCAATTTGTATAAGATTTTTAACATTTTAAAGGTATTGATATACAAAATAGGAATAATATAAATGTGCTGAAATTTGTTAATTGTAACCTTATATATTACAATTATTTTTTAATAATAATGAGTGAATGCTAAATGTATAATACAGTAAATTAAAAGCTTTATTTTAAATATTTACTTTTTTTACTAAGTATATTAAAGTATGTTTTATATTTAAAATATTAATATCAAATTTTATGCAACAAATTAATGATTGTAGTTTTATGCAGCAGAGTGAAACATGTGTATTTTTTGATCAGATGACAGCATGTATTTGGTCCTCTGTGTACCAACAACTGAGGTCAACATACATGCATCATATTGTGAATAAAGAACTGTAATATTACGTGATCCACAGTTACTTTCAATAATTGAGTTGCAAAGTTCACTGTAAAATCCTGCAATAGTTGGCAACTGATAAAATACAATAGTTTCTATACCACGAATTTTAGGTCTATTATAAAAATGATAACGTTCAGAGTACAGTAAAATTTCACATTCACCATGATAGAATAAATCTCTTGCCCTTGCTACTTTTCCAGGCTTTGTATATTCACAAATTTGTACAAATCTGTAATCTTCTGTTTTTAAATAATTTCTGATGCATACAAAATCAAAATAAGATGGAACATACACTAGCACATGTTTTTCATTAGATGATCTTATATGAGATAGGATTTTATGAATGAAATAATCAAATCTTTGGCTAATAGATTCTGTTGGTGTTTTCACATCAAGTTTGTGATAAAACTGTTTTAAATTACCAACTACATGACTTATGATACCTGTTGAAATAGAATTTATAATACTCAAAGATCCTCCATAATTTGAGCATCTATTTTTAAAAACTGCAATTAAATGAGGTAATCTACAAGATGACAACATAATTGTTTGGCGATAATATTTAGATAATCCATTTATGGACCAATTACGAACTCGTTGTAAATCTGTTCCATGAGCTTCTTTTGGCTGAAGGTGGAAATGGTTCATTATATGCAATATATGATCCCAATTTTGCATCAAAAATATTTCAGATTGATCAAATATAAGCATTTCAATAGATGATAAAAAATCATAATCCCTTGTTTTCTCACCTTCAGCTCCAATAATCATACGTAAACCTAGAGGTGAAGCTATTATAATGTCAGAATTGTAAAAATTTTCATACAGTTTTAAACTACTTTTTGTGATAGCCATGCCTATTCTAAAAGCATCATCAATATTACCAGCAAATGTTTTCTCGAAATCTTCAGGTTTTGGATTTTTCTTTGGCATTGCTAGTTCACCACCAGTAAACTCTTCAAAAAATCTGTTTTTGTGAACAACATTAAAATTTTCTTTAGGTGACATAATAGATATCATCATATTTATAATACGGTATGCAGAATCTTTAAAAGGAACTAAAATCAATACCTTAGGTCGAGTTAAGCCTTGATCACGCAATTCGTCATCATTATCATAATCATCTTTTTTATCATTATTGATAGCAACAATTTCTCGACTTTTAATAACATGATTAATAGCATGTATACTATAACAATACCTTAGATCTTCATCATTATCGAAATTTCTTTCAGAATAATTAAAATCATGGTATTGGCATAATATAGATAAAATTTCTAATTGAAATGAATTAAGGTTTTTAACTGTAGATAAAAGTTGTTTATGTAATGGTAGCTTACTTATATCATCTATAATAATAGGAATGTCAGGCAATTTGGCATAAGGTCTTGTTTCTTCTAACACTTTTAAATGTCTATTTTCAGCTACTGTCAATTTCGGTTTTTTAAATATTAGTTTACCGAGTTCTGGCCATTCTAATTGAAATGTTTCTTCAAGTGGAGGCTTATCATTCAAGCAAGTAATAAGTTCTGGAGATAGGTCGTAATTATAATGTGCCACAAAAGGACCTTCGCTCATTGTATTGTTTTAAAAATTATACATTAATTACAATACCGCATATAACAATTCAATAAATTTAACTATTTCAATAATTAACAAGTATTTAAATTTTTATAGTCATAAAAATATTGATCCAACATTCAAACATTATAGATCAAACAGATATATAGATTTAACATTATTGATTGATGGACTAACGTTAGATAAAGATTGTAGCACGTGTATTATAATCATTTTTTACAGGAATAATTTAGTTCTTATCACAGAATTTTTATCTTGTTATTGGAAGCGTAACCATAGAGTAATATACTCTATGAGCGTAACACAACAAATTTATATCTACTACAAGATAGCGCCTAGATATAATTACACAGTTCTTTACAATTTTGATCATTGATTGTAATTTCAAAATATGAAAATAATATTTGACTGAAACTTGTCTTTGAGTCAAGTTGTTCCAGTTGGTTTTATAATAAGTATTTATTAAATTGGTTGGGCTTACACACATAATAGTTCTAAAAATATGGTTAGAAAGGTAAAATTATTATTTACTGTGTTTTAAATCTAATTAACTTGTTTTTCAACGTATTTCACTAAGGATTTCACAAATATAAAACTTAAGTGATATTTAGCACTTTAATAAGAAATTCAAATATTTTATTTAGTTAACAATTGGGATTTTTAGAAAAACATACGTCCGTTGAAGTTAACGTTATTAACACTTCAATTTTCCATGAATATTTTTATTAGTTTTATCAGTTAACCTGATAATAATAATTTAATATCAAAGCAGATTTTTGCGGCATTTATAATATATACAAACAATATTGATTTAAAAATTTTTGAATATTTATTTCACCAAATAACTTTTTTTAGATGTTCACTTATTTGAATTCGCATAAAATTTTAATTAATTACTTTTTTTAAATGAAAATTTAAAAATAATAGTCTAAAATGGCAGAGGACTCGGATATTTTGTGTGATTCAGTAGTAAGTTTATTTTTATTTATTTGAAGTTAAACATATTTTTAATTAATGATTGCTTTAATACTACTGCTCCAAGTGAAACTATTAGAATGTTACGTAAACATATTAGAAACACTAGTTAAGATTTTCTATTTTTTTTTTTAATCAGTTACTTGTATATTCTTTAGTGTAACATTGACTAAAACTATTTTATTTTCTCAAAATTAAATGTAATAATTTTATCTATCCTGATAAATATCTAAAATATCAATTACTACCAATAAAATAAGTATTAATTATTAAATTTTGTCTAGAATTTACTTACAGAAGGTTGTCGTTTGTCTGTACGAATGCATAGTAGTGATGATTGGCGTAAGTATTTTAATACTTTCAAATCAAAACTAACCAATCTCATTTGAATTTTTTAATTTCTTTATAGCTTTAGCAGAAATAATAAGTATTAAAGAAGCAGGAAACACTAGATATTATTATGTTCATTATATTGATTGTAAGTATATGTAAATATACACATTAATATGAGTCAAATATACATATAATATATAATGAACTTTTATATTTTTTATGAAAAACATTTTTTTTTATCGACAGAGTTATACAATGGAAAAGTTATTTCTTCCCCCTCCAAATTGAATCTGTAACTCATAGTTTATTTTCTACTTATTTTTTTGGTAAATGTGTTGAACCCCTACCTACTTCCTTGGACATGTCTCTAAACACAATAAATTTGGTTAATTTTAAATTTATACCAATCAATTAGTTATTTAATGTAAAGAATTACTTTTCAGTTTTTGAAATAAATTTTTGACAGATATTAACAGATCATTCTAATTTAAAACATTGAGTAAATTATTATAATTCAATGTAATTATAATATTTGTAATATTAACTAAAAACAATATTAAAATTTGCTAACATTTTTCAAATGCTGACTATATATTATGTTTTATACTTGATTTTGATGTGACCTAATTTATTTAGTAAATAATCTTATTGAATTGTAGATAATAAGCGATTGGATGAGTGGGTAAAAGAAGAAAGGTTAGATACTCGTAAAGTTCAATATCCTAGGAAAGATGGTTTAACTTCTGCTGGCAATACAGGTGGTACTGGTACAAGTACGCCTAATCGTAAAGCTGAAAATGTATCAATATTATCTCAAAGTAGACCTGCTTCTCCTTTAAGTATACCACCAGCACCTACTCCAAATGATCCAACAGTTCTGTCTGCTGCATTACAAAAAAAAATTGCTAGAAAAAGAAAAATAATCGATAATGAAGTAAGTTATCAAAGTTTTATATCTTATTTTTCTTCATAAAAAATATTTAAAGTGTCGTTATTTAATATATTCTTTATGCTCTTTTGAATTAACAAATTTTTTTATATTAATTTTTTATAAAAGGTAATTATTTTAAGTGTGACTTTTGTTTTATATTTAACGGGCCAATTTAGCTAAGTCAGGGATATACCAGGCCGTGGTGTGTAGGTATAAGAGTTTAATTTCATTGTGCTGGGCTATGTATGTTTTCTTGTCTTTTTTGATACAAACTTTTCATAAAAGAAATTACAAATAAAAGTTTAAAAAAATTAAAATTCAGTTTATACATAGTTTTAAATCTCAGGTTCCTATTTGTTTTAAAAAGATATTGGTAGAAGTGTAACAAATTTTGTATAATATAAAATGTTTGATTATTTAAACTTAAAATTTCTAGGAGTCTTTAGAGTTATCTACAACAACACCTCGACAAACAGGTTCAATGGTTATGCAGCATGATGATGTTGTAACACGTATGAAAAATGTAGAAATGATTGAACTTGGTTTACATAGAATAAGTCCATGGTATTTTTCACCTTATCCTCAGGTTGCTATAATTTTGTAATTTTTAATCTTAGTTTGAAACTTTGTTTTACAATATAGATGCAAATGTATCTTATAGAATATAATTAACTAACATTATAGTTGTTTAATTCTTTGTACTGTTCCACCAAATATTTAATTGGTTTTTAAATTTGTTTTATATCTTTGTTGAAATTAGTATTGAAAAAAAATTACAAATATATTTCCATAGAAAAATTGATTAATTTGGTCAATATTTTGGTTAAATTTTTGTTCACTATTTATAAATCTACTAAAAATCTATATTTTACACTCAAAAACATTTTTTTCTTATGATTGCTTATTTTCAAACTTAAAAGTTTTATATAAAATGATTCTTTTAATATTAGCCTTTTGTTTCTCTTAAATAATAATTATAATAAGAAAATTATTTTTGGTATTTTTTATTTTCATACCATCCTTGATATATCAATTATTAATTATTTTTTAAATTCATTTCTTAGACTTGAAAAGGGTGTAAAATTAATTTGTTAAAATGGCAATATACATATTTAACTAGCTTATAAAATAAAAACTATCTAATTTTGAAAATGACTCATTACAAAAAATTTTTTAACCAGTACTTAGGAAGTATTTAAAATTATTAAATATCCAGTCGAGAAAGGGCACTGTAAAGTAATATATAAAGATAAAAATTAACATAACCCACACCTTACCTCTACTCTATATTTTAAAACAGTTAAAACGTCTGAAATATTTGGTCAAAAGTTGTTATTAATCAGTCATTTTCTTAATTAGATCTCTTTTATTTTATAAGCTAGTTAAATATGTATGTTACCATTTAAACAAATTAATTTGACACCTTTATAAAGTCTAAGAAATTAATTTAAGAAATACTTAATAAATGATTCATTAAGAATATATGAAAATGAAAAAATTACCAAAAATAATTTTCTTATAATAATTATTATTTTAAGAGATGTAAATTGTCTAATATTAAAATAATTACTCAGTAATACTAATTATTAAAGACATGATTCCAATTTGTAGTATATGGAAAGTAGGGTTATACAAAGGAACTTAGATATTGTATATTATTTTTAATAAATTAAATTACAATAAAGACTGAAAAGGACTCTTCTATATCCTTTTTTTAACATGGTCTTGAGTTTTAACAATAATAAAATGGATCATCTTACTGATCATAAAATCATTAAAAGAATTTAATAATTCTGTAATATAATACTTGAATTTAATAATTTTAAATAGTATTTTTTCTCCTAGGAAATGGTTAATTTAAATTGTATATATGTATGTGAATTTTGTCTTAAGTATAAGAAGAGTAGAACTTCACTCTATCGTCATAGTGTAAGTTTATTTTTACTAAATGTATTAATCTAGTATTTAATTAAACACAATTATGCATTTTTAATTTTATATCAAAGTATTTATTAAAATAAAAGTGTCTGTTATATCAAAATTATTATCACAGAATCTGGTATACTTTTGCTTGGTGAAAAAACTTTTGTGCAAATAAAAGAAATAAAAAAATTTTAATATAGAAAAAATACTTTAGCAGCACTTGTCAAATAATTATTGTTAAATAAAGCCGACTCTAGAGAGTTGGAATAGAGGTTAAAAAGATAATAATGAAATAGCCTGTTATAGTATAATATAAATATTTTTTTGATAAATGTGTCTCTCGATTGTTAAGAAAAAGGTCAAAAATATAATCAATTTAGTAATAAAGTAGATTTACTGGGCAACATTCATAATGTTTTATTTACTAGCTAAAAAATTCACTATCTAGTGATACATATTTAATTTTTTAAACAAAGATTTTTTATGCCAAGCAATAACATGTTTTTTTTTGCCTTTTTTTATATTTAAAAAAAAATTTTATTATTACAGATAAAATGTAATTTAAGACATCCACCCGGTACTGAAATATACCGAAAAGAATCAATATCATTTTTTGAAATTGATGGCCGAAAAAATAAATCTTATTCACAAAATCTATGCTTACTGGCAAAGTTATTTCTTGATCATAAAACATTATACTATGATACAGATCCATTTTTATTTTATGTTATGACTGAATATGACTCTAAAGGTTTTCACATAGTTGGGTATTTCTCTAAAGAAAAAGAATCGACTGAAGATTACAATGTTGCCTGTATTCTTACATTACCTCCATATCAACGAAAAGGCTATGGAAAACTATTAATTGAATTTAGTACGTAAAATATTTCATATTTTAGATTTAACATTTTAATATAATTTATTATAACTCTACCTAAATGTTAAGGCTATGAACTTTCAAAGTTTGAAGGGAAAACAGGTACACCAGAAAAACCTTTATCAGATTTGGGATTATTATCATATCGCAGTTATTGGAGTCAAACTATATTGGACATACTATTGACTGTAAAACCAACACCTGATAATGAAAAACCACAAATAACTATTAAGTAATTTTTTGCACACTATTTATATTCATTAGACTTTTAAATAGTTTAAATGTGATGTTTTGATATATTATAGCGAAATTTGTGAATTAACTAGTATTAAAAAAGAAGATGTTGTTTCAACATTACAAATTCTGAATTTGATCAATTATTACAAAGGTCAATATATTATATCAATTAACAAAGAAATAATTAGTACTCATATTGACTCACTTCAAAAAAGAAAAATAAGAATTGATCCGAAATGCTTACATTGGACTCCTAAGGATTGGTCTAAACGAGCTAAATGGTAATTAAAGAATTGTTTGCAATAAACTATTAATGTAGTTTTATTTTCGAATGCTTAAATATAAATAGTGTATAGTTTTGTTGTAAAAGTGACTCAAAGTTATATTTTATGTATTATATATTTGTACAAATAAAAATTATAATGTATTAATCAATTAATGATTGAAAACAAAAGTATTATTTTATTAAAGAAATATTGATTCAAGGGAAGCCATCATCATCTTCTTCAGCCATTTCCTTTGCTAATTCCAAATCCTGTTGCTCACGTTCACGACGTTCTTCTGCAGACTCTAAATCTTTACCATATGACTTAGGAGGATAACGCATAGCTTTAACACTATCATTATGCAAATTTAAACAAAATGATATACGTTGGTGGAAAGCCATTTGGGGTTCAAGAGTGCAATAAATATCAACAGGCTCTTTACTCTGGACATAATCATGTTCAGGATCAATGGTAGCTTGAATAACACCATCTCTTATAGCTTTAGAAATAATAAACTCGGCATCTTTGGGTGAATCTAATCCAAGTTTCTCAGCAATATAACTAACAGAAATACGTGAGTATGATGCACCAATGGCTCTAATAGCTGTTTTAATAACATTATGGCGTAAACGAACAATCAACATATAAGTATGATCCGCTACAAAATTTTTCTTGAAATTTTCTAATGTCTCACTAAACATATTTAGATCTCCTAGTCTAACAGATTGAGTAAGCCGAAAATAAGGAATAAGTGCCTTTCGTAAACTTAACTGGCGAAATATATGTCTTTCTGGTATATCACCTAGTAAAAGTTCTACTGTTACAGCCAATTTTTGAACTGTTTGTCTAAAACCAATAGCAGAGTTTTGTGGTGCCTTACGTAAAGCTTGAATTAAATTTTTATGCGCTACTGAGTACTCAAGTCGAGCTGCTTTAATACGACCTTGATAATATAAAAAACGAGCACATTCATTATTACTGGCTTGTTCTGGAAAAACTGATTTCTGAACCAATTTATCTGCTTGATCATATAAATTATAATGCAAATAGTTTCGTAGTAAACAATTGATAAGAACAGCTTGTCCCTCATAATCTTTTTTTAATGTTGCAGTTCTAAGACGACTGTATAAAAACCCTTTAATTTTATGCAATTGATCTGTTAACTCATAACACCTCATGTGATAAAAGTATGCTTTAGCTGTAATCAAATCTAATGTACGCCTATTTTTATCAACTATTTTTGACATTAATAAATCGGAGAACTCTACTGCTTTTTTGTAGTCTCCTTTATCAATTAATTGTACCAAAACCAGTAATCTTATATACCCATCTATTTCTGGTAAAAGTGCACCAGTTGCATTTTTCCCTGTCCTCATTTTAACAATGTCAGGTATATCAGTAGGAGTAGTAACATAAGTTAACAATAAATCTCGGTCAGAAGAAGGATGAGTATAAAAACCATTTATAACAGACCACAGAACTACTGCATTAAGCTTGCGACGAATTACAGGCCATGATCTTAAAACACGTAGAATGAAACGGGTTTCTTTTGTTTGAACTGCTTTTTCTATCTGACGAATGTTGTCTCTAACTTCTTGAATAACAACAGCATCTTTCTTTTCTTGAGAATCTGATACATCTGTCATCTCGACATCAGGAACAGGATCAACAGTTGCAGCTGCCATTTCTAATAAATATTATTATATATAATTATTACCATAATTAAGTCATGAACATTTTTTAAATTTAAGTATTAATCCTTATTACATTAAAAATATATTTTTTCTCATAGATTTCATTTATATTTGATACAACAAGTAAATATATCCTGATTAGATTTTTCAACAAATTATTTGTATATTATTCTTTTCAATTAATTTTTTTTAATAATAAATTTACTTAATTAAGTTGTTTATTTTTAGAACTAAAATTTAACTACTCAAATATTAAATAATCTGCTATAATTTACAATCAATTTTATTTTATTTTATTTAAAAAAAAAAGTAGAAAAAACATATCTGTCAAACATAATATTCCAAGCAAAGTAAAACGAAAAATATAAAAATATAGTTTAACTTAACTTACCTATTTTTTTATTTTGAGTGAATTTAACGTGAACAATTTCAAAAAATAATAATATTAAGAATATTTTACTATAGTAGTTTATGTATTATAAAAAAAATAATTTATTGTTATAATTGTGAATTAACAAGCTGAATGTTTTAACAAAATATTAAACATCATTGTATGAAGTTAGTAACAAAATTATGAAATATAATCAAATACACTAAGGATAGCATTAGGACATTATCTTCTAAGGCTATGAAAAATAATTATCCAGTTAGATTATAGTTTGTTACCCTAAAAATTTTACCAATTTATTAATACTATAATAATATTTTGTTAATATTATTTTTAATGTTATTTATCATCCAAAATAAGACGGCAAAGATAAGACTTACAAATAATACAATCGATGCTAGTATCATGTACATAAGAAATAGTAACCTTCATGATCACGGCCACATTTTAAGAAGATAAAGTCAAACTTAATAGTTATCAGTACACCGCTTATTCCGTCTAAACGTGTCAGATGTTCGCAAAGGCGTTGTTTTTAGGATATTTTAATGTTATACAAGTGTATTTATAAGTATCATAGACTTATACCACAGAATATGTAAAATTATCTTATTCTGTGCATCCTGACAAGCCCTATGCAACTAGCTTTTTTAGCCAGTTCATAAAAATTAGGGGGTGTGTACGAATCGGGACAATTATTCGGTAGAATAGGTATTTTAAGATAAAATAATTACCAGTACTGGAATATTGGTTGGAATGGTATTTAATAGGAACGTGAAATATTAGGAACTGTAATTTTCGGGATTGATATAATGTAGGGATAAAAAAATACGGGAAGATATTACCTTGGACATTTTTATCAAGGAAATGTATTATATAGGATTTTATTATCTAGGTATATACTAATAAGTACTAAATTTACATGAACAATATTGATTGCTAACCAGAATTCCAAATATTTTGATATAAAACCATGTGTAAAATATAGCGTTTTTAATTTCGACAGTTTTCGAGAAAAATGATGGCTGACACCACCGTTTAACGACTTAAGGTTTGAAATTTTCACCAGACCCGCCCAATGACATTCTCAAGATCTCAAAGACGATTCCTGAGATGTCTAAGTATCTCTTGGACACATATGTTAATATATTTTCTGTGTTTTTTTATTACTGCAATTTTTAATTCTTTTTTAGTGAAAAAAAAAAATTATATATTTAAGTAATTTAAATTATTACTTTATTGTTATATTGTTCAAATCTATTATTTATTAAGCAGTAACTAATCCAAATAAAATTCAATACAACCTTATTATGAAGCACAGACGAGGTGCTTCGCAGGTAAATTACTTTTAATTGGGGGTGTGATTCGAGAGTCATAAAATAATATAATTGTTAACTCTTATTGATTTCAAATTTTACCTAATAATTCTTCTCTGTTCTTAAAATAAGTTCAGTAACAGTATTAATAATTGACAAACAAAATAAGACGAGTTTGATTTATACTTCACAAATTAACATTTTGACAATGATGAACATTACGTGATGATGCTGGGAGTGTAATTGACACAGGCCAGTGTAAGGGTTTGCTCTTCCTTTTTATAATAATTTGTACCCCATAAAATCACCATTGTCTAATTTTTACAGTATAACTGTTTATTGATAAATAAGGATAAAATACAAAAATTATTATAAATAGAGTATATAAATCATTTTGACATTTTATATATAACATTAACATAGTTTTTTACACATAATATTAGGGTTGATACAATGCATTTAATAATTAAAATAAGAATAAAAAAAAAAATGACAAAAATAATTTATAGATTTCTTTTCGGACGGAAGAATTTTAAAAGTGACTATTAATTGATTTATGATTGAATCGTGTATATTACAATACAGAGTGTTCAGTAAGTCAGGAAACGGGTTTCTATTGTTCTCATTGTTTGTAACAATGAGAACAATAGAAACCCGTTTCCTGACTTACTGAACACCCTGTATAACTAAACAGTTGTGTTTAAAACTCAATCTGTAAAATAAGATGAAATTATTGAGTTAAAAAAAAAATTAAATCCCTATTAAATGATAGTGATGAATAAGATGATGTAGTTAATATATTATTTTATTTTACATAAGTTTTAATTTTATTTTTGAAAAGAAGAAAAATTGTTTACAGTTATGATAAAGAAATAAATATTTCAAACATAATTAACTAAGTAATTTCATTTTTATTTACTCATGTAATATTATTCAAATATATATTATTATTATTATTTTTAATTGCTAATTATTATAAATTTAGTTAGTAAGATAAACTATGTAGTTCATATAATGACATATGAAATAAAAAAAAAATCGTTAGGTACAATAAGAATATAGTAAAAATGTTACGTATTCTATTTTGCCTATACTTAAAAATTATGATAATTAAAAAGTAGTATAACAAAACTAGTTGTTAATCATCAATCAACACTATCTAGTCCATTATTCATCCAATAGTATAAAAATAGTTATAGGTTTTCAATTAACTTTAAGAGATTATCCCTAGAAACTATCCTTAGTTATCCTTTTCTCGGCTAAGACTTGGTCATAATCGCCTTCCTTTTCATGCATACAAAATGTCTCTTAACAATTCTTCTTTCTGTCCCAAACATGACAATGAAGTTCTTTGCGATTTTCCTCATATAATTTTTGACTGCTGTGGTTTTTAAAAAAAATCGTTCTATTTTATTTAATTATTTATCACATCATAATATCTCTCCTATTAATTTTTACACTATTCTTAACTTAAATTCTCTCGATGTAATTTCTTTGGTTATTTCTTTCATTCATTCAGCTGGTTTTTTAATTTTACTCTTTTTACTCTAACTTTATTGTAATTTCGTTGATATAAGATCTATTGTACTATTTTTTTTTCTTTTTATTTAATTGTTCATTTTCTTAATATTAAGCAATAATAATACTTTGTATTAAAAGCTAAAAAAAAAAAAACTATCCTTAGGAATAGTTTTTTTTATAAATAACTTAATAGTTATCATAGTTCATAAAAATAAAAAAAAATTATCAATCATTAGATTTTTGAAAAAATCATTGAATAGAAAAATTGGGGGTATAATGTCATATGATTTTAGAATGATTATTTGTTGAGCCGAGTTACAGTATTATATTTACTTATTGGAAAACAAGTTTTTGGACAACTAGAACCAATATAGATCATTAACTTTCGTCCGCTACAATTATGTATAAATTTATATAATAAATTAATTTGTAAAGAGTTTTGAAATATATTATCGTACAAAACTTTTATTTGTTCTAGGTATCATTTAATATATTGGTCTTTTGTTTAAATAAGATTAAATCTTATTTAATAATTAAATTTTATAATTTTTGTAGAACAAAATGCACTCACCCATCTTTTGGTTTTTTATCACAGTAAATACTCATCTGTGGTTTTATTATCAATATATATACGAAAACAAAAATTTGTTTTTGCTATCATTTAATAAGTATTATTGTTATTACTTAATAAATTCTTTCAACATGGTTTAAATAGAGTTTATCACTACTGTTTTTTTGTGTGAAATCACGTTTTTAAAATATAATTTTAACTAAAAAAAATTATTTATACACAAAAAAAAATGCTTTTTTTTATTTCAATAATTTTTTTATATTGCTTAAAATTGAATGGTGCTGACCCTATCGTAAGATATCAACCAGAACAAATTCATCTGTCATTTGGTGGTATGTCATTCTATTACTCCTTTTTTAACCTGAGTTCATGTTCTAAATACAACTAAAAGTTAAAATAAGTAAAGTGAAAATCAAAATAATTATTTTTACAGTTTTTTTTTTAATTTTAGGAATTTAAAAAATATGTTTATAATGGTTCTTAGGAAATCAATTTATCTGTAGAAAATGAATTTTTCTTATTTTTTTAATCTGATATCTAAACCAAGTCTTCTATGAACTATAATTAGAATAAAAACAAAGTCTATAAATGATACTAAAAACCAAATCTAAATAACCAGTGTTTTTCAAAAATAGATTTTTTTAAGAGAAACCAAATTTCCCAGCTATAATCTGATAATAGATCATTTATCTATGTGTATATTTTCATTTAATAGAATCTGAAAGTGAAATAGTTGTTACATGGTCCACACACAATAATACAAGTGAATCAATTGTAAAATATGGAATAAATGGTCCAATTCTTCAAGCCATTGGTAGTTCAACTATATTTGTTGATGGTGGAGATCTTCACCGTTCACAATATATTCATAGGGTGAAACTTAATAACTTGCAACCTTCATCTCAATATGGTAACTAAAAATTAAATTTTTATACCATTAATTATAAAATCAAGTATACTATTTTTATATTATTGTTTTTTTTAATTTTATTTATTATACATAGTTTATCACTGTGGAAGTAATAAAGGCTGGTCAGCTCAATATTCATTTAAAACTATTCCAAGTGATGATAATTGGTCACCAAGCCTTGCTTTTTTTGGTGATATGGGCAATGTCAATGCACAATCACTTCCTAGAATACAAGAAGAAACTCAAAGAGGACTATTTGACATGATACTTCATATTGGTGACTTTGCATATGATATGGATAGTGTAAGTATTATTTTGAATAGATTGCTTTCTCATTGAGATATCTTTTATTTATTTCCATGTTTGATTGAATATTACATAAAATATTTCACATTTAAAATAAATATGTTATCAGTAACTTAGATTCATATTTCAAACAAATTTTTTTACTTTATAAGAATATACTAACCCATTTATAGATTGAATAGATGTAAACACTTTTACAGTAGTTCATTTAGTATCATATTTTGGGGTTGGCTAACTTAGCTGGAATCATTTTTTCCTCATACGTTCATAGACTACCCAGGAAGAACTAGCTATAAAGCACTATTCTTTTATCAAAAGAATGATAAAAAGCTTAATACAAAAAAAAAAAAAATTAATAGATGTAAATGTATATAATCTATTAGTTTATATATTTTTTTATAATACTGTAAATCAATTAAACAGGAAAATGCAAAAGTTGGAGATGAATTTATGCGTCAACTTGAACCTGTTGCTGCCTATGTTCCTTACATGACTTGCCCAGGAAACCATGAACAAAAATAGTAAATCATAATTTTTTTTATAGTAGAAAGTTTTATATTTAAATTTAAGTTCATTAAAATGTAAATAACAAAAAAAAAAGAGTTTTCATTTTAAAATTACTATCTTAACATAGATTAGATTTGTTAAAAAAATTTTTTTCCAAAATTTGATTTTTAGTTCCCTACAAAATATTATTGAAGTATAAAATTAAAGGCATGGTGGGGGCGCAGTCAATACATTAGATGCTGATAAGTTCTTAAGTTACGCTAATCCTGTCATTTTATGCTCTTGAATAGTTCATCATACGAGAGTTTTTACAACATATAAAATTTTCACCAAGTGCCCAGACAAAAGGAAAGGAAGAAGAGGAAAATAATTTTATAAATAGAAATTTCATATAGATATCAACATTGCCTTAGTCTTATCCTAACTATTTGATTTCAGTTCTACCTTATAACTTGTCAGGTTTTTACATTGGCTATCGACCTGACACAACCTCATTATGGTTGAGAGAGCCTATATAAGACAGAGTTGTGTATTACTGTTAAAGTTTCCAAAAGCAAAAGATAGGAACCAAAAGCAAATAGCGGAACTGAACATGAGCGCTATGGCGACAAATGATTCACTGCATCACACCTCACCTCTCAAATTTCATATACATATAACAAAAAAAAAAACAACTTTCTCCTAATTTAAATCAAAATAAGAAAAAAATAATTAATTGTAATAACCTCCAAAATATTTTTAAAGTCTATAACATGAAATTTAATTAAATTTTTTATTGAAATGTATTATAAAACTAGAATAAGCTAAAATACTTAGTATGATCATTGTTATAAATTTTTTTTTTCAGTAATTTTAGCAATTACAAAGCTCGTTTTAGCATGCCTGGAAAATATGAGAACATGATGTATAGTTTCAATTTGGGACCAGCTCATTTTATTAGCATTTCTACGGAGTACTATTACTTTTTGAATTATGGAATCAAACCTTTAGTGACACAATATGAATGGCTTGTCAATGACCTTAAAGTTATTATTTAAATTTTAATAAAATTTCAAATTAAATTAATTACTGATTCATAATAATATAATATAATTTATAATTAATGTGTAGCATGGAAAAAAAAATGTAAATATAATGTGATTGAAGTTGATACAAAAATAATTTTAATGAAGGGTAAATTACAAAAAAAAAAACTATTTCTCTCTATAACTTTTTTAATTTTATATGAAATGTTAAATATAAATATAATTATTATTATAAAACATAATAATAATATGATAGTTAAATATTGTTTAGGAAGCTAACAAACCTGAAATTCGTAAACTTAGACCTTGGATAATTGTTTATGGACATCGTCCAATGTATTGTTCAGATGCTGATAAAGATGATTGTACATATCATGAAACAATTACTAGAGTTGGTCTGCCTTTATTGCATTGGTAAAATCTAATATAACTCTATTTATTGTGTAATTTTTAATTAAAATATTTAAATAGGTTTGGATTAGAACAACTATTTTATGATAATGGAGTTGACTTATGTCTATGGGGGCATGAACACACTTATGAAAGGATGTGGCCAGTATTTGATCATCGTGTATACAATGGAACCATTTTTGAACCCTATACTAATCCTGGAGCTCCTGTACATATTACATCGGGTTCAGCTGTATGTTATTTTAAATTATTTATAGTTCTATGGTTAATTAGGGAATTATTTTTTACTTTATGTTTTTATTAGAAAATTGTTACGTTTAACAGTTTTAAAAATTAATATTGAAAAGTAATATTATTATACCAATACCTTTTACCTAGGTTTTTTTTTAAATTTATTAGCCCCCTTATTGTTCTTTATTTGATGACTCATTTTATCTCTATTTGAAAATCTAAAGATAACATAATATTTTTTTATACAAATATATTACTTTAGGGGTGTCAAGAAAGAACTGATACTTTTATTCCAAATCCACCAGAATGGTCTGCCTTAAGAAGTAGTGATTATGGTTATAGTAGAATGAAGATCTACAACAATACCCATTTATACACAGAACAAGTATCAGATGATAAGGTAAAGTTGTTAAAGATAAAATTGAATAGTTGAACTACATATGTATTTATGATTCTATTTAATTTAGGAAGGTGAAGTCATAGATCATATGTGGTTAATTAAGACTGCACATAAACCATATAGCATACCTAGTTTAAAAAAAATTGTTTGATAATTGACCTATGTAATATTGTAAATAATTTACTAGTTTATATTTGTTTATTCATTTATTACATTTATTGCAAATTAAGTTAAAACTATGTAAAATATATAATATTATTATATAGTTTTATGTCATTATTGTATAATTATTTTATTTTATCCATTATTAGCTATTATTTGGATTTTTATAATTAGGTAACTTAAGATAGAAATAAAAATGTAATATTATTTATTAGGGTGGTCCAAAAACATGTTTTATTTTTTTTTAAATATTTTTCCTTCCCTTCAATGATATGCTTTTATTACAATTTTTAAAATAAATGTATTATAACATGATAAAATAAAAAAAAAAATTATAAATTTAATGTTAAAAAATAATAAATTGTTTTTTCTTAATGTACCTTTGTTGCAGTTCAGATATGCTTTGTCATATTCTGAAACTACTTGTAATAGGAACTGTTATCATCATCAATTCAAATTTTGGCAGCTAAGCTGTATGTCCATTTACGTACAGAAATAATATAATTATTGGAAAAATAAAGCTGAACGCAATCTAATTTTTACAAATTTAAAATGCAATTTTTCGGTTGTCATTATAAAATATTAACGAGATAAATTTGTAATAATTTAGAAAGAAGCCTTTAAAAAGTTTTTCTATGAAAATTATAATGAATATTACCAAACTTGTGGTAAAGGAAATAAAAATTGAATGAGTATATTTTAATTATAATAAAAAATTAAAAAGAATTATGTTAAAAAAATTTGATATTTTTTATTTTCATATGTTTCTTGGTGTATTAATTATTAAGTATTCATTTTGAAATATAGATCGGAGTTATAACGAGATTTATTATTATACATTTCTCAACTTTACCTCTCTTCCTACCTAGGTATAAAAATATCAATGACTATTGAAGTGCTGACCCAAAAGTTAATAATCGGTCATTTTCGGAAATTATTTAAGCTATTTAAATATTCACATTTTCATCAAGAAAAGCAAACTTTACACCCTTATAAGGTATTGAGAATGAATTAAAAAATGACTTGATAATTGAAAAAACGTGTGGCAGCTTTTAAATAATCACTGTATATAATAAATGAAATAATATTGGTTATATAAAATAACTATTTTTCAAAAACCAACATGGAGATTTGATTTTGAACATCTTGAGCATAGAATTTCGACCAGTATTCTGTTATCAATATTAACATTGGCGTCATTTGAATGATGTTAAAGGGAGAGTTAAATTAGAAAAATGTTTCCCTTCTCTCGCTAGTTAAGAACATAAATATATGTTGGCTTCTAAATTTTTACTAGTCAAGAAAAAAATATAACTTCCTAATATCTTATAGTGTAAATGAACTATGGCTGGACGGTAAGCACATTTAAAATGTTTATCATGTAACGTGTGATCCACGTGAGCATCTCTCGAATGGCACAAATGCATGCGCACAAATGCTTTTCTCCGAGACTACGACACTACCGTACTTCCATCGTCTTTTGGCTGCACTACACGACAACAGTACTCGCCATTAAGTGGTGCGGTGTAATGTGTATATGCTTGTATGTGTATGGAAGCTGTGCGGCGGCGGTCCACCTGATCAATAAACGCCGCCACCGTAACAGCGCACACCGTAAGCGCCTTCGAAATATAACATCATCGCATAATATATAAACGCCCGGCTGAGGCCTTTACCAACGACATAGTACCGTCGTCGTTCGTCCCGGCAGTAGCCGCTATTGTCGTCGCGGCCGAGATAAAAAAAAAAACGCGCGTTGTGCCTTTCGTGCGAAACTTTTGTGTTCATAATTATACGTTCATTCATTAAATATATTTATTTCTAAATTAAAATATAGTTTAAAAATTATTTAATAATAACAGCTTGAGTTTTATCAAATCATTTACTATCAGCATTTTACTATCAATTGTTCTTTTTAACAATTATTCTTTCTATTCAATAAAACTAGTTCAAATTTGTATAGTTGGTTCGATTAACGTTGCATGTGATTTGGATGATCTCTAATAAGAGTGTTGGTCGGTGTAGAAACCTGATTACTACCAGTTGTGTATTAAATAGTTATTGTTGTCAGGGGTCCAGTGAGTACTTTTGAACAATAATTAAACCCAAGATATGTGTATTTAGCATACACTATAGCATTATTCAAATAACTTGAAAATTTTAGATAAAAATATGTAATTGTACTAATGTACGTTGTACACACTTAAACCCTATTGAGAAATACCCTTTTAAATTGCTTTTTGCTACTAATGCCTTTTTTCATTTGGGAACTATTCCAAATAATTTTTATTTCATTTAATGCTCAAATATAACTATCACGTTATTGTACTGTTGAAATAATAGTTCATTTTCAAGTCATTATACATTTGAAATATGTCCCCACCTTTTATTGATTGATTTATTTAAATCTAATAAAATAATATAATACAGTCTAATAATTGTATTGGAAGTTTTAAATTATTTTAAAGTCTATTATGCTTGATTTTATATACAATTTTATGATTTTGAGTTTATCATAATGATTGTTAAAATTTCATTAGCGATTCATTATGAAGTTAGTGAATAATTACAATTACAACTTATAAAATGACTGCTATCTTTTTCTTGTAACATAAACTGTCAATCCTTTTATTGTGACACGATTTTTATTATAATGAGTCAAAAATAAGACTTTTCATAATTTGATAAAGAAATTTGGTAGTGATTATAGTAGGTCAACGAATTTGGTAAAATTTTATATTCTGAAGTGTTGTAGTATCGATATTGTTGATCAGTTGTTAATTGTGTATACCTATAAATATTCACTAATTATAAAGATTACTTGAAAAATCATCTATATCTAATGAAAGTGCAATTTCATTTAATCGCGTTCCAACAATCCCAAGACGAATTGTTGTCCTTTGTATTTCTCGTAATGAAATTTTAAATTATTAATGGCATTTCGGTAAGTTTTGTTAAATTTTAATGAAGATTTCAACATTTTTTACATAATAAATTATTTTATTAATTTCAATAGAGTAATTAAGGATTTTCCTTGATAGGGGATATACATTAGATAACTTTACACTTTCTTCAAACGAAAAATATTATTTCTATATTAATTTTTTTCACTGGGGGTATGACTTCCACCGCCCTCCCCATAATTATGACAGTGTTTCATTCATTTTATCAATAAATTTATTGTATATGAATGTATGTTACTATATTTAATTTTGTAAAGTACATGATTTTTTTTTTAATTCTTAACGAGTTCAACATTTCAGTACACTTAAATAAAATGATTGCGTTCCTCCTGCGTTATTTTTCCACCACGTTGAGCTCAAAATACTTTAACTTCGTAATAAATGATTATTTGCGATTCTTTTTCACTACTAACTCCTTGTAGTTCCAGTTACTTTATTCACTTTGTACTTCTTGTTAGATATATGTATATAGTTTTTTGTAATTTTGCTATCTTTTAAAAACTTTTTTAATTACTTTTGTCAAGTTTTATTATTTATAATTTAAATTACCCGTAAAAGTATAAATATTATATTCTTGGAAAACATTAGACTTAAACGTAAAAGGGAAAGGGCTGTACATCAATCATATCCAAGGGGCTGTTTTTCAGCCTCTTAAATCTAATTTTTAATAAAAATTTAATGATACTATGAATTGTAGTGAAATAGTATTAAAAATAATATAAAGCTGAAACTAAAAAAGTTTTTTTTTTATGTAATGATTCAACTGAAAATTATCACTTATTTTTGAGAGTATATAGGTAAAAATATAGATTTGAAAGAAACTTGTTGGTAATATACCTTGTGCACCAAACAGTATTAGTATTTCAACATGTAATTTGTAAACTTAATTGAGATATTAATAACTTTAAATATTTCAATTACATTATAGTATCAACAATTTAATCAACAATATTAAATATATAAATAAATATATATACAAAATATATAATCAACAATATTCAGAAAAAATATTTCCAAGTGCTGTTGTGAAAATCTAAGAAATTTATTTGTGTCCTTTTTTATTATGTTTTTCAGTTTATTTTTTGAAAATAAAATTTTTAAGTTTTTTTGTCTTAAACAAGCGTATTTTTATAAAAAAGTATTTTGAATATTAATTTAATATTCTGATGGATCTACATAGGTGGAATTTGAATAAAAATTTTGTGGATATAACTTAATTTTGTCCCTTCTTAAAAATATATCTATGTACATTTTCATAATTTTTTGGATGAGCTGCGAATTAGGAAGAGATAAGCCACCTCTAAGCTAACCTCGCTAGATTACACCTATGTGGACACCTTATAACATTTACTTTAATAAACTATATTTTTAAAAATCTATATCTAAGTTATTTTGTTGTTGAATTAAGAAAATATTGTTTTAATTTGTTTTTTATTGATCTAGAATTTATTAATTGGGCTATGCCCCAAAGAGGACCACATAATAACCAATATGGCTAAAGACTCAGATTCAGAGTGTGACAGTGATAACGAAGAAGACGAAGAATTTGAAATTGTTACCAAAATAATACAATTAAGATCGGGGTTGTGCTTAATAACATACCTTGAACTGTTATCATTTTAGTTTTCACTATGGATCTCAGTGGTTATGTACTCATTCTCAGAGAAACAGAAGACAACAAAGCTAAACTTTTTGGTAACTTGCATTTGATTATTTGGCGTTTTGATTTCTTAATTTATTGAGAACTATTTTAATTATATTGCGAGTCATTTTTTTACACAAATTACGTGTGATTAATGTGTTATACTGATGTATTAAAAGTCTTGATTAGTCATGCTCTCTCCAAAAAACCTAGTTATTTACTTTAATATGTGATTTATAAGATGTTATTTAATTTCAACAATAATACATTATCGTTATGTGTAATTATTTTAATGTATTATTAGATTAAATAATCTAATCTATTGGAGTTATAATATCCATTATTTTTATAAAAAATAAATAATTAAATTTTTAAAAACTTCTTTGTTCATTTGATCGATTAGGAAAAAAAAATCTATAGTAAGCTAAATGTTATAAATTTTTATATGAAAACCATCTATCAAAATTATGTTGAATGAATAAGTTAGACTCAAAGATTGTTTATTAAAATTAATGTTCATTATTAATAACAAAATTATCAGTTGAGGTATTTAAAAAAGCTAGTTCAATTTTTATTATGTGAATTTAATAATTAAATAATGAGTCGAGAAATACATAAAAGATTCACATTAATTGAACTTTCTTCGTTGTTTTTTAAGCTTAACAGCTGCAAGAAAGTCTGCGTTTGACAATCTGTTTACTTTTATTCTGTTTTGATTTATACAAGACATTATTAACTAATTTTTTTATTCTTATTTTTCTTTGAATATTTCTGACATTATTACTCGACTATCAAATTACACTATTTATTGTATTATAATTTATTCAGTCCGTTAATACATTTATAACTTCAATATTGGATTACAAACAGTTCAAAAATATCGTATAACCTATCACAAAAACTAATTTTTCCATCAATATTATTTGTGTGGTCGATTGGAAAATTAACCCAATAGATAAAGCGCATCCATATAATAATTTTTAATTTAAACATAGATCAAAAAAAAAAAAAAAGCAACTAGCTTTATAAAATAGAGATATAAAAATAAAGGAATAGTAAAACGGGTAATTATCTAAACATACATAATGTATCATATGATTTTTAACGTATCGATGATTGATTGATAAGAAAACTTAATAATGAATTGGAACTTAAGTTGAAGCATAATGTAATATTTGATAATGATTCGACCGTTACGACAAAGGATATTTTGTTTTTTATGTATTTTTTTGGTTAGGTCGTTAATATCGTAAAGTTATTTGTAAATCACATTATAATTTTACTTCTCCTTAGTTCTGAAATAAAGTTTATTTTATATTTTGGATTTTACATATTTAAATCAAATTTTAGTTTCACGAACATGAAATTATTGACATGATCATTAACATGATGTAGGTCTTTTAACATTGGCCACTTAATTTATCAATGATTAAGAATTTTTTTAATTTATCAGTTATCTTTTAATAGTGTGTTTACTTTTTCAATTTTTGCTCATAATTAAAAAATTTTGCATAAAATTATAATTTTTATAACCAAATTATAAATTTATTGTGTTCTCAAAGCAAATAATTGCGTGCATTGATACACATTTTTTATTACACATATTTTACAGTTTATTTTTACTTAAAAATGTAGTTGATTTTAACTTAGCGATTATTATATGGCTTTATTTTTAATGTCAATTAAATACTGCCGCAGTGTACTTATATATCCAGACTTGATACAAACTGTAATAATATCTTCTGATTTAGGCTCGAAAGTTGATCGTACGGATTTTGAAACTGGCGATGAGATATTTGCTATTAACGGACAGCAAATAGCTGAAATGAATAGAGATGACTTGCTGTCATATTTATACCAGGTGAGATAATTCTTGAGATTTATTTTTTATTTTCTTATGTTCAAATAAAACATTATTTTACAGTGTATTGTCACGCGAACTATATGTATGAACTTAAAACCTCGAGTGAAAAAAGGTGAGTTTATAAGTATTTATTTTAATTAATTTTAATTATCTTGAAATTACATTAGAAACTGTTTTTAAAACAATATTCACAATTAAACAGCGTTTTGCAATCAAAGAAGTACAAATGACTGAGTAACTAATAATTTAATGCGCACGTAAGTATTCAACACACGTCTCCAGCATTTGACCCATCGTCGTGTTTGTACACCCTGACCCTTTTCACAGTACTTCCCTGTCACTCTGTGTAACACAACTCTGCAGCTTGACATTATCGCTTATAAAATATTGTTATTTGTTAGTGTGTGTTTCATGCCAACGCGATTTTCCTATCGACTTCACGTCTTACATTATTGTAAAGACCAACATGGTCATTTGTAAAACGTCGTAAATTCATAAGCAAATCAAATTATTTTCATAGCTTATAGTATTGTGTTATAATGATAGGCAAAGGCGCAACTAGAGATTACCAAGTCCCCACTTGACGAATTATGATGATACGATGTATCTATCTATTGTCCTAGACAATTTTTATTCCTATTTATCACATGGATCACTCCCAGTTAGATGATTTCTATCTTTTGTAACACAATACAGAAAGGACGACATTGCTGGGTTTTTGAAAAATTACCTCAAGCTTTTCTTAAACACTGTTTTTTTTCTCACTAAAACATTTAAGATGTATTATTTTTTATAATCTCGTCCCACAAAAATTGACTTCTTTTTACTATTGACTGTAAAATAGATTAATATACATATGTTGGGAATAGTAAACACAGGTGTATACTGTGTTTTGTCTGAGCTGCAACGTTGATAGGATCACAACATTAAGTGTAACATGATTAAATAATAGTATTAAAATAAAATTACAACGATTCGTATGGTCTCTGCCGGCCAACGTCCGCGGTGGCAATAGAGCGGTACGGTTTTTTTTTTTAAACCGAGTATCTATTTTTTATATTACTTAAATACACGATACGGCCGGAACCCTACCCGGTTACGTACATTCGTCTGTGTTCGACCACTGTCGTCACTGGTCGGTTAGCGACCTCGAGCACAATACGCACAACAGGTACGCGCCAGCAGGTAACACCAATAACAGGTCCACTCAGTGTCTACCTTTAGCTGTTACTATTACACCCAGCAAAGTTTTACTTAGTTTCGTACCGCTACGTTTCTTTATCGTGTTAGTTGGTTCGCACCCGTTGCCGGCGGGTACCGTCTTTACCTCGAAAGTGCAGTGTGTGTGTGTTTTTAATGCTATTTTTTTGTCGGCTTGTTCAAATTTTTCGGAGTGTTTGCGTGAGTGGATTAGTGTGTGGCGTATGCGACAATTGCTCGGATAACTTTTTCTCTGTGATTTGGCCAGTCCATTTTCAAGTGTAGGGTAAGTGTACTCGGTAATATCTCGTGTAAGGTTCTTATGAATATCACATACTCTGTAAACACAAGGGTACATTCAAGCAGCACGTTCATGTGATCCGTGGCAATGTAAAGTTTCGTTAGCATCCAAGTTTACTTAATTAAAAATAAATAATGTCGACCGCAAGCGTTTTTTATAAAAAGCTACTTCAAAATAATATTGAATTGGCTTGCATTTAGATGATATACAATAGCCTTATGCCGTGAACATAAGCTACTGTTTTGACTCTCTCAACATTTTATTTTATTTAAAAATAAAAATACTATAAAATATTCATAAAATTTAAGTAATATCGTCGTGTATGATTACTCATTATGCTTACTGTTTATCACTGGGAAAATTCAATAATACGAGGAAAAATAATTAAATTATTATTTTCTTTGTGTGCTGAAATATCACACTGTTTTAATTGTTTTTTAGTGAATAGCCACTAAAGTGATTTTAAATGAATTTAATTTAAGTTCAGTGAAAAGATGTTGTTCAATGCACGCACATTAAGCTTGAAAATAAATCAAAAAAAAATGTTCTCCCTTGACACATAAATATTAAAAAAAGAATTTAATTGTTAATAAATTAAAATCTATTTGGTGTATATTGATTTAATGAATTTTTCATCAAGAGAAATGTTTTACTCGATTTTGTTGCAGCCCAAGATTGATTTTCTTTAATGTTAGGGGAAACCTTTTATGCGAGTGTATTCAATAGCATTTTATGTATTAATTGTTAATTTATTAGTAGTATATCTAAATGAAATAATAGCATTGTACTGCCTTGGCCTCGATGACGTCAAAATTACTTTTGTAAGGATTCTCGTGAGTTTTCAGTGGTTACGAGAGGTACACATGCATTACAATTCACTATAGTCGTAGACTTGTTTGTTCATTTGAAAAGAAAACCCTACAAAGACCGTTACTAATAGTAACGATTTGATGTTTGATTGTACTATAATATCGTGACTAAAATCTTTTGGACAAAGCTCTAATTAACTGAAAGTGCCAACTTGCTAAAATTGTTTGCAATTACTATTTTACTCATTGAACGACCGCAACGTAGAAGCTAAGCTCTATTTTAATGTAATTTATTGAAATACATTTGTATGAATAAAATAAAAATATATATAAACATATTACAAATTGCATAGCCTATCTGAACTAGCGCGCATATTATACGCGAGTTTGGATAGGCTTTACAATACTTTCAAACAATTTCAAATACATTATAATTGACACTTGTGAGTGTTTTGTCTGTTGATATGCTAAATGAACCGAAAAGCTAATACGGGTCGTCTTTTTGTCACGTGTGTACAAATACAGGCATATTCAATACATTTACAGCGAACACTATGGCTGATGGACAAATGTGAACCGCTGACTACTTTAATTGGATGTGTACTTGTAACACATTTAATGTTCATCGGCACGTGACGATGAGATCCTTTCTACTGGATGTGTATTTAACCGGCTTTATAATTGCCAATGTTTAAGGGAGGGTAGAGTTTTGCTTAGAATGTTTTGATTATACCTGCCGGTTGCCTAGGAAATATACCATCGATTCTCCCCCACGCTATTGGTATATTTACGTGCCTACATCCGGCTTCCGGTTCACCGCAATGCAGCAAACGAAATTTAATGTTTTGTTAAACTGATTGAAATTAGAGGAAGTAGAACGTATGCCAAATAAAATCAGTAGCTCTGTGATTATATTGTTGATGGGAAATAATGTTTTTATACTTCCACAAAAATATTAAGGCTATAATTGACGTTACCAAACAATAAAAAAAAAAAAAAAAAAAGGTGGTACACAAATTCAAAATAAATAGCAGAATGTAATCATACAATTTAGTGCGACCAATAATTAAATAGTTATTACACGCGTCATTGCAACAAACATTAGGTACATGCTTATAATTTAATTGAATGGTAATAGAAATTCAACTTTTATTTGAAAAGGAAAATTCATACAGGACCTTATAGAATTTATCTTATTATAATTATAATCTTTTAAATATATATGTTCTTATGTTTGTATTTGAATTGCTTCAAGTTAAAAGAAAAAAAGAATAGTTAAAGGATTTAAACTTTTGATCCATAAAATATCCGTTCAAGAATGACACATTAAATTTGTTTTTTGTGACTCAAATAAAACAGTTTTAATATTACCAAGGAATGAAAAAAATTACTGTTTTTTAATGGATATCATAGCATCTGCATTATTACGCAGTGATTATCTTTAATTACTTAAGATTATGAATGTATAGCGATGGTTTCTATGCTGTAGCCCGTCTCGTTCATAAACATCGCGGTGCTAAAAGAGGCGTTTAACAGTAGTCGTAAGATCAGCTCGAATAGCTTTAGTACCAGAATTTTGTTCTCGTATTCTAAAACCGTGTTTTTTCACATCCATCTACACGCGGATATGTGTACTAGTATTAGGAAGACGAAATGAGAGAGAAAGAGTTGAGAACGCACATGCGGAAGAACCGGTCGGTCAAGTTTGCCTTTGGTGCTGCGGCTGCTGTTGTTAACCTCGAATCTCACGTATGCCAGTACAGTAAATAAAACTAGTTTGCAGGTTGGGGAAATTTTTTTTTTAACTCGACAACGTGTCCTGGGTAATTTATAATTTGTGTTATATGTAGGATATAATTTATAAGCTTTTATAAAAAACTTTTCAAGTTTATCTCAAATAGCTTCACGCTATTAAAAATAGTCAAGGGAAAATTTCTTGTGTGAATTCATGAAGGAACTTCACTAAGTTATTTTTATTTGACTGCNAATCATTATAATTTATAAGCTTTTATAAAAAACTTTTCAAGTTTATCTCAAATAGTTTCACGCTATTAAAAATAGTCAAGGGAAAATTTCTTGTGTGAATTCATGAAGGAACTTCACTAAGTTATTTTTATTTGACTGCCTAATGCGTTTCATTGTTTATCAAGATAGCAGTATGATAATAAGGCAGATAACTTTTAATGAAAATGTCTTACTGTTAAGCAAATAACTAGCAAAGAAATACTGTAAATTATACTTAATATGTATTGGAAATATATTTTTTAGGTAATGATAGTAACGAACGAACACAAAGATTTAAATGTAAAATTAATTACTTTTAAAGGTGTTGTCCCGTATATTAGTTCATTAAAAATCTCTATAGGCTATAAGTTATTTTGGTTTTTTATTTATTATCCATTTGTTGCTTAACATAAAAGACTAGAACGAAAATTCTTGCCTAGTATATTAATTATAAAAAATTAAGTATTTAATAAATAATACTATTAATGTAAATTTTATTAATAACACAAAATAACTTATTATAATTATAACAATTTATGTAACTTATTTTAGAAACATACGATGTAAAATTTACATTTATTTTCGTTACAATGTTGTTTTCCATAGTGAAATGAAATAAAACACAATTTTTTTTTAAAGTTACTTTAAATTATTTTTTGTAAAAAAAAAAATGTGTTATTCCATTATTTATAGCCTAAAGTCTTTAAATGTTCTAAAATTATCAATTTCTAGCGTATGTAAATTGTAAATTAAAATTTTGAAGAGTATCTATTGTTTATATTGTATGTGTATTATGCTTGCAAATAATATATTAATATTTATTTGTTAAACAATATACGCCTAACATATGTTTTAAAAATTCGTAGAACAATAAACAATAGTACACTGAATCATAAACAAATTACTCATCTTTTATTTATTATTTCTCTGAGAAAGTGTAAAAGTCTTAATTTTTATTGCTCGTGGGTTGCAAATTTTAACTATCAGTAGACATAACCTGCTTAATAGCAGTGCTTATGTTGCAGTCAACATTGAAAAAGTTTTTTTTAAATTAGCATTTAATTTATCAATTTAAGTTCGTTTCCATGTTAGTAACTTTTTAAAAAATATTATATTATTTTATATTGACGAATAATATATCTTAAGCGGGCAATGACTTCTCTGCAGAAAAGTGATCATGGCCATTGTCACATCATAAGACTCAATAAAACTTTCGATTTTTTTAACGAAAGTAAATTATTTTTCATAATTTAACCGTAACGTCGCTTTGATTTTGTATGTATGTGATAATCACCAACGTAAGCATTTTGATAACACCGACTAATATCGAATAATTTCAACTCTCATGTAGTCTTAACTTAACCCTTAACTTCATGTTTTGTCATTATAATAGATGGACAAGTTATTTCGGTATCCAACTAAGTTGAAACTTGAATTATCATCTTTATCGTTGTGTCGTTCTTTGTTTTTGACAATTTATTTAAAAAAGTTTAATCTTCGAAAATAATTTATCGAAGTATTAAAAATTTGACTTTTCATAAATTTTAGAAACGTGTTTCAGCTAGACAGAAATGAATTAAAGGTAGAATCATAACTCGATAATATTTTAGCTAAAGGTAAACTAAAAAAATTATCATATATGTTGTCGCTTTTCTGTTTTATCAAGAATTCATTTTTATCACGTATGCATTATAATTTGAACTTTTTGTAGCTTTCTAAAAGAAATTTTTTTTGCTAAACCAAAGGCGTCTGGTTGTGATAATAGTGCAAATTATCTTTGAAAAAATTAAATGTCATTGTTAGTTGTTTTTTTAATAACATTGTCACAGACTTTTAACTCGGTGCGAAATAACGTTTCGTTGGTTACTGATTGTCGGACTTCCGACAAAGCCTTGAAGACGACAAGTCGCACAGGAGACCTGATGCTGTGCGCTCGTTAGAAATTAAAGATGCTAAATAACACAGTAAATGTGTTCAGTGGAAAGAAACAATATTTATCATACACGTATAACATTATTGTGTATAGAACAATATATTATTGTCGATGGAGACTTGTCCGTCGTCGCTTAACTCACGTAATGCGATGTTGCCGTAAGATAATGTTATATATATGTGCGACCGGTTGCCCTTGACATCCACCGGGAGGCAGTGTTTTTTCGGTCCATCAGCGGCGTGCCGTTCGTGTAGCAGCTCCTCCCGCACAACCGTATGGAAATGCCAATGCACATACTCACGCGGTTACAGTACTTTCCGCGTAGGTTGCATTCAAAATCATTTGTGCGTTTTTTACGGTGGCGCATTTGGGACATCCTACTCTCTCAACTATTGCGTGCTCCGCTCGGTATCCGGCAAAGAGCTTACCTTAAGGTGGGTTGTCCTTGCAAATAATAGTGCACTAGAAGATACCTACGTTTTCCGTTGTAATTGAATTTGTATTGTACATTTTTTTATCACGACACAAGTGTACTATTATGATACTCTTCGCAGTATCTTTTATGTATCTCGATACTCGCGAATATTAAATAAAAATATACGTTTATTTTTTATATGAAAAACCGAAATTTACTGAAAAAATTGTTTTTAATAAAAATATTGGAATCCATTTTTGTTTTTTTCATATATTTTGTTTGGTGTAGCTTTTGTCTATTTTTTCTGGAAATTTGTCATACCTTTACTCAAATTTTGGGTATTTCCCAATTTTATAAATTTATGAGTCATTTAAATATTTTCAGGTTGAGTACAACGTTTAGGAAAAGTGAAATTTCCAAGTATAACGAAAGTAAAAGTTTTTTTTTTAAGGAGGTTATTTAAATAAACATATGTTTATTTGAAAAAAATAAAAAAAAAATGTGTTAATACAAAATTAGATTACTGAGAAAACAGGTACAGATGCTTTATTTATTATGTAATACGCGAGATTATCTTGTAATATTTACTTGTTTTTAAAATACTCTATTGATATTGTAAATCATTAGATAGTTATTAGTGTATCTACAACATTGGTAATCTTAAGTTTTGTACTTCTTAATTATAGTGCTTATACTTGAAGATTACAGGTATGTTTATTCGAAGAACACGATTTGCGTATTATCGACACCTTTATAACTTATAAATGCATTTTTAAATAGTTTCCATGTTAATAATAAGCATACATAATAAGCATTAGCCATGAGATACTATAAACAGGCGATAATGAATCATTTTACCATCATTGGATTCACGTTTTTATTGTACAACGTCTAATCTATAATATTTAAGTACTTCTAGAGAGAAACTGATCCTCTAATATTTACGTCTATTTTTTTACTAGTTTTGAATTTACTTATGCCTAGTACACCTACATACTTATGCCGATTTACCATTATTTTTAATAACAATACAACGTGAGTAATTCCGCTTTATCATTAGTTTTATGTAATATGTACCTACACGTTTTTCAATAGGTGGTAATTTTATCAGTATACTTTTTATATAATTCTAGGCGAGGTCATTTTCAAGTGGCTGTTTGTAGACTTACTATTGTTTATTGTAGTCGTATAGGACAATTCGTACGAATTTGTCAATGACAAATTATCCTCATTCCATTTTCCACAAGTTGACCTTTATGCGCATTAAAAATATATATATTTTTAAATTCCTATATCGTTTTTCATAAAATTTATAGCGTTCAGAAATTCGGTCGAATAACTAAAACATTAATAGTAGATATACTTATAAGTTATGTGAATATTTTTCATTTGATTGTGTGTAATTTATTATAATTACTTAGTTCTGAAGGTAATAATTAGACAACCAGTTTAAAATTAATAATAAACTATTAATTACATTTTGAGAAAATATTTTTTAACGTTTCCTAATTTAGTCTCATAAAGCTTATTGTTTTATTTTTTTAATGTATGATAATCTATTCTACATCGCAACGATATTTTCTTCCTCTTCTATATCAGATACGAGTACACGGGGTGGATCTAACTGACAACTCATATAACTTATGATTTACATAACATTTTATGCTTTTTTTTAAAATAAATGTTTACAATTTAAGACTATATTTAAATGTTTTTAATTATTTTTCGCAATTACAAGATATATTTTAAAAATACATTTTTTTACTAAAATTTTTTTTTAAGATTTGAAGATAGCCATTTTACAGATAAGTTTAAAAGATAAATTTTGGTATCAAAAACTTTTATTTTAGTTTAGTAGTATGTTTATTCAGCATTTTGAAGTTTGTTAAATTTTGTTTTTTTTTTTTTTAAGATTTTTCTATGGTATCAAATGTTAGTTCATATTATGTAAAGGACAGAAGTAAACATTATGTTTTACGTTATTTACTTGTAACAGTATGCGATTTCTTTTCAATGAAAATTATTAACACTTGAATAAGTATCTGTAATTGACATGATAAAACAAGTAGTAGTAAAATTAAGTGTACTAAAAAAATTTATAAAAACGTTATCTAAAACATGTTGAGTTATTTATTAAATAGGTTCATATTTCATAAATTTAAACGTGAATAATAGGGAATAAGTGCATTAATTATCAAATATCCTAACAAGGAATATTCTATAATAATACGATATCTATGAAAGAATCACACAAATTAATAATTGTTATCGCTTTTAACTTGTTCAACCATCGGACACATGTAGTTAACATACGAAAATGTTTCTAATATTTTTTAACAAAGATTTGAGATAATCATTTCTATAAAAATCGCGTTCAAACGTTACTATTTTTCATAAAATAGCAATTGATCAAATTGATTAAAAAAATAAAAATTTAAATGTTCTATATATCATAAGTTATGAGTTGTCAGTTAGATCGGTTCCATATTGTATAGCCTTAAAGAAGTTATTTTTATAATATTCTTTTTGTATTTTTGAGTTACATTTTCCCGTTTTTTGTTCATAGTCATTATACTTTCTGAATTTTACTACTCGGTAACAAGAGGGCCGTCCCAGGTTTTTCTTCGATACCTTACTCAAAAAAGCCTGCTGCTAATGAAATAAAAGATATTAGAGAAAGATAAACTTTTAGTTGCCTTTTTGTTTATTTTTATTTGTTGTGACTGTAAATTTTATAACGTGATTTTATAAAGTACAATAAAAAATATATCACGGGACCCTCGAGGTATTTTTTTGTGGACGTCACTGAAATGAGCAGAAGCTTAATAATTAATCGTTTTGTTTGCGTACCTCTAATGTTAAGTACAACATAATTTTAACAATCTGAAAAGTAATTTTTGGCCGATTGTTGTTCACGGCTGTGATTTATTTAAATTTTTTTATTGGCTCAGCACTATGCAGATCAGTTAGAATTTTTAAATTTTACAATTTGTTAACTATTGAGACACGTACTGGTTACTGAAAAATTAAGTTAAAACATTTCTAAGTAGAGTGTAGGTCATAAAAAATTACGTAGTAAACAAGTTTCTCTAAAACACGTACTAGGTTGTCACTTGTTATCAATTTCTTTTTGATTGTATCAATTACGAAAACCAGCTCTTGGAAATAGTATAGTCATGTATTATGTGATCTAATCTAAATAAAACTATGCGGGAAAATAGGAATATAGAAGTTGCGTTGATTTGTTTTGTTTTTTTATATACGGGAAAAGTTTTGTTTATTGATATGCATTTCTTTTATTGCAGTTGTGTCCACTAGCATCGATTCAACTGGATCTGATCTAGGTCAAGTTCATGATGCATTTTTCATTGGAATCGAGGACGAAGCCAAAGAACGATTGGAACGGCTGGCTGCCAGCAAACACATCACTCCAGTCGACATTACCAAATTGGCTCATCAGGTAACTGACTTTATATTGACTTACTTCTCAGACAAATACACTCTGTGGTCTATGCGAACAGCAAATGATGTTATAAAATCGTACTTCTGTTAGTTTAAAAAAACAATTAATTATCATTGCAATGCGTTCTCACGCTCTAAAATCCAAACTATGAAATAATAAAGTTAACACGTATTTTAACTATAAAATTAATGGAACTGGGATGTTTTTGAAGATTTATGTAGTTGCAATGAAAAAATGCCTACAATATTGTTGAAAATTTACTGTTAATGCAATAAAATATAACTGTTCGGTTTAAATAGGTTATTTATCGTTTTATTATTGCGCAGTTACATTATACTACAAGTCAATTAAAAGATAAAATATTAATTTTTAAAACAATATTATCACATGTAAGTTTTTTCTACACCGTGTGTGTTCAATGACACTTATGTTTATTTAAATTTAATAGTCATCTTCTTAAGTTTAATTATTTTTGGATCCACCATTATTATGCATTTTTTAAAAATTATTAGTAAGATAAGTATTGCTTCATTGCGTACTTACAAACACTCGTGGAATAAGTAATATAACATATAAAGTTTAAACATGTACTGTTAAGTCGCAATTGAAGATGCGCATCTTTATTATCCAACGAATTATAAGACATGTAATTGTCAATTTATTATCATTGCCATCATAAAGTATAATTCAAGTGAAATGTTAATTACAAGCTTGTAATTTAACTTAGTAAATTATTGTAGCAAATCTTACCAATGATGACAGTATACATGTATAATTAATTGTATACATCTAAAATTCGTGTGCTATATCTTTGAATCATCTTGTGATATTCATATTATCAAACGTTTTCCCTATAATTTATGCAATAATAGGTTTAAATATACTCCATTGTACACATGTGTGGCCTTGAAAATGTATTAGTTATATTATATTATATTAGAATTTTAAATATTTGTTGTGGGTGTGAAAATATTAATCGACATTCTATTACCATTACACAGTATTTATTTTATAGTTATTATTTAATTGTACCTCTTCGGTACTATTTAGAATAAAACGTTACCTTAAAAAAAGAACTAAAAACTTAAGTTGAAAAAAAAATTTCAGTGAATTATATAGGTGATTTGGAATAGGTAAAATTAAAAAAGTCTTTCAGCTTTGTCAAAATTTAATTCCAGGAAAGTTTTACTAGTTAATAATTAATTAGACTACTTTTTTTTTTAAGAAAAATCCTGTGGCATAAGTTTTTGTATTTTAACAATAGTTGTAAACAGTTTATTTAATATTTACAAAGCTGCCTTTAACTATAAACATGTTTAAAAAGATAAATACAACTCGGTTTATTTCGCGTACTACTCTGGTCATTTAAAAAATTTTATATTAAAAAAATAAGTGAAGGCAGATGTACGCAACCCAATAGACATCAAACTACTAATAGAAGTGTGTGTATCAAATAAGGGGCTTTTAAGATCGAGTGTTAAATAACATCATCAATTATGCCGTTTTTTTCTCGTCAATTAATTAATTAGGAAATAATGTACAGTAATACTTACTTTGTTTTAATTTTAATTATGACAAATAAAATAATCACAAACCGTAACATTAACAAAAAAGGTTATTCAGAATAATGATATTGTACACAAATAATAATAATGCTAAATATTTGGTTATCATCATTACAATAGTTTTTAATTTGTTTGATGTTCAATTATTGAAAATTAATTAATCGAATCATTTATTTAAATATAAATATTTTATATTATAATACGAACCATTTTTCCGGTAGTCTAAACTGCATGTAAAATACTTACTAAGAATTAAATGTTCCGTACTAATGGCGTTTGGGGTTACATTGACTGTGCGTGGTTTCTGTTACCGAGAACTGTCCACGTTATTATTATTGTAGAAATATTTGACGAAATACGAGCAATGTGGTCAAAAGAGGCCCAATTGAAATCGGAAACCGCTTGAGAACCAACAAATTTGATGTTTTCGGATTCTGGTATGCTAGTTGAGATTTATGGTCCAGCTAATTAGACACGTTTCCACCATAAAATTGGCGTTTTTTTAGTTATTAGTGGATGGACTAACATATAACACACATTCATAATTATACATAGTCTGTATAGGATAATTTTTCAAAAAACACTGCAACACCAATTATAATGAAAAAATATAATATAGTTTTAATTAATTTATAGTTAAATTATTTATATAAATTTGAAAAATATACTAGCAAATAATTAATAAATTTATTCATGTAGTAAATAAACAGTTTGTTACATTATACAGTATTCATGATTTTAGGAAGAGATGGCTACATACATTTTGGCGTCCCTATTATTTTCATTGTAGTTATTTGAATAGTATTGTTGAGTAAAATAAGTCTACAAACATTTTTTTTAACATCTTAAATTTTCAATTTCCTGACCTTTATTTTTGTTGATAATATTAATACTTATAATAAAAACATCATTATTAGAAAACCAACTATATGTTGACAATACATATATATATATATTTTATTGCTTTAATGTTAATTGTAAACAATAAAATTATCCTGAAATAAATTGCTGTTGGAGCACTAACAAATCTAAAAAATTCCATGACTATATTAATTATTATAATAGTTACTGAACGATTCCTACGAGCGCCCCATAAAACATTCTGAATACAAATGCAGAAAAAGTCATCCATTATTTTTTATAACTTTGTCTATTACAAAGTAGGCTATATATTATAAAAGTAATTAGGTAATACTGTATTTCGCATTTTTATTAAAAAAAACTTCAGCTGTTTTATCAGACATTATTTCCCACTAGTAATCATTTAGGAAAAAATGTCTCCTTTGTTTGTATTATTTGTCCTGAAAATATGTTTACTAGAACTTTTATGAGAAAACGGGTAATACATGTTGACATAATTTTCGTTTATTTTCAATGCTCGCGTTTTAAGGTTAGTGAAATTTAGCTGTATTATATTAAACTGTGCGAAAAAACAAAGTACCTAAGACTTTTTAAGTGGAAAGCCTTTATGAGGAAAAATTTACTTATTATAGGTGTTGAATAAAAATGTTTCGTACTTGAGATATTAGTGAGCTGTTCGTTTAGCTGACACCTATTTCGACGAAGATCAAAAGATTTTAGAAGATGTTACAAAAAAAAAAAAAAAACAGATGAGTAATCTTGAAAAACTGATTGTCTTAAACATCTTTTTGTCAATGAATTTCGTGGATATTCTTTTAAATATTTTACATTAACAATAGACAAACTTTTTTAGCTGAATAATTTTCTTTAGATAGACGATAAAAATGAAATGTATAAAAAATGACAATATAATAAAAATTGATCACACGTGGCTAATATTATTTAAAAATAATAATTATTTTGACCTAAATCTTATACTTCTTCTTTTGGATTTATTTCATTTTAATGAACCTATAAGATAAATATTTTGTAGCCAAATTATTGAGGATAGGATGTACACTGTATAGTATATAGACATAGGTTACGTTAAAATATACAATTGAGGTATAAGTTGGCAACATTTGTGGGAGTCTCTGCCTGGCAAGCAGACTTCCCTGCAGGCAGCTTTCAATGCAAAAACTGTGATGTAACTAATCAATTTTTTATATATTTCATTTCAGTTAATGCGGCAATTACATCCAACGACTGAACTCAACGGTTATTTGGACAATAATAAAGTTTCTAGTGATATTTGTGTGGATCCATCGGATAAGGGTATAAGTAATTCGAATGAACAATCGGATACCAGACCGTCATCTAGAAGACCCAGTTCGCCGTTCAGCAATGGTTTGACGGAAGTACTGATCGGTAAAGATGAAAGCAGCAATTATAGACTGAAGTCCTTGGACGAGACCACCTATTCTAAAAACAGGTAAGTCGATACCGTTTATGAGAAGCCAAATTTGTTAAAACTTTTGATCTTCCCCATTATCGCAAGAAGTTTATTACTCGCGTGGAATTGAATACTCGTTGTAGTATATGCTGTTTTGCAATCCAACTCATGAATGTACACACCTCAAAACCTCTCACTAAATTATTAATATCGTCACACGGTTTGGCTCTGATAACGCATATCGATTTAGTGGTGACGTTTAGTGTGAAGTAGGTCTATTTTTTGTCATTTTAAGCATTCCTAAAAATACTTTATATACCTCCTCACTCGCTATACGTTTGTAACTTTTCATGGCAACGACAGTAATTTTATCAGTAGTTATTTTTAGAAATGTATAACTTATTTATATTAATATTATACTCTAAATAGTAAAAATAAAATGGTTTGTATTATTGCAAGGTAAAGAAAATGGGGTTTATTTAGTTTGAGCACGACAATCATTTTTGGGTATAAATTGTTGATTCTTTTTGTTAATTTTCCGAATTTTGTTAATTTTTTTTTTTTGCTTGTATTACGTAAGAAAAGTTGTCGATTTCATATATTTAGTGGCGTTTAGTTGTTACAAAATTACATTACTTTAACGTCAGTTGGTGAGAAAATATTACAATAATTACTTTAAAAATTACGTCACTTACAATGTTTAGGTTATATCAGATTAATATGAAAATAAATAAAAAAAGGTTTATAAATTTGAAGCTTTAACTCGAATATAAGTAAAAACTAATATAAACATTTTGACATTATTTTTTATTTTAAATAAACAATTTTAAAAGTATTTATACGCCTACAACAACTATATTTTACACAATAATCTTAGTGAACAAGTAAAATGTACTTGTATTTGGCGCACAAGTTAAAATCATTTTTTAAAATCATTAACCACTTTAGTTAGTTTGAAGTGAACTTAGTGTGTTTAAATTTTCTGTGCCCTAAAGCTATTCTCCTTTTTTAATCTTTTTGTCAACGTTAGAGGAAATAGTCGGCAAAAAAACAAAGTATAAATGCTCAAGTAGTACGGTCCTACTTACTCCTTGATTATTCAAATAAAAAACTCCGTCAAACAATGAAAAATTATGCAAGCACATGGATGCAGTACAAACTGTGTGGCTTTTTAAGGTTTATTTGGTTCCCCAGTAAAATATAAGTGGACAAGATTTTTCGACAAGGGGTGTTTATTTTTCACGGTCCACCTGTTCTTTATTTACCGCACGGTTACGTGCACAACAAAGGGATAGGTTTTTTACTTGGCTCAAATTTTGTACGTGTATGGTGTTTTTTGAGAATAAAAAAATACAGGTGCTACGTTGGTGACTAATACTTATTTTTAAAAATATTGTTGATATTCAATCAAAAACCTGATGCCAATGAATTTATTAAATTCAATTCAATTTTACTTAGAATAAATATTCAAATTCAATTTTGATAAATTAAATAGGTACGTGTTGACGTAAAAATGATACGGTTGTCATCAGTTAATAAAATTAAAAAAAATCATAATAATTATCATGACAGCCACGACAAAGTTTATTTGTGTAACTATCTTTTTTGATCGTACCGAGTAGAGAGGAAAATTGTGGACAATCATATTCTTTTCCTCAGTTTTTATTCGCCTGTATTTACTTTCATGACATAATCAGTTATATTATTAAACCAGAACTATGGTAAACGTGTTTACAATATCGTGCACACATTGGCCAATGGAATGGCATTGAATTGTTCTATGATATTTTTTCCAATTATCCTAAATTTGAACATTACTCAAGTCCGCGAACAATTGAATTATTGATTTCTGTACTAATAAATGTTAAAGAAATAACGTGTACGATAGTTTTATATTTTGTTTTTAGTCCGATGTAGTCAGAGGAAAGCAAATTTTAGTCGTGGCACTAATCTTCTGAAATTTAATTAAATATTGCATTTTTATCTATTATGAGGATATATTTTAAAGATTCTATACATTTATAATGACTTTGTGTAAATTTGCATCGAAAATCGATTAAATAATTTATGTACTCTATTTAATTTTTTTAACTAAAAGAAAAAGAAGCTTTTAAACGATTAGATTAAATGTTAGATAAAATATACTGACTAATATATTAAATTAAAAAAAAATAAGTTTTTAAGATTTTTGGCTCCTTGTATCACATTAGTTTACTTTCCACGGGGAAGATTTTATAGCGGTGCGTTTACAAGGTGCACAACAATGTAACCGAATTTTTTTCTTCAATCACTACGGTCTTATGAATCTTAGTACGGATATTATGTGTGTATGTGACTTGTCACAAAGGGTCAGGAATTCCACGACGAGACAGGTACTCACTATTAACCTCTCCCCGCCCCGACCATTTTATTGTATCCTGGGGGTTGGGCGTTATTATTATTATTATTATACCTGCTGTTGCCGCCGCTTTTGCTTCCCCCGTCGACGTCTCAGACCATGTAGCAGTACAACAGCAGCAGCAAGGTGTATACAATATCATACGCACGTATTTTTTCGTTGTATATACGGCTCAACGAATGCATAAGACGGTTAGAGCAGCGTGTGCACAGGTACGTGTAGTTATAACTGCCGCCACCGCTCCTTCCAAATACTCATCCGCACCCCTCCGACCCGATAATGACGACGGTCCGGTTCTCCCCGTCGGCGGCCGTACGGGTGTACGTCGCGTTCTTCCAACTACTATTTTGCCAGTCCAGTGTTAGTGTTGTTTCGGAGCGGATTGCGTCTCGTCCGATCGCTATGATATTTCCCGTGATACGAAACAGTCGTACAATTCGCGAGTGCCGTATATATTTTTCCGTCAATCAGTAACCGCTGCACATTAGAAACCATTTCGGATACGTACATTACAACACGATGAAACTGTTACCTTATAACTGGCACACGTGGTGAGTACCGAATATCAAACGTAACGGCGGCGTCTGATGCACCTGATCTATAATCTGTAAAATTCACTGCTGTATAAAATTTGGAATTAAAATCATTTGAGTCATGTCGTAATGTTTTCTGCAGCAATTTCACTAAAATTAAAAAATACTCTTTACCGTAAATATGACGAGTGGTGACTTCGACGCACTTGACTTACGCGATACGCAATCAAAGTACAAATATTATCATTTTCGAATAATTATTTTTCAAGTCGTATAAATATAACAATCTTAAAATAGTAAATAGCAACTGGGGCGAGTTTGCTTAGTCATTCGTGTTAGTTTTGTCGTGACGTTACGGCAGGTAATATTGGTGATTAAAATTCCAATTTATTCAATTACAAACCGAACGGTTAGTTTAATGGCTGTAATAGTATTAGTGCGTGTATTATCTTTTCATTTCCAAGATAAATTTAATACTTAGTGTATGTGCTTGGTGTGAACATGTTTATTGGACTGGAGATACCAAAAGTTGGAATGCGCATTTAGTCCGAGGGAACGTTTTATAGTGTCGACTATGAAAAAATCTCAGTTGAATAATTCATACACTTAATTCAACAAATCAATTGTTATTGTTTTCAAACGCCCCCGTCGGGACTTTACCGAGACTGTTAAACACAAACGTTTTTGTTTTACAGCTAAACTAATATAAATTTAACTATCCATAAAACGTGTTTAGGTACCTAAATACCACTCAGTAGACGAATGTACAAAATAAAAACGTTAGAGGAGCTATTAAATTTGCACGGTCTGAACTGTTTTTATTGTCTATAATTTTTTCGAGCAACTAAATAATTTTGGAACGTAACAATCGCAATGAACTCGAGTTTTTTTAACGTTTTATAGTCTCATCGGAATAATGGGTTCTGTAGGTGTCACGTAATAAGCACACTCTGTGTGTTCAAACGGCGTTATGAAAGACTTAAAAAACTACAAGTTATTGGCAAATCATCCATCTTAACAAAAGCGAGTGCGGTGTATTAATTGTCATTAGATTTAATTGTGATTACCATTGTCGTTGTGGTAAAGGGCGTTCGGTTAACACGAAGACCCTTAAAACCTCGTATTTCATTGTTATTAGCTTTAATTATACCGTAAGGCTTCCGTGGCCTCGTAGTAAATCTTGGATTTTTTTATTTTGACACCAATAATGACGTTAACCGCAAATCGTTATGCAATGAACATATAAAACGCATATTTCTGTGCGATTATAATTCAGTCCTAGGACCCTTTTAAATGGGTTAGATCTCATACGAATGTGTTTTGGTCTCGTATGGTTTTACCGAAATTGTAAGTAACCATAGTTTCCACTATCTTGGAACTAAAAAGAACAATGAAATCTAAACGAGATGAATATTTGTGCTTTCGACATGATTTTCTGCCGTTAGATCTAAGTTTTTGAATCGAAAAAATAATAACTTTTATTTTTTACAGTTTTAGAATTGTAGTGCACACTATTAAAAATTATCTCCAATTGTGTACTGGTAAATATTAATTATTTGCGTGCAAAATGTTTTCATGAAATCTTAATTCGTCCGTACGAAATTGAATACAACTCCTATTGGATGAAAAATTTAAAAAAAAAAATGCCCAGATTATTAATCGGTTGTTTTCGTGTCATGCTGTTTGATGGCCAAAAACGCGAGCACATTAAGGTTATATCGTTTTTGCACGACAAGGAGAAATATTAACCACTGCACAGTTCGGTAGTCCGTTACAAATTATCGATATGATTATGCGAGACATTGGATTTCATATGATTTTCACGTGAAGATTTAGTTTGTTTTCGTTTGCCCAAATCCAATGCCGTTTCGCATAGCGTTACTAAAATGATAAATAACAAGACATTGCTGCGCGAATACCGTACACTGGTTACGTTTGTAAGCATAGTTGCCTCGGTCAATTATCGCTGTTAATTTTTTATCCGTCCAGAGAAAGACTATTGTTTTTTAATCCACTTGTTGTCAACGCGACATCGTGTGGACTTTGAAAAAAGTTACGCCTCGGACATTCAATTAATAGGCAACCTAAATGGCAACCTTCAGAACCGTTTGTTTACTTAAAAGATATAATCATCTCTCTCGTCGACAACGAAAACCACTACGTGTTTTTACTTAAAATATGTTTCTCGACGGTTTATCTTGTTATTTTTTTCCTATAATTTGTCAAACTTTATTTGTTCTGACCTCGGCCAGCAGAAGCGTTCAGTTTAAAAGTAGCGGACAAAGTCACACTGAGCCGATGGTTCTTTTAGTACTTTACTGCGTTTGACGACAAAATCCATTGCGAGTAATATGTTTTTCGTTTTACGTTTTATTACTTGTTTATGCTCCGTGCACATTCCTGTACGGTTATAAACGGACCGTTTCCGTTAAACTCTTTACCGCGATGAACACGGCAGTAGATGGTGATTATATTATAATAGCGTTTTCAAATGTATTAGAACTGTTCGCGATTATTGCCCTATCCGGTAAAAGTGTCGGAAACTGAGAATTGTTCGGACTGAACTCGACAGTAAAAAACACAGTTAATATTCAACGACATCGATACAGCGACACGTATCAGCGCACGGTGCGTTATCGTTAATATGCAACAATAAAAAACACAAAACGACCGTGCAGATTAAACGCGAGTGTTAAATATAAAGCGATAATGGCAGTAATTATGTCGTTGTGTACGTAACACGCGAGAAATGTAATTTTACTTGGTAATAAGATACTCTTAGATATTATTTGTCGTCTAAACTTGCCAGGGAGTGGAAATTGTTGTTAACAACGACGTCGTCCGTTGTTTCCGCACGTGGACTGCGTGTGGTGTTTTAGGCGTTTAACCCGTTCGCATTAGATTACCCGTACGTAATGTCCGCGTTCTTCACAGTAACACTTTACGATAAAAATACATTGTCGGACTGTAATTATTATCTTACCGCAATTGGTATTCGGCATGACTTATTGCGTTTGTCTGTTGAAACCATCATCTCTTGACTAACCATGTTTGTTTTCCGTTGGCACAGGTCTCGTCGCCGCAGCGGAGGACTTGTCCGCGTGGGCAACGAGGTCGGTACGCTGGAAAAGAAGCGAGCCGTAGAAGACAACGACGGCGAAACGCTGGACATGATGGTCATGATGAGCACCCTGGACAACGGGCCGCATCGCGAGATGGCCGTCGACGTACCAGATTCGTTCATTGCTCGCAACAAGACACCTCCGCGGTACCCACCGCCCTCGAGGACCACCAACCGTACTGCCAACAGCACGCAGGTTAGATCGCATTTCTAATTAATGGGAATCAAACAATTTATTTAAAAAAAAGCGAACCTGACTAGTTGAAAGATCAACTAAACAATGCCGTCATTACGCGTTAATCTCCTCAAACCATAAAATACGAATGTTGTGTGTTTAATGTAGCTCAAGTACCTAACAATCCGTAATTCCGCTGTAAATATATAATATCATGGTTCTAATGAAATATGTGCAGCCATAAGTCACTAAGTGATGGTAATTAATGACGATTTCCCCGTTTATTGATTTTCTTGTAAAGTCGTATTCGCGACAAATGGCACGTATACCCGAGGGCCTTGTTTATAGAAATAACTGGATTTTTCGATCAAAAGTTTCAATATCGGTGAAATTTCTTCAGAGTAAAGTCATTTATTGGCGATCCATTAAAACCATAATTAAAAACGTAAATAATTACAAAGACTGGGAGGCGATAGAGATGTGTTAAAAATAAGCGCGATTTAACTGATTGGGATCTATGTTAGCTTCGATCTCATGTATTGATCGTCTCTTTACGACCAATAAGAATTTGTCTTGCTTGTCGAAGCCTTTTAATAGCAGAACCGTTTAAATGTGTTAACGTCTAAAGTTTTTGATTTCCGGTAATTTGCAAATTTGGTAAGTTTTTACTTAAACGACCTCTTGAAACTGTCTCGAACGACAACGAGAACAAATGTAGATATTAGTGGAATAAAAATGAGTTGTATTGATTAATGTTTAGTGTATAAGCGTATGTTAACTTGTTGGGTTCATTACGCGCCACGACTATCATTAGCCAAGTCTCCTTTTGCAATTGCGCCGTGTCATGGATACCTATGAATACTTTCACGATCTTTCACTTGTAAGGTTTCGCTTAGCTATTTCCTCTGTCGATTAGTAAGTGTCATTGTGAACAGCATTTGTGCGTGCTAAATTATTAATTTGTATTTTATGTTTTCCCATAGAATAATGGCTCTGCTGTAATAGACAAACAACATTCGTCGGTACCGCCGCCGCCTCCACCGCGATCAGATGTGATCAAACAACAGCTCCATCAAGCTGCCAGCATCAACAATAACACGATCGTTACCATATCGTCGACGGAACCCACCAAAGAGCAGTTGGAGAGCATCAGAAAGTACCAGGTAAACGCACTCGGAGATCATATCCACTTGAGCTGTTAACATGTTTATTGGCGTCTACTCCCCGCACTCTCTTTTGTAACATCCATCCCGACCGACCCTCGAATACTCAATATAACTAGCCGCTTGACAGAGATAGGGTCACGTATTTGTTGTTTTTAGTGCAAGTACCAAAAAGTGTCAGTCTTTCGATTTTGTGTTTTAAACGAGATAACTCGGAAATATTGTCGTCCGGAGGATGGGTATAAAAAAATAAAAACTCGCCTTATTCGAATAATTTTCTATCCGATTTCGTATACGACGTGAGCAGACCAAATTATCTTTGACAATTTTGCTGTTTCGGTCAGTCGCTTTAATTTGTGACTACCGGAGATACTTCACGGCATCTTTTTCGCGGTACACGTTAAAAAATTTGCCCCACTCCAGAGATTTTACAATAGTAACGGGTATGAATGACACGGGCTGATTGATTTTTTTGGAACGCCGCGGCGTACGTACGTCTCCTTGTGCTCGTGTGTGTACATCACAATGTACAGGTATCTTTATCGCCACACGACCTTCGCATTCCACCGTACACCGAACCGTTACTAGTGGCGATGCAACAATGCTGGTGCCATGATCATTGTGTGTATAATACTACAATCGAGGAACCTAACGCATAAAAAATTCTTCAACGTTGATTATTCAAACCGATTTTCAGAAAAATGTTATTTTCCTCGCACCATTAATATCATCACACATTGTATGGCCACCTTTAGATTTTGTTTTTGCCAAGACGGAATATTACTTTGTTTTCCGGGTAAATCTTAACAATACACAACAACAATGTGCTCGGTTGTTTATTAAAAATAAATGCCCCGAGGAATGATTAGATTAAATCGGTGTTGCTACTACCGTCCTCTATTCTTGAGATTTACAAGCCGGTCCTTGGCTGTTGTTATTTAGTAATTACATTCCAGTTTTAAAGCGTTTGTGTGTGTTTGCACTCCAAACGCCAACGCCAGTCGTCGCGTCAGGTTGTTGTTGGCAAAATAACTTTTTGACCTCTTCGTTTTAAAGATGATTCTTCGAAACCGTTGTGTCTATACGTCGCTGTGTTTAACGGATTACAGCGCGGTGAACCGATAGCCGTTTGATGATGACAGAGAGAAAGCTGCGTGTACACATTTATCGAGTATAAAAAGCCGGAGGGAAAAATTCGTTATTGTTTCCGTAATTCGTCGGAATTAGATTATATTCAAAGTGAAGAAGAGCAGTTTACAGTTATGAATAATAAAATAATTTCGGATCTCACGGCTGTAGTAACGTGAGAACAACACGATTATAATAAATTGTTATAACAAAAATCTCCGTTGGACGATCACCGTCGATATTCGATATGATTTCACCGGTCATTATTGCAATTTTTATTCGGTCGGTATGTCTGTTGGACGCGACCGCAAAAACCGCAACACTGTAAACAGTCGTTGGTTTTTGTTTGTCTATTAGAAATAAATGAAAACTAACTTGAGATGCGGCGCTCCTCGCGTGTTCGCCATCGGTCGGATCTTTCACGTTTGATTTTCTCCAGAAGTATGTGTAGTCTCTCTTTGTACGCCGGATCGATAATGTCAAATGCCAGGTGAAATGTGCATTATACAATCAGAAATCTACTTTTTATTTCTCACCGGTAGACGTCAACTGCAGGACGAGAGAGACCGAGTTTTTTTCACCGTTCAAAATCGTTTGTGAATAATAATCGCCACGACTTTATTCAGACTCTCTCTGTCGACGACCTTTGTGCGTTACTCCGATTCTCTCTAGTAGCTGCCCTCGGCATTGTCGTAATTGGATAGTGCAATAACACAGTGCAGGTGTAACACCGACCGTTGTGTGGATTCCACCTGTACGTCACTCCGCCGCATCCGAGCTGGTTGGTTTTCACACGGTGTAAAAAATATTGTTGCATCGGATGTTTTCGGAGGAAAAAATCCGACGAATCTCATTGTCGTGCGAATTCTCTTATTCAGCTGTCTCGGGTTACCGTTCTCGCGGCCAAACTATTGCGTGACATACGCGTATGTTGCAGCGAAACTATGCGGCAATTATCGTTATTGTTGTTGTGTGTGTGTGTGTGGGGGGGGGGTGTATCAATAATCCGAAACCGTTTACGTATCGTGTAAACATAGTAGAAATATCGAAATTAAACGGCGTTTGGTGTTACGTGTACTGGGAGTCGTAAAAAAAAAAAAAAACTGCCAATTCCAATAGCGTCTCGATGGTTTTGCCGTAATATTCCCATTACTATTGTACTTTGAACGTCGTTTCGAATGCAATGTTCGGGTTTTGATGGTGTAAAACGGTTTTGTCTAGACGTTTTTTCGGCGGTATCTCTCCCTCCGTCCGAGGTAAGAATTTGTGTTTCCGTTCATTGTTATTTCCACACACCGTTTCTTTGGACTCGCTTCATTCGCCATCTCTTTGAATTTTATCGAGTTATTTTACAACGTTGTGGATACTTTATTACGATTGCGGTTGGTAATCTCTGCGTTTTTCCGTTAGCAAACATTTGCCCGTCTCGATGGTGGTTTTTTTATATTTTTCATGTTTCTTCACTAAGAGTCAATTTTTGTCGACTTGTTGTTTACTTTTGGATCTCGGTCTATTCCGTAAATTATTGACTTTCAGACAGTTTCCAAGAAGTTGAACCCCGTTGAACGCGGATATTATTTTACAAGTAATTAAAATTGGGATAACGATGAAATCAAAAACATTTGTTACGCTGCGCACAAATCGACTTACCAAAAATATTTCCCTTTAATGACTATGCGATTCGTATTAATTTATTGACAAACTTGTACGTATTTACTGAGAATATTTGCAACTTTTTACGGCCGTTTTCACTAAATTCAATTAAAACTACAATCAAAACAAGTCTGTTGGTTTTCGGGACAGAAACAATTTTAGCAATTTATGTCTGTTATTAAGTCTGACACACGACCGGTAGTTTTGTTTAATGCAATGAACTCTTTGTTATTGTTACGATTCTCAGTTAAAAACCGCTGTACTCTAAACACGGCCGCGTGTAAACGATAAACAAAGCAAATAGTACGTGTGATGGTTTTCGCACAACACGTTACATTAGTCGTATGCGTTCATTGTCTCTACTCGTGTAATGAGCCACTCATATTTTAAGCAACGATAAAAAAATAAGTAAAATACTTGAAAACGTTCACATTTTAATGGGCTTTCGTCACTCGTCAACGCATTTTATCGCCTTAGCACCAGCAGAAACACACCCGAGCGCTCTGTCAACCTGTTTACGCTGTCAATGGCTCCCTTAGGACGGGTAAATTTTTATATTATTGTATAATTTATTATTGTTTCAAAAGTGGCTATACTTAGTAAGCGATTCGTGTTATGCATAACGTTGTTCTTGGTTTTTGACATTGCGTTTTGCACGTTTTTCATCTCTTCAAAATTCGTTCATCACGTTATATTAATTCGTTATGATTTTTTTTTTTTTTTAATACCTCTCAAAGGTACGGCACTATATTAAGTGAACTGCCGAAATCATAATGTTTTAGAAGCGTTGTCAGAATCTTTTGCGTGCCTGCGTGTGCGACGAACAATGGATCCTATTGAATTACTCTCAGGACCTGCTCGATTGAATTATATTGTTTTACAGGTGTATTTTATTATTCGTATTATATAGAATACAATAGTGTTGGAAAAGCCGAAAAATTCGTACACACTTAATTAACTTTTATCTTATCCGAGACCTCCGCGTGCTGCGTATAACGAATAATAGTAATAATAATAATAATAATGAGTGACGAACACAATAAAGATACACTCGGTGCAGTTGTGGCACCTAAAACTACTTGTCGACTCTACACTTGTCATGGGTATGTAACGTGTTATAGATACACATGATCGAGGTGTGACGTGTATACGCGCCGTCGAGATTCTTCACAATGTATTAACGTATTTTGTTGATCAAAATATTTTTACTGGCTGTAAGAATAATTATCGTGTGTTCTTCTGGACCTTTTCATGGCAGCTCTGAAAATATTCTACATAACAATCTGTGAAATATATTGCCGTCCTTCTAGACGGTGTCTGCCCGTATAATATCGTACCTATACGAATGCTTATGGTTTGTACGTCGCGTCGGCGATAAAATTAATTTTATACTCTAACAGCCACTTTGCCCCAATGCCCACAATTAGAGCGAATATTACATTTTACCGGACAGAGAACACACAACAAAGTTTATGGAAAATTAAATATCTAACGAATTATTATTTTTTAATATCCCTTTGTTAGATGTTCGAACGCAAGTAATAATAACAATAATTATTATTGTTGTTGTTGTCGTTCTCTTTTAATATCAAGCCATAAATTCGTGCAGAACTCTCGCGTGCCCTAAGACCTCTGCGCACGTTTTATTCGACGCTTCTAACCCTTCCCTGTAGTTATATTCGTCCTACACATACACGGAGTCATTTGTATGATCATCGGTCCAACACCAAAATCAATTGTTTTTTCCACTGGGCTTTCAGCAGTTCTAGTTCGTGGCCGGTTAATAAGCACAAAACAAATAAATATAATACCGGTGGTCACCTGCTATACGTAACTCCTCCCAATCGGATGTTCCTATTTGTTTTCCGGTGATCCGCCATCGCCGGACCATGAATACACCTCGATTGTAGCATGTCATAGCTTTTTTTTTTTATTTATTTACACTTACGCGTAGTTTGTGTACGGCGTGTGTGTGTGTGTGGACATCGCCATACTTTGTGTCCGTTTTTTGTGCCTGACGATGACATATTCCAAATCGGTACGGATTTTATAACTATTACCTAACACAGTAGGAGACGGCACGATTTTTTTTAACGTACAGACGAAGAACTAATGTCTTTGTTGTTTGACAGGACGCTTTGCGTAAAAGAAAAGAAGATGAAGACAGGGTCGCTCAACAAAACGAATTTCTCAACCGATCTCTGAGAGGATCGAAAAAGCTTCGCGATCTCGAACACGAGCCACCAGAGAGTGGGATCGTCAACGATGGTTTCTCGTCTGATCACGACCATGAGGCTGAGACCATCACCACCACTACTGAAGAATATCAGGAACCTTACGAACCCATCTACAAAGTTGTCGGTGAGTACAAGCGAATAGTATACGTATCGTCCGAGGGCGGAGGACTAATAATTTTGGTCCGGCGCGTTTCCTCATTGCACGTTCCGGTCGAAAACGGACGAACGTAATGTATTTTAATGGAATGCCGACGACTGTAGCGTCGTCGAACTCTGCATTCAGGTCACGTCCATACGCCGAGACTCTCTTGCAGAGGTATAATATTATATACGAACACGCCTCGCGCATAACAACCTGTCACTTGCACTCGTGACGATAATATTATGGCGTGGCGGAATAGTACTTGCCTCCATAGACCGCAGAGTTATACTAGTGGCACACATTGTTTTTTAGTAGACTTTTGTGTGCAGTCGTACATCGGCAACGTCTAACGCGTTTCGTTATTTATTATTGTTTCAGGATACGGCGAATTAATTGCCGCGCTTCAAAGGATTCACCTGCAGTTGAAAAAGAACGGCATTTACCTGGGTAACAAATCCGATCCGGACGTGGCCGTTATCCAATGCTTGCTTTTGAATCCGGAATTCGTCCGCGTGCTGTCCGTACACAACAAAGTGCAACAGCTGTGGCCGCCCAACACCACCAAGAGACCGGTGACATTAGAAGCTCAAAACTTGGTTCGGGATGTAAGTGTTTTGCGATTACACAAATTAAAATAGCTTTGATTCATAATAAAATCATTTTTATTTTATTCAGTGTTTGGAAAGTATCCAAAACAGTACTTTATCCGAGGCATCGGAACTTGCCAAACTTCTATCCCAATACGAGATCGAAGGTGTTCTCTGGGCTCACGACACCATAGCACAAGACGTGTTGCCACAGGACGAGAATACCACCGAAATGACTGTCACTTTGCCAATAGGCGATCCCTCAACTTACGGCACGTCTGATCAACATCCTCCAAACATCACTATTATCAACATTGAGAAAACCAACGAACCATTAGTGAGTAATTTTCTTGTCTTACCTTTTTTATAGCTATTAATGATTAAGGCAATGGTTTGACACTAGTTAACTACAGTTGAACTGGTGTATATTTAGGAAAAAGTTGAGTGTAGTAGTTTTCTCGTGCCTTCTACACTAGGGACTGCTTTTAACGCTATAAAAACGTATAGTTAACCCATCCGTTATGACTTAACACTAGAGCATATTAGTAATTAGTGTATCCAATACGCCACATCTAGCTCCAAAAATATGTATTTATTGTTAATTGATTTTATTTGTTTTTCGTACTTGTTATTAATTGAAATTATTTTTTGTCAGGGAGCAACCGTGCGAAACGACGGTGATGCTGTTATAATTGGTCGAATTGTGAGAGGAGGCGCTGCCGAAAAAAGCGGACTTCTACACGAAGGTGACGAAGTGTTGGAAGTAAACGGCGTAGAAATGCGTGGTAAATCCATCAACGATGTCTGTGATATCCTGTCGGTAATGACTGGACCTTTAACTTTCATGATTGTACCAAGTGCAAATCGAATTTCATACCAGAACTCCAACGGAAACAGGGAAAATTTCATTGTAAGTACTAGCTGTGATGGATTTTTTGTTACTAGATTATAGTTTTAGATAATGTTTTTATTTTGTGTTGACACTCGTGTATTTTTATTTTTTAGATGCATATGAAAGCACATTTCGACTACGATCCCGAAGACGACGGATATATTCCATGTAGAGAATTAGGTATTAGCTTTCAAAAAGGAGATATTCTGCATGTGATATCTCAAGAGGACGCCAATTGGTGGCAGGCGTTTAGAGAGGGCGAAGAAGATCAAACGTTAGCTGGACTTATACCGAGCAAATCTTTCCAACACCAACGCGAAGCTCTCAAACAAACCATTACTGGTGGCGACAAGTCAGGAAAGGATAGACCAAAAAAGCAAAACACGTTCCTTTGTGGTAAAAAGAATTTAAAAAAGAGGAAGAAGAAAGCATTGTACCAAGATGGTGGTTTTCCCATTTATTCGTCTAACTCTGATGGTAAGTAATCAATTGATATATAAGAAGTATGTTAGACATTGTTAAAATTTATATTATTTTTATACAGAATACGAAGCAGAAGATATTTTAACATACGAAGAAGTCGCTTTATATTATCCTCGGGCTAACCACAAAAGGCCTATTGTATTAATCGGACCACCTAATATCGGTAGACATGAGCTTCGGCAGAGGCTAATGGAAGACCGAGATAGATTCGCTGCTGCAATTCCTCGTTAGTATTTTGAATTTTGTACTATTTTTAAGACTAGATTTTAAGGTAGCAATGTAATTAATAAGACTTCATTTTTTTAGATACTAGTCGAGCAAAAAAAGACGGCGAAATTGATGGACAAGACTATCATTTTATCACCAGAGCCCAATTTGAATCTGATATTCTTTCTAGGAAATTCGTCGAACACGGTGAATATGAGAAAGCGTATTATGGTAAGTGTGAAACACACGTTTGTATTTGCGTATGAGTAATGCTGTTTCTACGACATGATTACCAATGGAATGTTCTTTACAGGTACCTCATTAGATGCCATACGGTCAGTAGTTAATTACAGTAAGATTTGCGTGTTAAATCTTCATCCACAATCTCTTAAAATCCTTCGAAGTTCTGATCTTAAGCCATTTGTCATATTTGTTGCACCACCTTCACTAGAAAAACTGCGTCAAAAAAAACTTAAAAATGGTGAACCATACAAAGTAAGTCTTTTTATATAGCAAATAAAATTTGACATCAATCCCTAATATTTTCAATGATTAATAAATCGAATTATTTATTGATAACATAAAAATAAAACATTGAATATGTAAATCACTCATTATATTTAATTTTTTTATAATTAACTATATTATCTGATAGCCATAAAAAAATTCAATTTATATTTTAACAACAAATTTAGCTAATTTTTTTTGCGATATTTTAGAGACTTCCTAAATATTTTTTTTTTTGGTATTACTTATAAAATCTTAATACTTTTCAAATATTTCAAAAGTTCCATTTTAATTAGATATAATGTATATATTCTTATTTTTGAATAAAGTTATTATTTTTTATCTTATATATATACTTTAATAATATGCTTTTTAATATACTACATCAATAGTTTCCTTAGAAATTTGAGGTGTGTCAATGGTGCGCAACAATTTTAACAAATTTTTTGTTGATTATAGGAAGAAGAACTGAAAGAGATAATTGAGAAGGCTAGAGAAATGGAAGATAAATTCGGTCACTATTTCGATATGATAATCATTAATAATGATACCGAAAGAGCATATCACCAGTTGTTGAATGAGATCAATAGTCTCGAACGGGAACCGCAATGGGTACCAGCCACATGGGTAAAGACAGTTTCATAGCGTTCGAAAAGCTTTAACAATGTTAAATAAATTACATTGACTGTTATTGTGTGTGTTATACATAAATAGTCTGAATGTTTACTGTGTTAACTAAAATAAAAATTACCAATAATGACGATTGTACCATGTGATGATGGTTGCTTACTTATGAACAATATTATTTAGTTATATGAAAGTACAAAAAAGTACACACGCTATTTGTTTTTTATAAACTTAACAACTATGCTGAAGTAAATTAAATGAAGTAATGTGATATAATATTATGGTAATTAATGAATTGTAATTTAAGTATAATGATGATGACTAGTAATGTAAAGCCATCGACTTTGCCATTTTTAGTTTTATAACTTTAAACTATTGTGTATTTTCCAATTGTAGCATTTACTAACCGAAATATTGTTTTTCGGGAATTCGTACTCGTAATGAACTTTTTTATGAATAAAAATAAAATTAACGGACTGATCCCACTTTGTAATTCTTACTAAGTTGTTGAACCCCATTGTTTTAATTGTTTTAGTGATTTTTTCTTTTAGTATTTTATTTGGTTAACTATTATACACAATGTGAAGATTAGTAATTTTTGAGTTTTTAAAAAAATGTGTATATATAAGACAGAAAAAATTTTACAAAAAATAATTGTGCAATACCATAATCTGATGTGTTAGTAGACAATTTGGGTACTGTTTTAGGGGTAATCACCTACATAGATCCTAATTGTTGTACTGTGTAGGTAGACTGTTTAGGTATGATTATGTTAATATTCTTACTGAAATAAATTTTTTGGTTTGTTTATGTATTGATGAGTTATGATTTTTTTTTGTATAATTTTTTAAATACTTCTAATACACAGGATTTTTGTCTTAAATTTTGTAAATTTAAATGTTTATTATTATTATTCTTTGTACAAAATGCACATGTTTTTCTTTCATTTTTATTGCTATAATTAGTTATATATTTTTGTTTATTATTTTGTTATTTTTTAAATATTGATCTATTGTATGTATGTAGTGACATATATACCTAAACATTATACATTACAATTAATTAATATTATTTATATACACAATTATTATTTTTATTTTAGAATCTACAAATAAAAAAAAATCAGCTCAAATCAATTGTTATTTTTTAATATTTATTTTGAATTCTCATGTTCTAGCTAAAAATACAATCTGTGATTACTACCTATGAAACTATGCTTTTCATCTATACATTATGTAGCAAATATGAGTCTTTAAAAAAAAAACAAAAATAATAAAACTGTGTCAAGTAACAATCGGTACATAATTACTAAAAATTCTTATGTTCCTGTACAGCAATGATATTTTTCTGATATTTCATTTCAAATTAAAAATTAACGGCATAAAAAGTATACTTTTCAATATTATGATTATAACATAATTTTTATTATAAAATGCAAAATTTTTAAAACGCCTAAGGGGCAGTTGCTTTTGATAATGTAGTATTCTATACCTTGAATATTGCATTATAAAAATCCTTAATATAATATTCAAGGTTTAGATAATATGAATGAAACAGTAGGTTTTTCGAAGCATTGAATTATCACTTTGACATTTTATTGAAATATTTTATGTCATAAAATGTCAATAGGACATTCTTGTATACCTTAATATTTTATTTTATATTTGTCTATTACTGTAATTTTTTTCTTTCAAACATTAGAAAATATTACATATTTATAACATTTCATCATCATTTTCTATTATTCATAATAGAATTTGGTTTGTGGTATATACTATAGCTACATTGTTTTAACACTGTTAGTATTAATTAATCACCGTATGACTTTTAAGACAATGAAAAGAAAAATTTATCAATAATTACCACCATCGAATACTTCACGTTCTACTGACCCTTCAACAAACATACGCTCCACATTTTCTTCATCAAAACTGTATGGTCACTTTTTTGAGCTCTTAATAAGTGCTAAATGTTTGTACAATTTAAAACAGGACGAAAAATATTCTTTTTATTGCTTAGTTATTAGCTATAAAAATTACAATAAGAAGACAAGAATACACGTTCGTTTAGTGAATAAAAGAAAAATGATATATTTTTAATCGACAAAGAATTACGGATTTCAATTCTACTCTCTAATTTTCCTTACAAGTATAACTGTGTTTCAACTGTTGTAAGATCCATTTTGCTGGGGTGCCAAACACAACATTCCATTGAAATAATGCAAATCTGACAAATAATTGAACAACTCCTAATTTATCTGAACTTAATGAGCCTATGGAATGGCGAACGTTGTTAAAAAAATAGTAGTCCAACTCCTTAGTAAAAGAGCTACTCCAAATCAAATTGGTGTTATAATTCGATATGAAGAATAACAAACACTTTTTAAACTAAAAAAGAAGAACGAAGTGGTGCAAATCAGTAGTGTTGACTCTTTTCAAGGGCGTAAAAAAGAGTACATTATTTCATCGCGTGTCCAGTCAAACAACAGAAACGTCGTAAGTATCAACTATGTTCGACGACTAAATGTGTTGCTACACGTACGAATTTGGTTTGTTTTTAGTGGGTAATGCTAATGTTATGATTTTAGAAGGGTCGGTTGATGATATGCATAGAGCATATATAAAATTTGATTAATTATATGTACCATAGTATTTATTCATGAGAAATTTTCTCTATTTTCATTATTTTATAAAATTATTTACTTTTCTTAACTCTAAATTGATTTGGAGTAATTATATTGTAAACATTGAATATTTATTACTGTTAAAAATCCTTCATAATAAATGAATGAGACTTAACATTTTAAACTTATTCATTTCATTGTAACACTTAAAATATATTTTTAATACTATAAATTTGTCGAAAAAAAAATTATATTAGTTTATGCGTTTTATAATAATATTCATACTTGTTTTGTAAAATATACTTATTAATATAATTATATAATGAAGTTGTTACTTTTGATACATTAATTATTTATAATACGCTCGCCATGATATTTTAGTATATTTTTAAAATTAAAAATATATAAATATACAGCTTTGTAATAAAACTAACTAATAATTCAATTAAATATAGTAATTTATGTCATAAAAAATAATTCTAATTGTCAAAATGATTGACTTTTCTGTGTTTAATCTGCTAATATCTTGAACTATAATTTAACCATTTTGTTTATTTTTTTAATTATAAAATTGTCGATGATATTATTCTTTAGTTATAGTGAAAATTTATTTACGATACTCCCATTGTATGTGCACCAGAGTAGTAATAATTTATATCTTGTCTTTAATGGAATATTATTGTTAAAGTTCATTTCTATTGAACCATTGTTCTGTAGTCTTCACCATTAAGCTTAATTTCGCATTTCAAATAATTTAAATAAGAGTAAATTATAACACATACAAATTATAATAGATATCTTTTAAAATCGACTATAATAAATATAAGTAAACATAAATTCTCACCAAATATAATCTACCAGCACCTTAAAATTGTTAAATATCACTATAGTTATATTATATTTATAATTAGAGACATTGTCTATAATTAAAAATAAAACGGTCTAATGCATTAATGGGCCAAGGTCGACAATTACTATTAGTATTTAACTAGGATTTATTTTGACTTTAATAAATACAATTTAGTAATAATATAATAATTTATAATAGCCCACAGTTTATAATTAAATAAAAACTTCTGTATGAAGATAGTGTTTTGATAACACTTCGTCAACACTAATGGCTTAATTTCAATTGGGTGATAAAAAATCTAAACATATGTGTGATTATTTTAATATGTTTTAATTACTCATGGGGATGTGAAAATTAAATTATTAATCCTCCATTAGCATTAGAAAGTATACCCTAAAAAATGTTTTTTATGAATAAAAATCCAATAATTAGTAGCAATTATTGAAGAAAGATATACAATTTTATACAAACGTCATTAGATAAAAGGATGAGTTGTCAATGAATTAATTATTATTATTTTGATGAAAAAGAAAACAAATTTTTTTTTTTCTTAATGCGTTGCATAATTGAAATTAATTTAGTAAAATTCTGTGTTGAAGGACATTGTAGGCTCGGAGTACCTTGCTTACTCACGATGACTCAAGAAACTGTTATAATTCTTCAGATGTCAAGATCCTTAACTTATTTTACGCCTAAAATCATTAGAGGATATCTAGTGCGCTTCTTGCATTTGCACATCGTGGTTACTATGCTAGTTGTGTAATCCAATTCATTACCACAAAAATATTCATTTTATACCTTATATATTATTCAATTTTTTGTTGGTCAATTGATATTTATGTTATAGTATATAGATTATCATTAGACATTTTTCAAGTGATGCAAAAAAAAGTTAACAATTAAAAAAAAACCAACAAAATATGATAGTGGTATATGCAGCGTCCCATTTGTACTTCATTTCTACTCATCTATTTTTAGTTCATCTATAGATGGAAAAATTATAGATTATATCCAAAAGTGTTTACATTACTATCATAAAAAAACGCTTTGATGCGAATCTGTTAAATTTCAAAATAAGATGTATATCTGTAATTTATGTATACTTAGAAAAAAAATGCTTTGTTGGTAGTTGAGCTAAAAAAAAAAACGCGTTAGATAAAAAAAAATTGATCGTCTTTTTTATATTGTATTAAAATTTAATTTGAATCAATATTTATAAAAGAACTTATAAAAGTTTTTAAATGCAGAAAAAATATTTTGCAAATGAATATTTTTATAGTATCATAATTTTGAGGTATTTCTTTTAATTTTTGTAATTAAGAGGTTTTTTCCCAAGTTTTAGTATTGGTAGGTTGTAATATTTATCCAATTAGAGCTTAAAATTTTCATGAATAGACAGAGAAAATAATAAACATCATGGTTAATTATCTTCATATATTTCTATTGAAGTTAATTAATTTACTTCTTTTAACCCATAAATTAAATTTTATGTTATAAATATGGTAAATATATGAATTAACTAATTTAATATTAATATACTAATTTATTATATTAATTTTAAAAATTAATTTATATTAAACTATAGAAAAATTATTTATGAAAAATAATTGTATATTATCACAAGTTTGTTTATAATATAACAAGTTTATTAGTTAATAACATGAGCTAAATATGTACATATGCAAAAATAGCTTTGACGGAGTATAATTATCAATAGCCTCCAGTTAAAGAAAGGACTTGTGTTTTTTAAACTCCATAACAATTTAATTCAACGAGTCTAGCTAATATTATTGACCTATACGTTTAAACTAAGGGTCGGAAAAAGAAATCTAATAAGTGATATTATTTTAAATAAATATAAAAAAAAATCCAAGATATTATTAGATATTTATTATGTAGAGTAGATTTTAAGAAAAATTATGGTAAAAAAATATCTTATTAATATTCAGTAGTAAATATAATGTAGCATTTTAAAGTTTTTGATAATTTGTATTTTCACGTATTATTTAACGGTATTAAACATTGAAATACGTGTTAAGAAAAAGACAATAGAAAACACTATCTTTTCATGCATACTATAAGTTGGACGTGTATAACTTTTCCCATAAAAATTACTTATGCTTTTGAAAGAGAATGATTAGTAATAATAATACAAATACTACCTCAAAATAAATAATAATTAATTAAATTGTAATTTTATCTCTTTAGAGATAAAACTACTTATTAAATAATAGATATTGTTCATGTTTTATTTCAATTAAAGCCGGTTATAGGAACGTTAATAATTTTCATGGAAAAATCCATATACATATCTTAATTAGTGTGAAAAGGTTGTGTTTACTTCTGTCCTTTTTTTTAAACCTAGCCAGCATTTGATACCATAGAATAAATACAGAAAAAATCAAATTTTTACAAAATTTAAATATTACAGAAAATGACAAAACAATAAGTAAGAATTTTTTACCAAATTATTTAAACTTAGTTTTATAAGGATACAGGTAAATTGTTACAAACAATAGGAACAATAGAAACGTGATTCCTTACTTACTGAACACTCTGTATTCAAATTATTATTTGAATGTGTATATACATATCCGAGTAATAAGTAAGAAAAAGTGACATGTTGGAAGGTTAACTGAGTGATTGGTGTAATGATTATAATTGGATTTTATTCCAGCAACTCGTGTTCAATTTCATTTTTACTTCCTGTCTAATTTAAAGTTGTCTACCTTCATTATTACTGTAAAAATTAGTACCATTTGTAGAGCAATACTTATTACACAAGTTTCAAAAAATTCTAGTTTGAATACATTTTCCATCGTGATAAGTAAAAAAAAAAATTGAGAAATTTTTTTTTTTGTTTTAGAATAAAATCTATAAATTATAGACGGTAATCGTTTTTACTTTTTAATTTAAAGTTCAGTACTTCATAAAAATAAAGGATACGTGTTTTGTGGTATTAAATTTTATATAATGACATAAATATAATCAATTTATCAGTTATATGTTGTTTTCGTTATATATGTTGCAGTAATGAAATTCATGATTTTTTCAGCGTATAATCAATAATATTATTATTGAATTTTACGATTTATATAATTTTATATATTTAACATTTACTTTACTGGATTGTTTTTGTATAATAGATATTGATTATAGTCTCATTAATCATTAAATTATGGAAAGTAAAATATTAGAAATTTGTCATTTTTTTAATTTAGACATTTTGTTTATTTAATAAGTATATTTTCAAAATATTATAGAAGAGATTAGTAGGTAGGTAGTCTCTTTCAATCCCTATCTGAACTTAGGTTTTTTTTTTAATTCTGACAAAGAAAACGATAGCATAGTGGGGTCGCAGCACAGCGTGGATGTGGCATTGTTGGATCAAGTATAGATGATATTAAAATCACTATCATAAGAAACGCTTCGATGCACATATGTAGATAGTGTTTAATTTTAAAAAATAGATGGATTATTCAAAAAGCAAAATGAACTCTTATTTCCTTATTTATATCCTTATTACAAGTTTTATGATTTATAAGTATAATATATGAATAAATATTTAATTTTTTTATGTGTTTCTAATTAGTTTTCTTCTTTTTTCCCGCCTTAATCCCATCTACTTCCACTTGACATGATCACCCACATCATCTAAGCTCACATCAGTCGTCCTCATATCGCATTCAATTACATCCCTCCATCTTTTTTTGGTCTTCCTCTACGTCTTCTTCCTTCAACATGCACCACGGCACCTCTCCTTGTATTTCTCTAGTAATTTCATCCATTATTATAGAGAATAAGTAATGACTTAAAGCAGAACCTTGATGCACTACTACTCTTACCCGAAAATCTTCTGTTACTACTCCTACACATTTTACCCTGGTACAAGTGCCATCATACATATCCTCTATTATATTAATATACCTTTCGGGACTCTTTTTCTCATTAAAAACCACTTTAAAACCTCTCTCGGTACTCCACCATACGCATTCTCCAAATCTATAAATACCATACACAGCTTTTTCTTTTTTCCCTAAACTTTTCTAGTTTTTCTAGTTTCTAGTTTTACAAGGCTCACACAAAATACTGGTTCCATTGTTGACTTACCAGGCATAAATCTAATCTTAGATACTGATGTCTTATTTCTTATTCTCTTATCTATTACTTTTTCCCAAATTTTCATACTATGACTTATAAGTCATATAAGCTTTATGCCTCTATAATTTCCACGCTCCTGTATGTTTCCTTTACCTTTAAATATCGGCACCACAATACTATTCCTCCACTCATTTGAGATAATCCTTTATAATAAGATTTTATTTAAAAGATCCTTTAACCACCTAATGCCATCACCGACTAATATTTTCTATTCTTCTACGGGCACTTCATCTGGTCCTACTGCTTTATTCTTTTTCATTGATGCCACAACCTCCCATACCTCTTTCTCACTAATTAAATCTACCAGTCCCTCCTTCCACGATATATCCACTAATGTCTCTTTTGGATACTCTAAAATGTGTTTCTAACTAGTAATAATCTCAAAATGAGGTGATAGAAAAAATCTAATTTGAGACTTGAAATCAGCGTAAAAATTTGGTTTAGTAAAGTATATATTGGTCTATAATCATTGACATAAGAAAAAAATGAAAAGAAGACACATAAAAAAAAAAAAATATAAAGTAAAATATTTTAATATGAATAAGAAATTTTTTCAGTAATGGGATACTTGAAATTTATTAAAATTATTCAATTTAAATAAGATAAAAATCAAACGAACTTTGAATTTTTTTTCTACCTCAAGAAGAAAAATATGCAAGAAAAGTTAATTCGATGAGTGGGGATCATGAACTTTGTAACCCCAAGCGTATAAAACTGTATTATATTCGACGCAGCTATCATTAATTACACGTTTATTAGCTAAAAATGACAATTTAAGGTAATTAAAAAATTCAAAGCAGCTTTTTTTATCTTTGAGAAATAAAAATAATCAAAGTAAATTTTTGTTTTTTAATTTATTGTACATAATGTAGTAAGCCTTAATTTAGCATATGTTTAAAAGGCTCAGTATTTCCGAAACATTTTGAAAAGATAAGTTGAAAAAGTTGAGTTTAGTAAATAAATTGCTATTTTCAATCCCCCCGTGGTCAGTTAGAGAGTGAGATTTTAAAAAATATATCAAATAAAAGGGAAATATATAAGGTTTCAATATAAAAAAAAAAATTATTTGGATTTGTTCATATTTCAATATGTTATGGCAATTTTTAGAAAAAAAAGTTTAAAAAAGTCGAAATTTACTGATTTAAAAAATTGTTATTTTTTGAGGGATTTCCTCCATTTACGATGAACGAGGGAAATTTTTCAATTTTTGAGTGTAATGTCTTCAACTAGATACGATTTGTGATATTTTGACATATTATCGAGAATTTTGGTCCAGTGAAGCTGAGAAAAAGTAGTGACAAATACAAAAAAAATTAAAATAAATAAACACAACATGGCAAAAATTAATACCTTCTCAGTTTTGCATGAAAGCTAAAAAAATCTATGTCTTTTTTTATATTGTATAAAAATTTAATTAGAATCATTATTGATAAAAAATATGTATAACAGTTTTTGCAGAAAAATAAAATTGAAATTGCAATTTTAACGGTATTGCAATTTTGAGATATTTTTATAATTTTCTAAAATTGAGGTGTTTTTTCAATTTTTTATGACAATAAGTTCAACTAGATTAAAATCGCGTTTTTTACCATTTTAATGATTAATCAATTCAGCAAGTACTTAGGATTTTCATGAAAATTGTTTTTCATCTTTGCCTTATGCTTTATCTTTGTTAAAAATGGTACTGAAATTTATTCAATTATAAGAGCTAAGAAATTACCATAAATTAGTGTCATTAAATATAGTTACTGGATAACATATTTATGTGTATAATTTATGAATAGTATACGCAATATTTATATGTTATGTAAGCATACTCTTTGTTGAAGTTATCCTTCACATATCAATATGCATTAAAAATTAAAACTCACTGGATAAAAAAAAAAATAATGTATTTATTCGAATATTAAGGATTTAGGAAAAATAGTTATTTTACCAACTAAAATACATAATTTTCTTAGAATTGAATGTCATTTTATGTTCAACAAATTTTTTACACATAAATTTATATTGATCATTTTCTGATACAAATCAATAAAAATAATGTTTTATTTTGAGAAAACTAAAAAGTCTATTTTTTATAGTCAACGTTGAAACTAGTGAATCTATTAATACTGTGTATTGTATTGTTATGATTTCTTTAACTGCATTCTTTTATATAAATGTCCTCGAATTACAACAAAAATAAAAAAAAAATTAATAAATAACATGTTATGATAACAGAGTAAAAGTAATGAGCATATTTATGTAAAATCTAAGTACCTAAGTATTTAATTTGTTCTTTATCGAGGACGTTATGATGAGCCAATAGACTGATTCTTCTAATGACTTTTAAATGATTCGTCCATCTTGCAAGTTTCTGTTACAATAATTCCCGTGTTATATATATATATATATTAACTGTAAAAAAATTAAATACTTGACCATAACGTGACCTTTTGACAAATTTAATTTCATATATTCCAATTCTACATAGTATTCATGTGGTTATTCGGGAAAATTTTGTTATGACACAATATCACATTACTGACATTCATTGATAATCGAACATAATGTTTCATGGAAATTTTAAACTTGCACATTCACGCTTACTTTTTTTTTCATTAATTGTACAAATCTTCGATTCAAGGATATCCTTCAAAGTATAATTATACCAGTTAAAGAATATTGTTGGGCGTATAAAGTGATATTAAGAATCAGATATTACAAATTAGTAAGCAATTGTGATTATAATAACTAAATTGCAAATCTTGAGCTTGTGGATTTTATTATAAGTATAAGTTATACACTAAAGTTTAATTTTAATTAAAGTTAATTTGTTGACAATGACATAATTTACATATAAATTGGCCATCATATTAAGGAAATAACGTTACAATTATGGGAAATTTTATTATGATTAAATATTTTAATGATAGTATTTGACGATACGTTTTCTTCGCGGCTATATTTTGTGTTAAATTAATAGTTGTTAAAAATTTTAGAGATATCCTTGCAAAGCATAAAGTAGCAATTGTATATTGAATGCAAGGTTTGTAATTTTTATTCCTATTTTTGACTTATTAAATTTATAATGTTTGAGTTTATCTAACTCATACTGTAAAATAAATTTTTATCGTTTTCAAAATGTATAATTTTTTAAATCATTTTTGTTGTGTAGGTTATTAAATTCATAAAAATGCATAAACTTCTTGTTTATAAGTTAAAATCTATGAGGGATCACTATTAATGTTTTCGTTGTAAATTTATTAAGAACCCGGAGAACGTTAAATTTGTTTAAATATAAACAAACTTTAGTTAATGTGATATAGAAGTATCACATTACTTATAAAAGTAAGTTACAGCAATAGCCAATACGAATAAAAAATCATTTAGATTACTTTAATATTTTAATAACGATTTTTTATTACGACTATTTAATCAAACATTATTCGTAGTTTTAGTTTTGACGTCATTTATTATATTTGATTGTCATAAAAAACAATATGTTATACGTCATTAATTTTAAATAAGTGTAAACTAAAAAAATGAATCAATAATCTATCAAGTCATTTCAAGGTAAATCGATTAATTCGTCTTGCATTATTTCAAACGAAATGTTGTTTATAATATTATTTTTACATTAGGTACGATTTTCAATAGTTTTATGCAATTTTAACTTTTGCTCTTAGAATCTCAGATCTAATATTAGCTAGTTAATGGAATTTATACAAAAATTACATTTTAGCTTTAATGCGAAGCTGAGAAGGTATTAATTTTACTATGAATTTTTTTAATTTTAAATATCTCATAAATAAAATACCAAAAAATGACCATAATTAAAATTGTTAATAGCTATATTTGTCAATTATTATTAAGTAAAAAGAATCTTATAATGTGACATTGTTTAACGTGTATTTAATTAAATGAAAAACTTAAATTCTATGTATTTATTAAAAATACGAGGATAAAATTAATTTTTATATTTTATTTTGCCAATATGACTTCGATAGTCTACAGTCGGAGTTTGGTTTTACATAAAAGATGAAATATACACGAGGAGTTAAATGCTGTATACAAGAATATTTGAATAGTATTCTTGTTGTAATTATGTATTGGAGATACTTATCATATTCGGTTTCTATTAATGTAAATAATTATGTTTATGATAAAGTTTTTCAAATGTATGTATTCCTTATTAATCTAATAAAAAAAAACACGAGATAAGAGCGTTGTCGAAATTTCCTATTCTGTTGTACACCTATTTGTATTTAATTAATGGTACCAGTGACTAGTTGTACTACATTCCGTTCAACATTTTAGGTGGAACAACACACGGAAAATAAGTAAATACGCCACTAATTTCTGACAGGACATGGTCTCTTGTTTAAACATCTTTACGTAATAATAGGTGTCTCGGAATGACCATTGTGCAATAAGTGTGGAGTAGAAGAGGAAGACTCATTTCATATAATGTGCGAATGTGAAGTCGTCTTATCCACACTAAGATCAAACTACTTGATTAAACCTTTTCCTGAAAAAGAAGATAACAAAAACTTAAGACCCAGAGAGATATTTAACTTTATTAGAATGACAGGACCTTTTGGAACCCACGTGGGGTGACTTGATAGTCCACCCTATATAAAATAATAGGGATAATGTATTAACACTTCGGTGTGTAAACCGAATAAAGACAATTCGGTATGAGGTGTGTATAATGGACCAACAGGTCGAGTGCATGGGAATTTTGTTCACCTCACTAATAACTAAAACTCTTCTTTTTCCTCGCCTTAATCCCATAAAATGGGGGTCGGTCAATTCACTAAAAAAAGTCACGAATAACTAAAACTAAAATCTATATTATTATTAAAGCCTTAAAAAGTATCACTTGGAATTAAAATATTTCAACTTATATAACACAAAAATGTGTTTCTAAATCATTTAGTAGGCTGTTAAACCGAACAATGAAGTTCACTGCTTAAAAATCTTGTTACTCTTGTTGATAAATACTCACAGGTTAAACGTAATATACAATCATTTTAATAACGTTTTTTGAAATTGTCTCATTTAATTAATTATGTAACATTGTTACTCAAAAATATTTTGAAGTTTATTGTAAAGATCAAAATACTTTTCAGGTATTATCCTTCATTACATATGTCATACATTAACCCAACATATAATTATTTCGATTAAATATTTGTAATTAGATTAGATCAATACACTAAAAATATAAAAGTAAAGGTATGTTTTGAGAAAATGAACGTGATTTTTGAATTTAGACGTTTTATTAAGATCAATTTTAGAACTAAATAATAAAATGTAATACTCAATTTTATGTTTTTAAATATATCATATTTTCTGTTACTGTACATTATTCTTAAAAACAGAAGACTCTTGATCAAAGATGCATTTTACTGGTAAAGTCGAGCAATTATTTTTCTTAAAAACTGATCATAAGAATCGTAGACTTGAAATATTTTTTTTTTATGTACTACATTAATTTAAAAATTAACATTTTACTGTTCTTTCTATACTCGAATTCTTAGATGAATGTTTTGATTTTTCTAACTATTCTATAAAATTTATAGTGTTTCTTCATATAGCAAGTTTCAATAACAGATGGTATCTTAACAAATACGGCACATTGTACTCAATTAATCTACGGATGGAGTAATTTTTTAAAACTAGAATTTTCACGCATCTCCTAGCACTTAAAATACACAATACTTTATACGATTAGATGAAGATAATTTTTCTGCAAATCAACATCTTTTCGTTTTCATTAGAATAACGATGATGCAATAGACTGGTGTTCTAAGAAAAAATGATAATTTATCAGATAAGACATAGCTACTTCATAAATTAACGGCTGGTACACTTCTTTGTTATAAACTCAAATGATTTTTTTAAATTTGTACAGGTTTACTAAAACTGTTTTTATCTGTTTTTCGTGTAAACTAATTTAATAAAATCTCTTCTTGTTTTATAATATGAAATGTTATTATTTCATCATTGTCATACTTTACCATTAAAGTAAAACCTTAAGTTAGTAAAATCTGACAAGACATTTTTGTTCGATTCAACACTACGGTCATTAACACATGTGCCATCCACAATAAACGCTTATATATTAAAAAAAAAGAAGTTATCCTTAAAGTAATAAAAGGAACCAAATAAATATCTACACGAATAATGTTAGTATTAGGTCAATCAAATTCCTAACGTTTTTTTTTATCAATTTTTCTCTTTTTAATTGATACTTTTTTATCAGTTTTGTATAAAAATAATTTTGAATTTATATTAAAATACATAACTCATGTATACAAAATTAACACACTTGAACTCAAAAATTTTTAATTGAATAAATGAAAACAGTATGGATATGTAATCTTCAAAAGATGAACCTAATCAATAGTGTGCTATTTTAGAGACTTTTTAAATTGAAATTAAAATTCTAGTACCAGGAACCCATGGGAATCATCAATATGCAATGTCAATATCGATTAATATTTGTGGCTACTTGAAAATCGCTGAAATGACGCTGGAATACATTACTTTATGTAAATTCTTAGTAGTCAGTTTTTATAGTTGTCGAAATGCTGGTCTAAACCACTAATAATTTAACTCCAACACCGGTTATTTAAATAACGTAACGCATTACTGACGTGACGAGCCTCTGGTCATTTTCCCAAGACGTTTGAACATTTGAATATATACATTATGCTTATAAATTCCTGGTACTAGATTTTGATATTTTTCATAAAATACTAATGACGGTATAATAGTTATTCAACTCGTTGCGCGATACCTCATGAGTTCCTGGTACAAAATTTGAATCAGGTAAGTTTTTAGTGAAGTGATAAGGGACTTGTCGCGGTGATCATCCGCCGTGTCGTGAACTGATATCCTAAAAACTACTTATTGTTGCGGCTGCATGAAATTGGGTGTCACTATCATGTCAAATGCGATGCATTGCTATCGATGCGTTGTGACGGCTCTCGCAAAGCCGCCTGTCTCAAAACAAGTTTATTGGACATCGCCGGACTATTCAAATAACACCAAAGCGGCGAAGAGCCTCTGGACAATATCTCGAGACGCCTGAACATATGATCGCATACATTAGTGCTTATAAATTCCTGGTACGATATTTTAATCTTGCAAAGGTTTAATAAAATGTTACGAAAATGTAATTGATTTATTATCAAAAGATGTTTAACATAAGACCTTGTCTAGGAGTAAGATTAGAGTTGAAATTTACCATGACAAAAATAATCACGCGTTTAAGAACCAATTTGAATAAAAATAACCATTATTCATTAACACTATTATAAAAAAATATCCTAAGCACGCAACATTATTAGATATATTTGTATTACTATACGTTTATTGTCTAATAAATGGCAAAATAAAATTTACTAATTACCAAATTTGCAGTATATAATGATATCACTAATGAGAAATTAATATTACTCAAGAATAATTTTTTTCTCGTCAAAACGTATTAATGATTTATTATTATTTTTAGGTTGAAAATCAAATGAATAATGTTTTTTTTTAGAAATAATAGCTGAAAACAATAATGTTTATATTTTAATTTCAAATGATGCCTTGACAAATATTTGTTGATATAATCTGATTGATTTAATTGAATACTAAAAAAATAAAAGATGTTTAAAGTATTAGATTTAAAATTAAACTATATAGTTCTAATGTTTTTATTAGCATAATAAAATAGAATACAGTCGACCTATTCTTTTTAAGTCATCTGTTATTATATTGCTGTATAGTCAAAATATTATTATTATTGTGTAAACTAATATTCATCAAAACGCTTTGGAAAGTNGAATACAGTCGACCTATTCTTTTTTAGTCATCTGTTATTATATTGCTGTATAGTCAAAATATTATTATTATTGTGTAAACTAATATTCATCAAAACGCTTTGGAAAGTATAAGAGTGCTCTGTAATAATACAGATAAATGTCCCCGCGATAGTAAATTTTGTCATATTTAAATTAGAACTTTCGTGTTTCCGGTAAGTCCACAACCAGAAAGCGAAAAATTTTAATCTAGAGGTTGTCAATGTTTGGTTCAACACTTTTTCTATTTGTTGACTCTTCAAATGTGTCCAATAAATGAATAGTACTAAATAATAACAGTTATTATAACATATTACGTACAATTACCGAAAACTTATGTACAATAACAACATAACCGTCTATGCCCAAGAGATGGATATCACCACCACCACTGCATGGACAGTAAGAGAGTGTTGTACGATCACTTTCACTCGATCAAAACATACTCTCAGTTAACCGTCTTCGACGATCGCGGGCGCCTCACATTTTATTCGGAAGTCGTCTTTGTGCAGTTTTTCGTTTTAATTAAACGTGAGTAGACAAAACTTCAACGAAAAATAAGAATTTTCTATAAAAATGCAATAAAAAAACGATTATAAAAATTATAATAATGATTAAAAACTGTGAAATATTTTAAAGAGCAAACATAGACTGGAAATTTCAGAGAGATCAAAAGTCTACATAATATTGGAGAATAAAAAATTATGTTGTTATTATGAGTAAATATTATGACAAGTTTCATTAACGAATCCTTAAAATATTACAAGAATTTGTTTTTTTTTTATAAAAGATTAACATTTTATAGAATTTTTATTTTATATACTTATTTTCAAGCGTAATTAAAATACACAAATTTTTATTCCGTTTAAAAATGAAATTTTACTTCGTTTATATGTTAAAATGTAACAAATGGTAACAGTTTCAAGTAAGTTCAGTAGTAATACAACATTTTTGGAATAAATGAGAGAAGGTTTCGCTTTCATACATGATCAGATTTTTTTTAATTACGCGATTCAAGATTATAAACAACTATATAAACTAAAATGTCTGAAAATGTTTTTATTTTTCTGAAGATTATTTAATTACTTTGTATTGACATAGTGTAGATAAGTAAATGTTACAGAAGTTATTAAATCATGTGCGATTTCTCTTTCAAATTATTATGTTTTAAGATAACTTGATTTCTAGAATATTTAATTACCAAAGTATTAAAAAAACTCTCTTTCCTAAATTTAGGTTGATTTATACAAATAATATTAGATATGTAAATTTCGACTTGATTATAAATTTTAGCAAAAGCATCTGGAAGAGGGGGGAAAGGAACTTTTCGGCGTTAATACAGAATATACGAAACTAATAAGTTCTATTTTATTACAATTTAAGTAATGAAATAAAGTAATTATTATACAACACTAAGTAAAAAACTATAATTATAGTTGTTATATAATTATTTAAATTCATATTTAAATACATATTATTTATTTAAAGCCATGTTTTTAGCTATATCTCTAAGAAACGTTTTAATTTAGTTCTTGTCACAATTAGTTACCAATTTTAATATTCGCAGATCAGTTTCCTTACACTTTTAATTTACGTTATGGATTATTACCTCAAACCTGATGTGTCATAATAGGTGTCTTGGCTTGCTTGTATTTTTTTTATCTAATTTATAAAAGTTCATATTTTTTGGTGCTTACATGATGTTGTAATAAAAAATTTTTCATAAAGTTTAATATTTTTGTTTAGTACAAAGCCAGTGAACTTACCTGGTTATACTTTTATAAGTATAATTAAATATACTACATAAAAATTTTCATTCGTGTAATCTATTACTGTGTAAAATAAATAATAGATTAGATGGTTACCGGGTTAAATGATATAGCTGCAAACCAGTCCTAATTTTATCAAAAATTAGAAAATTGTTTACACTATTTTAATATTAGAAGACATTTTGTTGATATATAGAGAAAATATATTTAATTGATATTATGACTTCATACCTAACTTTTATTTATATTAGATTTTCTTTTTATAATTTTTCGTTTCAGATATCGCGAGTTAATTAGGCGTATTAATTATTATTATTATTATGTTTACAACTTGTATTTATCTATAAAATAATTTCAATATAATATTTTTTTTTTCTCTTTTTTTTTTTGGTTTTTTAAATTTAAAATAAAATATTTAAGTCAAATTAGAATACTTTCTTTTGTTGATTATGAGTGAGCAACTATTATGCATTTCAGTAGTTTGTGTACAACTTATTATTTCTATTATTTTATTATTAATATTAATTAAATATTTTATAAGGTTTTTATAAATATTAAAGCAGTATCATTATTGAATACTACTTTATGTATTTATTAATTGTAGTTTATATTTTAATTCACTTTATATTCTAAGCCATTAATGAATTTGATTTTTAAGGTTATATTTTAAATTAAGTGCTAGGTCATTGATGTTAAAATCAGCCAAGAATATACTACATGATTTGTATAAAAACGTTTATTGAGATTGGCTTTGTACATGACATCGAGTTTGTATGTCCATGTTTGAACCTACAAGTCATATAAGTTAATTAAGTTTGTATATTGAAAGAAGTTTTATGTTTCATTAAGTTTGCAATCATAATTTATGAAAATCATTATTTCTAATCATAACAGTTGTTTAATCTAAAAACTGTTATTACTTTGATTTTATATAAAATTTGTGAAATTTAACTATTTTCTATGACCAAAATAATATTTAAAATTAACATGATTTTACAGTATTATCTATTTTAAGTATTATCCTGCTCTCCTAAACCAAAATGCAATAAGCATCAATATATGAAAAATAAGTATTTTAAACCATAACATTTTCAATTTTGAGACGCCTTTTTTTATCAATAATTATATAAATTCTATATTATTATCAATATTATTTTATAATAAACGTGATTAAAAATACACTTATATCTACTTACTTTCAAATATATAATTTAAAATTGTAATATCCATATATATATATATGTATATGTACAAGAATATAGAAAATGTCAGTATTAGTCATATACTAAATATTATGATAATAAATAACCATTTTATACAGAAATTTCACTTTGACTATACTTGGGATATTTTATTATTAAATGACGCAATAAAAATATCAAGATAATTTAACAAAATTCATTATTATCAAAATCTACTATTTTGACACTTATTAAATTTTGGGAAGGTAGAATGGGAGTCCATGATTTTTTGCACTCTAAAGTTTAACACAAAATTAATTACCAAAACAAGTTTATATTTAAATAGACATAAAAAAACACTTCAGTTGTTTTTTTTAACAATATATTAAATATCTCTCTGAAATGTCATTAAAAAGTTTGTCTTAACATCGAAAATGCAATGAAGAAACATACAGATCTATAAAATAAATAGTAACCTTGACCTGCATTTATGGGATCTTACATCATAAAATGAACCAGTACTGGTTAGATAGGAGATATATACATGACCTCAAACACCATTACTTCATGCTATCAAAAGCTTTTAACTTAAATGATTTCCAAATTACTCCAAAATTTTTAGTGGTATTTTATCATAGTATAAAAACAATGATCAATGAAATTTAAAAATATTTTTGTATAAGGTTATTTTTGACTGAATAAGTAATAATAATAAATAGTTAAAACTAAACGATAAAAATGTTTTACTCAAAATGAACATTATATATTAGATTGATATAAACATGTATTAAATTTTTATAATAAGTCATTCATTTTTGTATAATCATTACAAACTATGAATGTATTAAAGCTTTTATAGATTGTTGTATTATCTAGAGTACTTATGGTTATATTCTTAACAAACATAAGTTATTAACGTTTATAAGTAGATTTTCATCAAATTATCTATTTGTAATTGACATTAACTAACACTTAATTAGAATACCTAATAGAGTATTAATAGGTTTTATGACTTAAGATCACATCACTAAGTTTCCATACGTTTTTAGTCGCAAATTATTTTAAAATTATAAATTCTAACATTTCATACACTTAATTAAAAATTTATACATATATAAACGCAATTTGAGGTGTAAGAAATATATCATATGTTTTAATTAGTATTTTCAATTGATATAATTCTCTTTTAAATCATTTTTAATATGGGAAATTGTATGATTTTTTATATTATAATTTTTATAACATGAATAGGAGAAATAATGACATTAAAATTTGTCCTATAAATAATCTTTGTATTCAAAATGCCTTTATAAATAATACATCATTAGATATACCAATTAAAATCTCGCCATACTTATGACCTATTAATATTTTGGTAAGTTTTTTGTAAAATTAAGCAGTATTGACAATATGTTGACATTTTGTTTTAATTATACTCTTATACCAAAAATATTTTATTGCATTTTTTGTCTATATTATTGTAAAAATATTTCTACTTATCATGTCAATTAATATATTAAAAAAATTTGATTTCAGAATGAATTAATAATTGCGTAAGCATGATCGATGATCATGAATAAATCATGGATAAAATGAAGATATCAAGTTATCTAGTATTATGTTGTACCCTCTGTACTTTAATTAGTAGTACGTAAACGATTTACTTCTATTGCGTTTTAAAAGTATAATCTTATTGTATTACCTTTAATAAATATCAGCAGTAAGAAAGTTGCCTTCATATACAGAGTGATTTATTTATTTAGTCAACCTAAATTATAATTTAAATTAGTTATATAATAATTTTAAAATATATTTTCTGATTTTGTTTAGTATTATTTATTTTTCAATTTTTGAGCGGTTAAATATTTTTTAGGTTTATCCCTTATAAGGATTTCAATTATAACTTTTTAATTGCAAAATACATATTTAATTATCTTGTATAATAGAAAGTGATCCAACAAAAGAAATGTCTAGTCGATAATAACTTTTGAAGCAGTATTTTGATTGTTAACATTTTTAAATGTAGACTGGTGGCGTGGTGTGGGTTATTTATTTTTATTATTATGCATCACTATGCCGCGCAATTCTCCCACCCAGGTAAAATATTTAGAACTACTGGTTTAAAAGTTGTTACCAAAGAGTCATATTCTTACAGCTAGATCTTTTTCTGTTATATAAACTAGTCAAATGTGCATGTTACTATTTGAAAAAATAAAGTTGGTATTACTAAAAGAGATATATTTAAAAATAGTGCTGTATTTGTGGAAAAACATTTGGTATATTTGTACAGGATCAACTCAAAGGTGGGTTTACAAAAGTATAAGTTGTATACGATTTATTATAATTCAGAAGAAATAAAATTTGATTGAATCTACCACAACAATAATTAGGTAAAAATAAAACTGATATTACAAGTTTTGACAACACTTAAGAAGAGTTCAATATAAACTTCAATTTCAATTTCAATTATAAATTGTTTTTATACATGTATTATAATTATTATAAAATAATGATTTTTTTCTATGAATTTTTTTTTTTCATTGTTTTATCTTCAATACATATAAAACATCAGATCCGAATCTTAAGGGGTTTTATATCTTAATAAATTCAATTTAAATTAATATATTTAGCAATATAGAAACAATTTATTGACCTTTTTTATTAGCTTCGATGCGAAGGTGAGAAGGTATTGGTTTTACTATGATAATGTTTTTTTTTGTATCTGTTACCACTTTTTCTCAGCTCTCACCGAACGGATTTCTTTCAACGATACGTCAAAAGATCACAAATCGTATCTAGTCGAAGACATTACCCTTCAAAATTGAAAAAATTTCCCTCGTTCCCCGTAAATGGGGGAAACCTCCAAAAAAATTACAAATTTAAAAATCGCTNCCTCCAAAAAAATTAGAAATTTAAAAATCGCTAATTTTCGAAATTTTTTCAATTTTTTTTACTAAAAACTGCCGTAACTTTTTCAAAAATGAACATATCAATATAATTTTTTTTTATATAGATGCTTGATGTCTTTACCTATCATTTGGTATATTTTTTTTGTAAATTTGACCTTTTTTCTGCCCACAGGGGGGGATTTAAAATGACAACTTTTTCACAAAAAATTAACTTTTTCAACTTAACTTTTGAAAATGTTCCGGAAGGTCTGACACTTTTATATATATCTTAAATTAAAGCTAATGTAATGTACTTGTACATTGTAATTTTATAATGTAATTTTATTGTGGCTTTTTGTTTATTGTATTTATGTAACGCGGGTCAAGTCCGCGTATTATAGGTTTTGTTATGGTTCAGCTCTTATGCATTAAAAGGTATCAACTTTTTTTTTAATGGAAGCATACATATTTAATTAGCTTTGATAATATTAAGTAATGTAATTAATATGACTGATCGATAATAATTTATAGATCAGTATTTCAGAAATTAATAACATTTTTAAGTCTTAACACAAACTATGTGAAATATAGTCTGTGGCCTGAGGTTTGCCTTCTGAAGAAAATACTAATAAATGTTTATTTTGAAATTGTGAAAAAATAAAACATAATGTTATTTTACTTTTGTTCTTATTTGTGGTAAATAATAAAAAATATGTTTAAACATAGTTTAATATAGCAAGAACTATTAAAAAAATTACAACAAAGTTAAAACTGAATTAAATGTTTTTGGATTTAGCAATTCTTCATGTCTCACCTTGTATACAAGATAATTAATTATCTAAGCCACACACAAAATCTTCAAAATCATAAAACATATTATAATCTTTTCTTTTAATAAGTATATATTAATAAGTTAATAGTATCCTATGTTTTATAGTTAAAAAAAAATAATTGATCCAAAGGAGGGGATGAATAAAGAAGGTCTCTTTACTTTTATCTTTTGCATATATTAACCACACTACTCCTCCCACCATAGTATAAAAGTGCTTATATCTTTTAAAATACTGGTTCATTACTGATTATTGACCTGTCATTTTCTTATTATTAGGCTAGTTGAACATATATATTTCCTATTAAAAAACTTAAGTTGATACTACATTAATGGGGAAAGAAAACCACTTTTTTTTTTAATTATAAAACATTGAATACTATGAACTTCTGAAAAGAAAAAATGTGTTTTCTATTTCGAAAGATTTTGCATGAGGTGTACTTATTCAATCACTTTGTATATATAAGAACACCCAACTTGTATATGCTATATACAGAGAATAAACTGTTTGCCTCCGACTTAAAATTTTTACTTATCTCAGGTTCTAGATATTCAAATTTTATAAATCTATTTTTAGATAAAGTTACATGTCAAGAAGAAAATCTAAATTTTAAAAAACTCGAAGTACCTACAGCTACTTTAGAAATAACCCCTAAAACAGCTCAGCAACAAATAAATACTAACTCAATTATTAATGATTTACCAACAAAACCAATAAAACAACCTACCTCGGTAGCTGAATTGTACAACTCAACATCATGTATTGAACCGCCATTTTCTTGTCCTCATCCCAGAATACAATTTTTTTTGTACACTAGGTAAATATATATTATATTTAAATATTAACAAAATAAATGTACTATATTCATAATTAATAATCAAAAAATAATGGTGTTTATATAAGTGAATCATTTGCAAAACAATTTTATAATTTCTTACAGACTGACTCAAAATAAACCAGACCTATTAGATGTAACTGACCAGGAATCTTTGTATTCATCTCATTTTAATCCTAAATATCCAGTGAAGATTATAATTCACGGTTTTCAAGGTGGCAGAAATTTGTCCCCAAGTACTGATCTTCGAAATGGTAATGTTACTTAACTTTTAGATTTATATAAACCATACATGTATATTAATTAATTTGTAATTATTTACTGTAGCATATTTCACTAGAAGTAATTACAATATCATAATCGTTGATTATTCAACATTGGCTCAAATTCCATGTTTAAATCAAGTGGAATGGGCTCCACGATTCTGTGCTATGTGTATTGCCCAATTGGTAAACTATTTGGCATCTCATCCTCGTGGAGTTCAGCCGGACAAATTGCACTTCATGGGGTAATCTTCAAAATGTTAATTGTTTTTTATTAAAAATAAGCTTATAATATTAAAATAGATGTTTCCATTTAATAAGCATGTTTATAATTTCATCATTTTTGATAGAATACGTGGATATGAAATTTATTGTTTCTCAAATGTATAAAATCTTGATGTAACTTACCTCAAACATTACCCTGTAATATTAAATCCTAATTCAAGCTCTATGAAAAAAATTATTCGTTATAGATATAGTGTCGGTGCTCACATCGCAGGCTTAACATCAAACTTTGTCGACAATGGAAAAATCGGCCGTATCACCGGTTTGGATCCAACTATTATATTTTACATGGGAAATAATCGTTCCAGAGATCTTGATCATACTGATGCTCATTTTGTAGACATTATACACACTGCGGCTGGGGTTTTGGGGCAATGGGGTCCTAATGGTCACGCTGATTTTTATGTAAATGGAGGAACGTCTCAACCGGGTTGTGTTAGTAATAGTATAATTCGTAAGTCATTTATATATAAATTATAAACAAAAATAATAATTTCCTTATTAACATATATACATCCATAATATAAAATTAAAGGATTATATAAATTATATTAGAATAATAATACTATTAAAGATTTGTGTCTGCGAGCCACTTAAAGATATAAAAAAACTAATTCAAGGTCATCAGATCAAAAATTATTAAAAATTATTTTTTCTTTCGGTAACTTTGAAAAAAAAAATTAAATAATTTATTATGAAATTAATACAATTTCGAAAATAAAATTTATTGTATCCTAGTAAAATGTAATGACTTTTTATCTTTGTCTATAACAAATAATATTCTAGTCAATATGAATCATAGAAAGAACTATTCTAGTACAAAAAGTTCTTTTTTGTATTAAAAAGTTCAATCACATAGATTTAGAAAAGACAGTATTCATTGGAAAATACATAATGAAATATCAAACCAACATTTTTCCATTTCACTAATTAAAGTATCTATATTTCATATTGTAAATTATATATGATAGAATATATATTAATGGGAAAAAACTGGTATTACAATATTGTTAATAAAAGAAGTGAATTTATAATATCGAATTTAAATTTTCAAAGTGATTAATCATAAGAATGTAATGACTGAAACTAAAAATATTGAATTTTTTTTCTTCACGTAGATAATATTATGAGAATCGTAGAAATATTTTCTACAGGTCATGAGTTACCGGTGCTTGTTGTAAAGTATTATATTAGTAATTATTATGTTACAAAGCAACTGGAAAACCTTGGAACTTAAGACATTTATTTATTAGTTTTTAACATAAAATATTCTTTAAATGTTGTTATATATTTTTTTTATTTAAATTCTTGTGTCATTATTAATTAATAAGGGACAAAGTAATAAATTTATAATCATGTTAATCGGATAAAAGTAGATTGGTACGTTCTACAAAAAAAAAAAATAATAATTTTTTTTTTTATTTACATGAAATTATTTAATAAATTTTTAGAAACTCTATCCTGTGATCATACTAAAGTTACGCCTTACTTTATTGAGTCAATCAATAGTAATATTGGTTTTTGGGCAGTACCTTGTAGTAATCGATTTTTGTTTAATCTTGGCCTATGTGACCCGCCAGAATCGGAATACGTTTTAATGGGTGAACATGTAACACATAAGTGAGTATAAAATTTTATAATTCAATTAACTTCCAATGTCTTTTTAAGGTGAATTTCAGTTAATTTTTTATTATAGAGAAATAAATGCATAGTTTTGAATTAATAGTATGTAATTTTAGGTTAAACGAGACTCAAGTATATATACAAAAGCATGTGCATATTATATTTAAAAATTATATTGTATGAATATTACAATAAAACAATATATAAAAGAAAAAAATAGTATTAAAAGAACTAGACAGTGCACAAATTGAAGGATATAGTTGCAATTATAATAGATATTAAACGATAATTAAACATTTTTATAGGATTAGGAATGCCATGATAAAATGTTATATAGCACAGATTTTTAAAAGGTATGAGTAGTATTATAAAGTGAATAACAAGAAAAATTATCAACAACTTCTTTCTTGTAGAAATAACATTAGAGAACGGAGTTCAAATCAAATTAAAGGCAAATTTCAGTAAAAAGTTATAGCCAACTCTTAAACAGGAAAGGGAAATGATAAATTTATGGGGTGATTTAAATGATAAACCAAGGGGAAATAGGAGCGTGATTAACCAGTGCCATTTGGCAAAATTTGAAGGGAGAAAAGACCATTTAGTTGACTATGCATTGAAAAGAGTAGTTTTGAAAAAAATAAAAACATCAGAATTTAAAAGATAAAAAGTGGGATTATGAAGAAAAATAAGGATATTTTTAGCGATCGGTCGTTTTATATCAAGATTTCTGAATGTCCAGGAATCCAATGAAACTAAACTACCTTGCCAGAAAGAGAACTTTGATTGGGGAAGATCTAATTGAAAGGATAATTGAGGAGATAAGAGAGATGAAGAGATTTGAAGCTAAGGTTGTAAGACTAGTCTGTAAATCGAATCCGATTAAAAAAAAGAAATCGTTAGAATATGAAACATAATGTTGAGCATAAAATTAAATTAAATCAAAACTATATTAAAAATAAACAAAAACTATATTATTAATTTAATAACTCAAAAATATTAAACTCAAAAGCCACAAAAAAATTAATGAAAAGTCGCGGATACGTATTTTGGAAACACGTTGATATCATTATCAACGCTAAAATAAGTATTCCATTACTTGTACAATTTCACAAAATCAGTTAAATTATGCCAAAATTTTATAATTTTTGGCTTTAGTGGCCAATAAATCCTAGATATCGAGATTTTGGATAGTTATTTTTACATCTTTAAGTTAAATTGAATAACTTTAAGTTATTATTTATGTAGGTTCAAAGAAGATAAGTTATTTGGAACATTATCAAAATATTTACAATCGAAAAGAAAAAATTATATGATTTTTCAGCCCCCATAGTATTTAAATTAATGATTTTTTAAAAAAAAAACATGTTATTACCAAGGCAATTTTTGAACTGTTATTAATCGGTCCGTTTTCAAATTTATTTCAACACTTGATATTTTTAAAATATTAAAAATATCATCATTAACTGTTTTATGACACTGTAATTTTTTGGAATATTTATTTTAATTATCTAAAACATTTAAAATTATGACGCTTATAGTTTCTACGAGAAACATTTTGTGACCTTATGACATATTGTTGAACAAAAAGTCTAATAAGAGTGAGATTAATCATTCATACGGACAAAAGAAAAATTAGACATAGTACAACTAATAGCTTCTTATCTATGCATCAAAGTTAATATTTTTATATAAGAAAATTATTTAAAAAGTTATATTGACAATGAAACTATTTTTCTAGGGCACGAGGGATCTTTTACTTAACTACAAACGCCAAGAGACCGTACGCAAAAGGTTTTCCAAAACAAAGAACTTCTCGTGCTTCTAATCTCATTTTTGGATAATGTTTAATACAGTAGACCTAGTCAAATATATTTATTGTGATACCGCTATAATAGGCAAATAATCCTAATTTATAGCAATTGAATTAAACTGAAATTAATTTCCTCAGTATGTAGTGTTAAAAAAACAATTTATACTAAACACGACTTGTACTTAATTGCTTATCCTTAATATAAATTCACTGTGCCTATGAGTTACGATTAACTAATTATGCAGTCGGTTAAAATTTATTGAAAATTTTCAATTGTAGTTTTCAAGAGTGCAATGTTATTAGTTGTATTGAGTAGCATTTAAATAAAAATTTTATTTTATAATACTTGAACTTTATATATATATATATATGAAATTAAAAAATAACTTGTTTACTAGTAGTATGAACACTATTTAGTTTGCTCAATTCCATATTTTAAGAATAATTTATAAAATGTTTTTATTGCCAGGAATTATTATTTAATAAAACATACGGAAGAATTTTAACTGTACGATTACAAGCTATGTTCTACTTTTCTACCAAATATAAATAATTTTATTATGTTTTATAATTGAAATTTATTGAATAAATTATAGTAAATAAATTATGTCCCTAAATATGTTTTTAGTTTTTAAGAAATATCAGTTTATTAAATGCTTAAATATTAAACGTTAAATATTGAGGACACAACGTTTGAAAAATAGGTAATACAACATTATAGTTTAAACATTTATTAAATAACGTTGTACAAACATTTGTTAAACTCTATAATGTAAATATTTAAAAAATCAGCATTTAATAAACATTGATTTTTAAATGTTTAACAAACATTTGTACAACATTATTTAATACATTTTTAAACTAAAATGTTGTATTAACCAATTTTCAAACATTGTGTCCTCAATAATTAAAAATAACTTTCAACTAATTAATGTTTAAATTCCAATTTAATTTCATTGTAAATCCAAAGTAGTGCCATTGAAATCTATTAAACAAGACATGTCATTACTGGCTCAACTGTTAGCTAGGGTTTAGTCCGTTATATCACCAAGCGTTGCCATATCACAGATTCGGGTATGGACAGACTCTTCGATAGTTTTTTGGTGGATCACCACTGATCAAATATACTTAAAAATCTTTGTGACTAATAGATTAGCGAAAATTCATCAATTAATACCAGATTGCAGTTGGTTACACATTAGTACAGCCGAGAATCCAGTTGATCCTTCGTCTCGCGGTCTACTGCCTAACGCATTAGAGAACGATTGAAGTAATTTTTGGCGACTATGAACACTAAGCATCGGTTGTTGCTTACAACCAAAATCGTCACATTTAACCACCTTTAATAATTAACTATTAACATTCCGCCTTTTTATACGCTACAATAATACATCGATTTTGGATCCTATCCGCACGTGTGATGAATACGTCAATGCATAACTTGTACTCGGTATAAATCACCCTAAACCGTATATGGGTGATTTGCCCGCGTACAGTTTCAGCGTTTTTTTATTGCAATTTGGTATGGACTATGGTGTGCTATATACGGTAAAAAAGTATTGGCGAAAAAAATTCTCGCACAACAAAAGTGTACATGGCATTATTAGCTTCGATGCGAAGCTGAGAAGGTATTGGTTTTACTAAGAAGTGTTTTTTTTTTTTTTTTTTTGTCTGTTACCACTTTTTCTCAGCTCTCACCGAACCGATTTCTTTCAATGATACGTCAAAAGATCACAAATCATATCTAGTCGAAGACATTATCCTCAAAAATTGAAAAAAATTCCCTCGTTCCCCGTAAATGGAGGAAACTTCCAAATAAATTACAAATTTAAAAATCGCTAATTTTCGAAATTTTTTCAATTTTTTTTACTTAAGAGTACCATAACTTTTTCAAAAATGAACATATCAATATAATTATTTTTTATATAGATGCATAATATCATTACCTTTAATTTGGTATATTTTTTTCATAAATTTAACCCTTAACCTGCCCACAAGGGGAGATTTAAAATGACAACTTTTTCACAAAAAATTAACTTTTTCAACTTAACTTTTGAAAATGTTCCGGAAGGTCTGACACTTTTATATATATCTTAAATTAAAGCTAATGTAATGTACTT